TTGCATATGCTGCAAAAAGAATTTGCATATCATATTTTTTTTTACGCAACACTATTTCATGAAAAATGTAAAACTGTGTTGAAAACGGCATCCTCCGTTTTTTATACTGTCTGCTCATCTTTCTAATATATGAGACTCCAAAGGCCAAGTTAGATTGTTCTAGAGTGAGATCTTTTGTGGTTTTAGCATCGGTCGCCTGATTCCCTATTGCCGAAATGTTATCACAATTTTGCCATTTTCTCTGTTACCATTGGATAAATTTTGAAAAAAATCTATTATAAGACAAAAGCAGTTTTAGTAAAGGGACATCAAGGTCTTAAGAAAATATCTTACAAGAAATAAGCCGAGACACTATTTATATTGTCTATTACACTATCTATGATTTAGAGAATCTTGTGTAAATATTAGAACACATTTTTCCAAAGGTTGCAATTTATTTAGTATTTTAGTGTCAGATTTTTCAAGCACTTTCCCGAAGAACATATTTAAGTTGGTTCAAATAACTCTCAATGAACATGCTGAATCATACAAATTAAAGGAGAAAAACGAAATCGTGCTCAGATAGCATTGAGACGCATATACATGTAAATGTAGAAACTCTTTCAACTAGAAAAGGCATTATATATTTGTTGAATTGTCAAACAAACATTCGGTATGGGTAGACTATATTCAGTAATAGATAAAGCTGACGCAGGTGCAAGTTGCGGTCCACGACCCTCTTCTTTTTTCATAAATTGTATAAGACATATAAAGTGATGATTTTTTTTTTCTATATGTAGTTTTATCTGATTATCATATACTTTCTATAAAGTGTCTGTTCTAAACTGTGTAACAGGTTACATAACGTTTGATTTCTGTACCTTCCATAAATAATAAAATGCAGACAAAATGCTTCAGTGAGCTAAGTAAGTAGTTTGCAATGCACTCAATTCTGCGCTGAAACGTCTACTCCTATCCATTATAAATTCTTAATCGTCTGCTGTTCAAATAAATACTTTATCTTAAATTTCTATAGAATATACCGACTCCTAAGTAGACATATCACCTGCTATACTAATATAAACTTGAAATAAAGAAGCTTAATAAAATCAGAGCTAAATTAAGATAGTTTAGCATATTTAATGGTCATTAGCCTTAATCTCAACGGATTAAAATTGAAAAAAAGGAATATGCCAGGTTTTTGTTCTTTATTTATAAAGAAAGACTTTATCACCCTTCCTGTAATGTAACGCTGTTACATAGCTGAACAAATCAATGCCCCCTGACATATATCGTAGTACTGTTTCACCGTTTTGCACCTGTTCTTTACATGGTTTTAAAATAAAATACAAATGCAATATTCTTCATTCAAAATATAAAAAAAAATACCAACATGAAACATGTTAATAAGATAAATTTCCCGCAGAGAAATTGAAAATTTGTTGGCTTAACCGAACTGTAACTATCAAAACAGACATATTTTAATTAAAAAATATTTAATATATATACGTTATTAAACATACATGTCCCTTTCAGTAGGAAAATTGAGCCGTAGACCGGTGTTATAGTTTTATTTTTTATTTCAATATAGCAACGTGTTGCAATAAACCATTTCAATAGGAATTTCTGTGTAATCTTTCGATGGATTAACTTACTTTTTCACAGATAAATCGACAGAAGGCTTGAGCAAATTAAAAGCAACCTTTATATATATTCTGTTAAAGTTCATATGAGAGAGAGAGAGAGAGAGAGAGAATCGTTACAGATGTATCAGTTACAAATATTCATTCGATCGAAATTTCTGACTGGCCCTATTTATGCGAACAACCAGTCATTTTATCTTTTTGCAAATAAACCAAAAGAATCCTGGATTGACAAAAGATTAGATATCAATGTATTTTAAAGAAAGTCATTAAATGTTGTGATTACATGGGATTCAGTCTGAAAGGATTTGACGAAGGTGGGTCAGAATGCATATTTTTCCATATCCTGTTGAGCTGGAACTTCAGATTAAGGTAGAAAGAGTGTACTTAGGGGTTGAGAGAGGTCTTTGGTGTGAGATTTAAGAAAAGCGAGGAAAACAATTTTGTAATTACAGTAATTTCATATTTTAAATTACATGATAATATTAATTGCTATATTTTGTTCCATATTTAAGTATAGTACAAGACATGACATGCAGTTTAAGCGTTAAGCCTTTGGAAAAAAAGAGAGGATTTCCATCTAATTTGCTTTAATTAATACGAAATTATTGAATGAAGTACATGAATGGTTTACCCTTGGATTCACATAATTCTCAAATGTTTAAAATGATTATGCGAATTTTGCATTACTGTGTCGAAGAACCTGCCCTTTGAGTTCGGTGTCCTAACCATTGTATTGCCAGACAGTAATAGTTTTGATAAGGCCAGCTAAAATTAATTCTACGTTTTAGTTCAATGCAAGAGGTCTTGAGGCAACGGCGTTTACTGGCGTTGCGAGGATGCGTTTAGTGTCGCCCTATAAAACTTCAGAAATAAAAAAATTTTAACAAAAATTTCAAATAAATGAGTATTATTATGTAAGAAATCATTTGTCTGAAGTAAAATACATGTACTGTCAATATTTGTACAATACATCTAGACTTGTTTAATGTTTATTTTCAGTAAAAGTGTCAGTGATTTGATCGAGACTCGGTTCAAAAATATCTGATAGAGACCTTAAATGTTCATTTTACCTGGGGAATGCAATTTTTATTTCCTAAATTAAAAGCAAAACCGGAATAAAATTTTTAAATTGTCAAATTATTTGTTTAAATTGCCAATTTCTCCAAAAATCTACGCGCGCAGTTGACGCTAAACAAAGTATTAACTCTGGACAACCTGAACACTCATCTAATTTTTACAGCCTTGCCAATAAACACCACAAAAACAAAAAAGTAATTGTGAAACACTGATGCTCCCGTATGGCAGCTTTAACCTTAGCCATAACTTTGGTTGGTGCTTCGGCTTCTATATTTTATAAGTACGGTACCATTATTTTCGTTGAGACAAGTTCTTTCATCGGGTTACAACTTATTTAATCTCTTGATTTTGACCTTGGAGTTTTACTTATATTTGAGAAACTTTAACCATTGCCAAAGCTGCCAAACTCCAAGGTGAAGGTCAAAGGGGCAAATTAAAGGTATCCATAGTAAGGCCTTGTCACAAGAATTACTATTGTTTAATATAAAATCCCTAGCACCAACTGATTCAAAAGTTATAGCCAAGGTTTAAGTTTTTCAAAAGCCTAAATCCAATTCCATCAAAGTTAAAAGGTCAATTTGTTGGTTTCTAAAAGAGGATCTTATCTCAAGGAATATTTTATGTAAAATATGTAACCCCTAGTACTAACTGATCAAAAGGTATGTCCTTGGTTGAAGTTTTTTTAAGCAGGTCAAAATCTAAGGTAGTCGCCCGCGTGGCGAAGTTGATCCTTACGTCGCGGGTTCGAACCCCAGCGTGGGACGTGGAGACCGGTCCTTCGGATGAGACCGTATAAACCGAGGTCCCGTGTCGCAGTAGATGTTGGCACGAAAAAGATCCCCCACTGCTCAATGACTGGCAAGTGCATTTTGGCGTCTCCATATGAGTGAAACATTCTCGAGGGGGACGTTATACAACCAACAAACAAACAAAATCTGAGGTCAAAAAGACAAGTCTTGTCCCGTTGAATATAGTCCTAAGTATGAAGGAATAGTAATGAAAGTCCTAGCGTCAACAGTTTAAAAGTTATGGCCAAGGTTGAACTTAGATTCCTTCCGCAATCTAGAACATTTTTCATCCAGAACTATAGGACCAATTGTGTACCGTGCATATTGCTCGTAGACTGCATAAATGGAGTAAGTCTTCAATATTATTTAAAGTTTTCATGAGTATCTATAAAACATTCCCCATCTGTTGAACGATCATTTCAGTCGATAGATTTCTGATGAGTCTCTGTTCCAGAAAGCAGAACAGGATAGAACAGTGCTAATGGTGTTTTATCTTCGTAGTTTCATTAACTTGAAGTAAAAAATGGCTCTCAAATTCCCAAGTTGATTTTCTAATGAAGTTTTCCCAAAAGTCTCTGAGTTACTTCGCTCTTTTAGCAGGTTCTGAACAATTTCCTACAACAATAAGAGAGCAACAATTACAATGTCTCCTTTCAAAAGAAAGGTACGTCAGGCGCGTAGCCAGGCGTACGTTTGTACGCAAAAACGTCCACACCATTTTAGGGAAAAAAGGAGAGAGGGAGAGGCAGGCGAAATTTTTATGCTCTTAAATCATTTTGCAATAAATAAATACTTTTAAAAATAAAAGAAATGTTTAGAAACAATGTAATAAACCATAAATAATATCTGAAAATTAACAGAATCAGTTTTCGGGGAAAATATGATAGCAGACATCTCCATTTCTGAAATCATTAGATTTTCCTTGAATCTGGTTTACGTATTGCTGATTTTTTGCATTACATTCTTATATACATGTACCACTCCAACCGATTAATTCATCATAGTATTTTGTCTCTTCAGAAGTCAAAAATTGTTTTAAGTGGGCTCTTATTATTACATAAACAACGATACAATATATTGGGCATACCGGTGTCCTTTCTCATTTTAGTGTTTGTCCATATTTTGTACAAAAACAAAACAGACCTCAAAAACATGGGTGCATAACAAACTTAAAAGTGTATGAAAAATGCGATCAGGAGGGTCGAATATGCTCATCGAAATTCAATAGCTGTCGGGGGCATCGCCCTCTGGATCTACACCAGGGCTTAACCACGGACCCATTGGGGACATTAGCCCCCCAAACCCCTCCCTACTTGATCTTGCGTCCACATCAAAAGTGGCCTGGCTACGGCACTGTACGTGTCCTCATTTCCCCCTCTGATGTTAGACCTAATATATAATTATTACGTGGCGTTACCCTACATTTTTAGTCTTACTACTGAACCATGAAAAAACTCTTAAGAAAACGATTTTTATATATCGATTAGCACATGAAAATGGTGGATGTAGTCGTTTAAATGCATACTGTGTACATTCTGAATGTATATCATTGAAAATTTATATTAATCAATAGACATAAAAGTCACAATTCACCATGTATTTCTATAGTCAATATAAAAAGAATATTTAAATGCCAGAAATTGGTTTAAAGTCCAGTTTTCCTCCCAATTCAATGTCGAAATTTGTGTGTGAACAAAGACTGAAACCAAGTCTGAGAGCTTGGACTGGGAAAATGATTAAGTTATGGTTCAAGTTATAAGTTATAAATGTAAACTGTATTTCTCAGGATCTATAAATTATTGACGATTAAAGATGGTACCTACCCGAAATGCTTACTTGGTTACGGATTCAGTTCATATTTGTTTTGCTTCTGCCAGGTCTGGTAAAAGGTAAGTAGAAAAAATTAACCATGATGATAGCTTATTTGAAAGTTTTGCTATTTGAAACTTGCCAAGATATGATAAGCATTTCTTTTATAAGCCTATAGATATTGGGACTTCTATCCTGGGAGCGTATGGATTGTCTTTTATCCTGACAGTTCGCCTTTTGTTTTATTGTTAGGTGATGACGTCACATGTTTCACTTACAACTACGATGAATATCTACAATGCTATTGGAACTCTACTGAAGACGAGAGATTATCCAACGTCACCGTTACTTGGTATAGTGTTAATTTATATACAATCAATTAAAAGAAAATAACCATGCATGACGTGGTTCAGTGAAAACTTAACATTTATGAATAAAAAAGGATCTTTTTTACACACCAAAAAACACATGTTCATGTACATTACAGAGCTATAATATCTACCGGTTTTGCCTCAATAAAACAACAAAGTAAATATATTCTGAGGTAAAGCTATGAAGATTAAAATGGAGTGATATATGGTGTGTAAAATTGAAATTCGCTTGAACAAGTGGGCACTTTATTTTAAAATATTTGTGAAAAATTAACATTTTTAGTGATTTATAATGCCATAAAATATTCAATAACAATGTTTATATATTCAAATCAATGTTGGGGTGTCTTAAAAGAAATGCACGATCTGATTTCAGTTGAATGATACTTGAGTCAATTTATATCAGAAGAATTCATCGTGCCATATATACTTGCTCTATTTCATTCAGAGATTCTCAGCAAACGTTTCATTTGACACTGTCATGTATGTTACTTATGCCAACGCTTTCTAACCGGTACTACATTGTAAATTTTTTTTTGTAAATCTACTTTTTTTTCTTTTGTTTCTTTGTTACTACATGTATGTTTGTCTATTTATTTTCATACCTATATATTGTGTGTTCATCTTGACCTTGTAGGGAGAGGGCTAAAATAGGCTTTGCCTGCTGTCCAATCCCATTCACTTATGTGAATAAAATTTTGTATAAATAAAAAAAAAAAAGATTCTCATGGTTAAAAAGTAACTATATACTGCATTAAAAAAATGGGAAGGGTAAAAGTTTACCATTTAACACATTTAATTAAACAATACGCATAGTAACTTTTTGGCCCATTCTTCCATGACTGATTTGAATTTAATTACTAGTACCTTGCTACCCTTAGGTCCAAAATCATTGAAATGCAAAAAAATCGTACTCTATGTTTTGGATCTCTTTGATAAATTATGCATATCAAATACCTTTACCTTTTATATTACTCACCATTATTTAAAATTCGAGTAAACACATAAGACACATTTATTGCACATCTAAATACTGAGCAAAAATATTTAAAAACCCTTTTCACCCAAATTAATGGCAACCCAACTAGCTTTAAAAAACACAATGTGTTATTTTTGCGTTATATAAAGAACAAATTTCTTTACTTTCTATAACTGTTAAGAATATCCGTACCTGAGATGGCAACTTGTAAAATAAATGTTTTTTATATTATCATATATACTTTAGCCGTATGTTTCCTTTTTTGGGGGTACCAACTATTTTGCTCATCCGATCTGTATTATTATCAATTATTATATAATAAGATAGGCTAATTAAGATAATAAACAGTGATCGATCTCAATAAAATCTAAAAACAATACAAATCCAGAAACAGGGTAAAATAAGAGCCCCTAGAAATTCCTGGGTTTGCCTCGGAGGAGAAAGCATCCTCTGTTGAACATTAGCGCCCGCCATGAGCAGTATGTTTTGATTATGTTGACGGAGCGTTCAGTTTAAAAACAAATGTCGATAAAACATCAGGCAATATACGACCCAACGTCTTTTACGATATATTTGCTGACATGTGACAACGTCATCCCTGAAGTTGACGAAATCTGACTTCAGTTTGACCGTGGCTGATGAAATCTCAGTGACATCAACATACCGGTAACTGTCAGTAACTTGCCTCGTTTTTAAAATCGTCGTACTGCGAGCATGCTCTTGTGTGTCAATTTAGTTGTGTATACCAAGTGCAGGTGATTTTGGAATATTAAAACAAAAATGTTGAAGTCATCACGTTTGTCATACATTTTAGTTTTTAGTTGGCCCTTATCGTGGAAAGTCATTAAAACATCCAAATATGAAATAGTCGTGGTGAACTCTGCTGTGTTTTCTATTTCAAGTTCACTTCTTTCTAAGAACAGTACCTTCTACTGACTAACAGGGGAGATGTCAGTTTTGCTAGAGAGCTCAATATCAAGAAATAAATGTGTTTATCTTCTTGATTGTAAGGTGGAAAAGTAGATTTTGAATAATGTATTTGCAACATAGCTGCAGGCTAGCTAAAATCTAAAGCATAAACTTTTTTCATAATAATAATATCAATGACTGGCACATTTTAAAGTCAAGAATTAGACAGAATATTCATTATATTGACATTGCATGTCTCATAAACAAAAAGATTTTGTTTTTCCAGTAAAACCAATTTAGTATTCATCTCAATATTGGGGACCCATGTCCAAAGACTTTAAGGCTGCACGAGGGAAATCTACACGACTCTCTAGTAAACATTTGAATACAGCCCCAGAGTGACCTGGAATTTTACTCATGCTTATAATATGTAAGATACACGTAAATCCGTTTCAGAGTCGAAGAAAAATATATTTCAAGAATTAATTAACCTGAAGACATATGTACTTTTTTTTAAAATTGCAAACTCGGGCTTTGAATGACTTGAATTTTTCACAACTCACAAAGATGCAGAGTTATATTTTCAGTGTATTTATAGAAGCACAACCTAGTCTGGAATGACGCTTTTCCAATTCAGGCTTCCTAATACCGATAAGTCCTAAAATATATTAGGTTAGGAGAAAAGCGTCATCAATAATGCTATTTGTGTGGTATTTTCGTGTTTAATTAAAGTGTTTGTATTGTATGCATTATGATTAAATTAAGCATCATAGTGTAAATGCTGAAGATCTGTTATGTTAATAGCTGACTATTTGTTTCATGTTATGTGTGGATAGCTTCTCTTTTGTATGCTCGCATCATTGTGTTTTGATCTATTTAGAATGATTCATGAATATCGAATCCCAATAGATGCATAGAATGATAAGTTCGGGAGTTACCAGAGCAAGATTTTTTCCCTTGTTACCCAAGTGAGTTCAAATTATCTAAATTACAATATCATGTCAAAAGCAGTTAAACATCGCAGAGCACCAGGGCACAAATTACTATATAACAAAATATTTGCATTTTAATTTAACAAACAAATTAAAATAATAACCCCTATTCCTAACGCTTCCAAGGGGAAAACTAAATTGTTTGATAGTTTGTCCTTTAGATGTTTAAGGAAATTGTAAAGATTTAATCTATCACCATGGACCTTAGTGCAGTTCCCTGGGATTAAATTTTTAACATTTTGTATTTCTTATATTTTGTTGGCACACACAATTTATCCAACATTTATGCTGGGACATCAAAGGGTGCAGTTCTCCAAAATTATCTTCAGATTTTTAAGCCTTTTGACCTTCCAATAAGCGTGGCTGTTTGAGTAGCCCTACATACACTGAAACAGTCGCCTCAAACAAAAATACATTACAGGATACAGTACAAATGTTCCACGATCACTTTATCTTTACTCCTGAGAAACATATTAACTACTTTGAGAGAGAATTAAACCCCAGATGTACTGTGCTACAATATATTCCAAAAGAGGTGTAATCATAAACCTTTAAAGAACTTTAAGAAATATAAAATCACCAAAAAACCTAAAAACACTAAAAGCACCAAACTTCCTTACGCATTATGCAACCAATCCTCTCACTATGTTAAAGACCAGACTTTTTGAGATTTTAGACAAGTTCTTCCTCAATAAAAATTCAACTGAAATTTTCTTATCTTGTACGTGATCAGTCACTTTTAAAAAGTTACTACATGTGTTATAAAATCATTTTGATTCTTCACACTAATTGATATTGAAAAGATTTTGGAGTTCTCATGTTTAAAATTAGTCTTTGAAGGCAAGTCTTCCCAACGATTAGAAGGAATTACTATATATGTACACTAATTGTACCGTGTTAGCCAACCTGCTTTTACTTTTTATGAAACAGAATCTATTCACTAATTTCCAAATGAGAAGGAAGAAAATCGCTGTGGCATTCAATTTGACATTTAGATATATTAACAAAGTTTTTTTTTCAATTATCGATAATTATTTTTATACATTTTTGAAAGATCCCTTGCTAGGATGGTTTACTAAGATGTCCAAGACCCTCTAACAACAGTTATTAAACTATGTGTTAAACGTAACAACTTAAAGCCTTTTCAGCATCAACTTTCCCCTATTTTTACTATACGTACTCGTAAGATTCCAACATCACTTGAACATGGTGTTTTGTCTCCCAACTGATTTGCTACGCAAGAGGATGTTCTGCGTACGATCAATTTTTCTACTGACAGACTGCTGACAAATAAGTTTTTGCTTGGGGCTTTTAACAATCTTCTTAACGCCAGCATCTAGCTAATTCATTAATGGTCGACATGATGATATTGTTTTCAGATACAACCGTCTCTGGGCGTATTTTGACCGATAAGTTTCATACCACTTTTTACACTCATTTTAACTATGGATTGATCTACTTGATCATTATCAATATTAAAGTGTTCACAGCGCGTGTGACCAGTCTTATGGGGATGTTCACTCCTCCTCTGCATCTCATCCAACCTCTGGTGTTTTGTTTTACCCTGCTCATGATTTATATTGTTTACAAGATTTATCCTTTTATACTTATTATATAGAATGATTTTCTGCTTCTTAAAAACATTTATATGACTTTGAAGAAAATATTGATATTTATATACAGGAGATATATATTTGGTCATTTTGTGTCCAGTTGGTTTGATTGTCCTATCCTGACACAGAATGGTTGTAAATGGGATATGATGCATGACGATTTGGATCCGCATTGCGTCATTAATGTTTGCGTCAGCTTGTTCAACACCTGCCAAGAAGTTCATTGTCAGGAAACAGGCAAGTTTTTCTCTGTTTCCTTTGGACTTGAAATTTACAATGGCTCTGACTTTTGTTTAATGTATCTCCAAAGAAATTTTCCGTATAGTCTTCATGTACATGTTTAAAACTTCCTAATTTAAGATCTATTTTAATGTAAAAATAAAATAAGCTCTAGCTATGTTATTTTTTTTTTCACTGGTATTTTTTCCACTTTTATCGGCTCTTTTGATTTCAGCGGTACCAATAAAAAAAATGTGCCGACCAAAAGCTGAAAAACAAAATTCAATTTACTGTGTATTTATATTCCTTGGAACATTCTATAATTTTTCGTCTTTTGAGGTTTTTATCCCCGGTGGACATATTGAATGATGCTCACATTTTATGTGTAATTTGCTTCAACGGTTTATGGGTAATTATGACATACGGAATTGTATCTGATGAGGAAAAAGTCCCCCATGGCAAAAATTAAATGAAAAGAAACATGTTCTAGAATCCAGGCAGTGATTCTCATAAATACACTGTGACTCGGGGGACTTTATTGCTCAGCCGATTGATAGGAAGACTTTCAATGTGTCAACAACCTTTCTGATTTTTCTGTTTTTTCTTGAGGAGTGACGAGGTTCACATAGAAAATATTAATTCTTCTCACGTCACAAGATTGACACGCAATTAGACTGCAATCCCCCACTGATTGTTTGTTTTACAGATATACCTGGGTCTTGTTGCTTCTATTCTTGTGGTTTTTGAATGTATGCTGGTTACTCCATGTAAAAGACATGATTCTTATCCAGAAATTTTCAGTACAGTTAATTGCAATTCAGTTTATGCCTTCCTCTTAAGTAAGTTCAAAAGCTGAAGTTTAAAAAAAAATAAACGGCTTAATAAATTATTATTCTTTAAATGTCTTTTCTATCGCGAAAAGAAATGTATTGGGATATACACGATTTAAAATTGAAATAATCTATTATTTGCAGGAAATGAGACTTAAGTATTATGGAATGATTATTTGTTCTGCCTATCAAAAGTAAACACTATGAAATTTCTGTCGTTTTCAAGTACATAACTATTTTCAAGGTGAAAGATCATGTATCGGTCACAATCTCAGAAGCTCTAATAACGTTATTTCAATAAACACAAATAATGAAGTTTCATTACGCAACAAATAATATATTAATAGAAATGTAATATTCCCCAAGGTTATTTTCCCCATGCTGACTATTAAGAAATCGAGTCCAACCCACGCGATTTGTTTATGAAAATTTAAATTTTTTTTTTAGCATTGAGTTTAATATTAAATTTGGTTTTTCTCTATGTGCGCGTGTGTCAGTTCATTTGACAAACAATTTCATAGTCGAGTACCATGCAAATACCTTAATTACATTTGAAGAAGTAGTCACAAGGAAACGACACTTCATCGAACATGAAATCCGTTGTTGCCTGGGTTATTATACCCCCCGCTTGAAAAGCGGGAGGGTATATAGTAATCGTTAATTCCGTCCGTCTGTACGTCTGTCCGTCCGTCCGTCTGTCCGTCCGTCCTTCCGTCTGTCCGTCCGTCCGTCTGTTACGCTTTGGGGTACCCATCTCTTATCCGCAACTCCTCTCATACCACTCAATGAAATTTAATGCAACTTTCACAGAATCTTTATTACATACTCCCATTGTGCACCTCCTATTTTACTTTTTGATCCGACACATATTTTGGGTTTCCCGGCCACAGGAAAACATGGACTTTTTCACCAGTTATAACCATATGGGAGGCGGGGGGTATCATTTAGTGAGCTCATCGCTCACAGTACCTCTAGTTTCGTTTAGACTATGTAATAAAAGTTCTCTCTATAAACACTGAAAGACAAACTAGGGTAGCGATTATTTTCTATTTCACACACTTATAGGTGATAATTACAGACTGTGGAACACTAATATCATCAGCATTTAACCCACTTGCGGTATTTTCTTGCTTACCGAGTACCTATAACCAGTGTCCGATATTCTCAAAATCATACATTTGTTTAATCATATTCTAAAATACATGTAATACTAGTACAGTATGTTGCGCTCATTTCACAAAATCACCACAAATGAATAAATGATTCTATGCAATAACACAAATTTCCCTTTTTCCCCAGTCAAACCTTCCCCAGTGGATGACGTTACTGTCACCAATGTGACGGCCTCCTGTGCTGAGCTTCATTGGTCTCATGGTCAGGAATACCTCAGGATGTTTTACCCACATCTATACCACGTTGTATTTACACCTCTCTCTGGTGTCAATCAACAGGTATAAAAAAAAAACATAATAAAATATAAATATATAAACCCTTGAAACTTTAATACTCGTTTATGATTAATTAATATTAAAAATCAAACCAAAGAATATAAAAAAATTCCTCTTAGCTGGTTTGAACAATGAATGCTTATTTTTAAAAAATCAAACTTTCCTTTAAAATGAGTCACAGATGCATGGAGGAAAAATCCATAATGTGTTGAAATTTGTTGAAGGAAAGATCTTGGACAATCAACAATACAAAACTGGATGCTTGTGGATTGGATCCTTACACAAAATACCTCATAAAGATAGCAGCTTTACCCCTGGAAGGGGGGATGTGGAGTGATAGTCGGTCTGTCAAAGTGACCACAGAAAAAACAGGCAAATATAACTCAACTTTAGACTAGACATGGGGTACCCTTAATAGTGGTAGAATGTAGACTTCGTGTACGAAATGCATTTGCGTCCAAGAAATGATTTATGCATCAAATTCCATTGCTCCTTGGTTTTCTGTTTCATGCATGCTAGTTAATAACTCGCAAAATGAAAAATAACAGAAACCCTATTCTTTTCGATGATAATATTCTGTGATGGCCTTATTAATTTTTAAAACCAATTCAAACCTCTCTTCAATTCTTATTAAACATTGGCGATCAGATAATTGGATAAACTAATGAATTCGTTTACATTCCAGATTTTCTTTTATTCTTCAGTACCTGGTCTTCCACCTATTGTTACACCCAATTCTTTCTCAGTTTTTCCACGTGGACATGACAAATATAGAGATATAATGATTTTTTGGCAGGTACACAAGTTTTCCACATCTGTTGAATGTCCACAAAATTAAAGGATTAACTTTCTTTGATGTAAGAATATTTCTTTTTTATATCAGACAATTACGCTCAGCTTATGTTTTCGATAACTTGTAGGATATACAAAAACAAAGGATTTATGGATCTCATTTAAAATACCTCGTTTCAATTTGCCCTTTTGAGGAGTCTCAGAACTGCACCATGGAGACAGAACGCAGCTATGTCCGATTTAAAGCTCCTGCGCAACAGGAAGTTACTGCAAGAATCTGGCCACAAAATGAAATCGGAATGTCACGAGATTTTGCTGTAATTAGGATTCCAACAGAAGATGAATGTAAATATTTAATTTTATTGAAATCCAACACCTATAATCCCACACTTTTAAAGCTAACATAGAGAGGGCCGGGTGTACTTTACCAAGGCACCATTTAACAAAAAAACTTTCTTACCTATACTGAAACAAGTACATGAGAAAATTTTTGAAGATATATTTGATATTCCCTATTACTTCAATGAATAAGCTTTTTAATAATACATATGGAGATAACGAACAGTATTCAGGATCAAAAGTCCATAAAACAATACAAAATAGGAGCAGAGCAAAGATGGGACCTCCAAAACATCAGATGTGGGATCAGGTGCATTGGAGGGGTGAGCATCCCCTGTCGACCGGTCACATCCGCCATGTGCTCCTTGTCATGATCGGGAAATAACGGAAAAATCCGTCGTCAATTCAGTGTATAAATAATGGACTAACAATTAGTATGAAAAACGCCAGTCAGCATTTGACTCAGTGATAAATTGTATTTGCTGACAAGGTCATTCATTAGAACTTATGAAATGGTTACTTTATACTAGCCTGCTGAAATTCCTGTTTCATCAACTTGTTTGTCAATAATTTACCTCGTTGTAGAAATTGTTCATACGTAGAGCATGCTCTTGCGTATCTAACCAACTGAGATATGTAAACTCCATGTGCAGGTGATGAGGGTATATTGCTTCATAAGGATGTTTACATTTACATCTGAACGATGAAGCAACACGAACAAAAAATTCAAAGTTAATTAAAGCTTTTTCTTTCCCTAAACTAGTATTGCCACCTCCTGAAGTGGTGGTCAGCACCAATGAAACATCTACTATACTGTACTGGAAAGCTACTCACTCTCATAAAGATAACAGATTCACGGTCTACTGGTGTCATGATGACTATAAGGTAAAGGCATCCCATGGTTCAAAATCTTGAAGTAATTATACAAGTACTTTGTTTCAATTCAAGTTTTTCGTTTTCTAGAATCTACACTTTCTCCAAGGTATTCAAAATACTACATTTACGAGAAACCACGACCGATATAGTTATTTTAATTATGGTGTGTCAGTAGTCCATAATAAAACGACGAGTGGAATCAAATGGGCAACTTGTTTCATCCGAAACAACAGTAAGTGAAAGCCCTAATTAAACTGATCTAAACAATGAAGTCAAAAAATTTCAAACCCTTGTATAGTATTGATTGAAGTCATAAATAAGGGACACAGTCTTTCAATGATGCTGCAAAAACTTGATGTCAAAGTAGTAACCAAACTTAACTTTACAGTATTTATTGGAATGCTTGTTTGGACTATCTAAGTTTGCTCAGGATATTTATAGAAATCGAATTATGTTACTAATATTTTAAATCTTTGTACTCTTCATATATAACAGAATTTTCAAGGCCGCCAGAAGTAAGCTTGGTACTACTGAAACATACTCATATTAACATAGTCTGGAGGATGCCACACTGTAACATGTACTTACTGTCGGAATTAGTTGACAAGTTTGTCTTGACTATTTGCAACGATCCCAACTGCACAAGTAAGGAACATGACGCCTATTATCAATATAACTTTGTACATTATCTAAGTACCATAATTTGTAATCTTCAAACTGCAAAAAATACAGATATTGTAAAAATGTATTGGGATTATTGTTCCTACGAAGAACGGGTTCTTAAACAATACTTTCATTTTAGGTATGAAAATGGTCAAGGTGGCATCGGATGTAACATCATATATGTATACTATAAATCAGGAAAACAATTTTTGTGCTAAAGTTGAAGTGATATTCGGAGGAAATTCCCAAACAAGCGACATCGAATGTTTAAGACTGGAAAATACATTTCATTTTTGTGAGAGTTTCTTCAATTTTTTCTTTGGTCATATTTAAAATACATTTCATTTCTTATTATTTCTATTATATTATTTCTATTATACTCTTATATTGACCTGAGTCAATGACCACATGTATTTATTATTGCAGACTTAGCAGCAATCCCCGTTGTTATTGTTGTTGTTCTGTGTCTTTTAATTCTAGCTGCCTTACTTGGAAAAACCATCAAGTAAGTGGCTACTTAACTGTATTATTTTCATTATAAAATTGTTATGTTCTAGTCTTATTTTTGTAATTTAAGTATAATTCATTATTTTACAATATTAACAGAAGCTGGAATTCCAACATCGAAATTGAAGTCCCAGAGATTGGTTGCGATCAGGTAATGCTGAATTTTAATATTGATGTGATTTTTATGTTTTTTTTAATACGTCCGTCCCATTCGAGAATTTTTCACTTATAAAGAGATACACCATATACCGGTGAAGGGCTGGTTTAATTTTCCAGAAATATTTTCTCGTCTTTAGTCACTTGACACCCTTCCCCCATTTACAAACTGGATATTGACAGGCTTGTGTTTTTACATTCTTCCTTCCTTCGTCCATCTTTCCATGACCTCTGCCTTTGGTATGTAAAGTATCTCAATTCCAACACAAGGGGCAATCTGATATTTCTGACAAGTTCCACCTGTCAGATTTGTTGTGTTAATAACACATCATAAACTGATCTCAAAAGGAGTTGTAGTTGAGAAGTTGATAATATGGTTACCTTTACAGTTCTTAAATTTACCATATGTTAGGTAGCGTTGTCCAAATATCCACCCAGAATCCATCATATAACAATGCATTCTGGATCTCCATTAAACTCTCTTTTCTCGTCTTGATGTTTTTTTTCTCTGCTTTTATTTCTCCTTTATTACCAGATTTTGTTTCTCCTGACTATCACCATTTGTCCAGCAGCAGCTTTTCAATGTTCCATGACTCTAACTTTCTTACAAATTTCTGCTTTGGGGCAGATTCTTTTTGTCCAGTTATTACTTCTACGCCTGCTGCTCTTACTTTTCCATCTGTAGAATCTTCCAAATCATTACTAAGTCGTACTTTGTCTCTTTTGAAATGTTCAGTTAATAATGTGAAGGAAAGTGGAGCTTACCTTGTATTGTGTGTTTCTACTTGATGTTTTTCACTTTCTTCCTTTGTCCTTTGCACAGGACCGCCTTTGGCGCAGTGGAGGTCGTCCTAGAGTTGCGCAGTAAGGAGTTGATCATTACGTCGCGGCCTCCCACTGTTGGACGAAGATAGACCGGAGAGGTCCCAGTAGGTGCCGCAGTAGGTGTTGATAGGTAAAAGTTCCCTCACTGCTCGAAGGCCCTGAGTACCGAGTATAGGACAAAATTTGCATCTCTCCACCAGCAAGTGGTGGTGTCTCCATATCAGTGAAACATTCTCGAAAGAGACGATCAATCAATCAATCGTCGCACTGAGTGTTGCTTTTGAAAAATTATAGATTGTCAACAAACATTGCTTTCTCTTTTCTATCTCATTCTAGCTGTCCTTTCAAGATTATGTCTCCTATATAAAATTAACATTATCTCATTAATTTTTTTCTTAAATTAACATTATCTAATTAATTTTTTCTCGTTCTTCTCTTCTTGCATAAACTGCTTTACAACAATTTTAATCTCTTTCTTTCTTTTTGTCCCTTTCGTGTACCTAACTTCAACGCTTTCTTCTTCAATCATGTACTTGAATATGATAAACCCGTATGTCCTTCATATCAGGGTTATGTCTTCCAATGGATTCGATACGCACGAGCAAATTATATGACGAAGCAAGCTATTGAAAAACAAGTTGATGACACAAGAATATCAACATACTCGTTAAAAGTCTTCAGTTCGCAAGTTTTCTGTATGGTCAATAAAATTACCTTGTCAGATAATACAATCTTTCATTAAGTCGAATGCTCACTGACGACTTTCATACTTATTGTTAGCCCATTATTTATACTGATTTTTTCCACGTTTTTTTTCCGTTTTCCCAATCATGACAAAACAAATGTGACCGGTCGATATGGCATGCTTACTCCTCCTTGGCATCTGATACTACCTCTGATGTTTTAGAGGTCCGTGCTTTTTCTGCTCCCGATTTGTACTGTTTCAATGGGCATTTAGGCTTAATTACGATTCGTTATCTCCATATTTCACTGTCGACGTTGAAAACAGCTTTCTGTGCATGGCTCTATTTCGTGAAGTGTAATGCTTTAATAATGTTTTTCATCAAAGATTTGTTTCTAATCATCTGTTGTTGGCCTTGTATAATTTTCTTACTAGCCGCGGAAGGCTCTGCAGCTGAACTTTTGACCTCAATTATTCAGATGCTCTCAACACTTTGGTACTCTTCCTGTTTGTGGTCCTCCAATTTCTCTCTGTGTTATCTGTGTGTTCCCTCGCTGCTTTTCAGATCCACACACGAGTTTTATTTATGTTTTTTAAAAACTCTTTAGGCCTTTTTTGCACATCTTCCCACAAAAAGGTGTGTGTTTCTGCCGTTGTTCCATTCAGTTGTTGCTCTAGCCGAGTTTTTAACGCTCTGGTTTGCTCAGTAGATCTTTCATCCCACTTTTGGAAGGCCCTGGAGTATAACTTGCGAGTCTGTGTTATAAATTGGTCTTGTTTTCATTCAAAAAAATTGTGTGTTGAGGTGCCATTTCTTCAGCCTTTTTTTTCAGTCTTCTCCATCTATCTCTCCGGACATCTCCAATTTATTCTTGGATGTCAGTCTTTCACTGCAGTCACTAGTAAGTACAATTCACAGGTTATATATTTATATATCTTACTGCTTATGCCACAGATGTCCTCAGCCATTCCGATTTTCACCTGTATATTACCTTTGTAAATGGAGTCCCAAATCACTGCATATTAAACGCCATGTGTATCTTGCATCTGCCTCTTTTCCTCTAAGCCCTCTATATCGCATTGACTATTTATGCAAGTTGCTACTATTCAAAAATGGTCACTCAAAGCAGAAAACAAATTAAAATCCATACTGTGCAGGGAAGCAACGGCATCCAACCCACGCAGGAAAGCTTCACTTCTGCAATTTCTGTCTCAGTACCTGCTGTCATTAAATCTTCATATTTGTCCTCTTGCTTTAATTTGCTCTGATACAACTCCTGCTATGGAACTGTAATTTCTTCTGCCTAAGTATTATTAAAATCCCTGGCGACCAGGGAACCATTTGGGGCTAAGGTCTGTTTTTATTTAATATTAGGAAACTTCTAGTTTCTTGTATATATAGTATTAAAATTGTAATTTTACTCAAGTTGTGCATTAAATATAAGCTAATTCGGGATAAATTTACTTTTGGAACAACTTAAGTAAAAGTGTCATTACACTGCAAAGAGAATACTGCGGACAGAACAAAATTGAATGGCCCATAGTCAATGGATTGTATACTATACATGTACATATAAACCGTTGTTTGTACAAACATGTATAACGTTATAGGGATACATAAAACATTTGATATATGAAGACAGAAATGTCTTATATTTCAATGTACTTATCGAACGACTTGTTCTTTGTATTGTCATTTGAATATCTAAGAATCTGAGAGCAACTGTCTTTTTCATGTTTTCATATAGCAGTAGTTCAAAATACAGGTCATAATTGTTATTATGGTAAATATTTAATGACTTTGTTTACAGAAACTCCTGAATGGCGCTCCCCCCATCTCCGACAGCAAAGACGTGATGCTAGATCAGACCCAGGCAGACAGTGTAAATGTGATTAAAGAAGTGTCAGAGGATAGCGAAACAGAACAAACTGTGACTTCAGACGCAGAGATGGTAAACGACTACTGTGATAACTACACCATTATAAAGGACATTGACTCATACATATTGAAAGAACATCATAGCTGAGAGAGAGAGAGAGAGAGAGAGAGAGAGAGAGAGAGAGAGAGAGAGAGAGAGAGTGAAACAATTCATGTTCAGTTGACTAAGGAATTCACTTTTATTTGAAATGTATTTCCGTATGACCTGACATAAATACTCGTTAATATACATACTTGTTTGATGTCAGTGCTCTCTGATAATATATTTGATGCCCGTGCCGATGTTGAATTAATGTCGTAAAAAGGTTATTCCTGCATGGAAAACAATTTTTAGCTAAAATGACGTTTATAAAGACAATTTCATTAAATTTATTTCTCAGTTGGTATAAATGGTTTTGTATTGTTTTTTTTTTATTGAAAGAGCATAACAATATGCTATTATTGTCAGTTGAAGGCAAAACCTAAATGTACGCATTTGATCAATTGCTTTCTTTCCCATTTGTATGCATTCGAGTACTACTATTAGCTACATGTAATTTACAATTAATTGAAAAGCGTTGCAAAAACACAATTCTGTTTATCAGTTTTTGATGTTGGTTATCGCTGTTGCCATGGGTACTTGAAATATAATTTTCTGTAAAATAATTTTAAAACGCAACTCCTCCTACAGTTCTAGTCTGATTTCAATATAATTTGACGAACAAATAAACTACCTGTACATAAAATATATAACTACATGTATATGCATCGTTTCTGTATATTTTGATAAACGGTGTTGCCATGTTTATCAAAAACATAGTTTTCTGTAAAATACGTTCAAAACTCTACATCTCCTACAGTGTTTTATGGCAAGACCTTTTGCTATATATTCAGAAAAATAAAATTAATCTTAAAATTACAGAGACATATCTTTCATTTTAGAGATATATCTCTCAAAAATAGAGATATCTCCCAAATTAAAGAGATATCTCTAATTTTAAAGAGATATCTCTATGAGAAAGGATATCTCTTAAACATAGAGAGATATTTCTTATACTAAGAGAGATATCTCTATCACTAAGTGAGATATATCTCTTTCCCAGAGAGGTATCTTTTCCATTTCAACAGATATATCTTTCTCCTTGAGAAATATCTCTTTCGTGAAAAAAGATGTCTCTGAACATTAAAGAGATACCTCTTTCACTTAGAGAGATATCTTTTTCAATTTGGGAGATATCTTTCCAAGTTAAAGAGATATCTCTCTTTATCTTAAGATATCTCTCAAAGTGAAAAAGATATATTTTAGAAGTGTCGGAAAGAGATATCTCTCTTTGACCAAAAGAGAGCCATAGAAAGATATCTCTGTCAGCAAAAGAGATATATCTTTTTGCAAGAGAGATATCTCTTTTACTTAGAAAGATATCTTTATAAGCTCGAGAGATATCTCTTTGAGCGAGAGAGATATCTTTAAAAGTTAGAGAGATGTCTCTTCAACAAGGTTAAACGAGATGTCTCTCTTAGTTAGGGAGATATCTCTTTAGATTTTCAAGAAGAAATGTTTTTTCTAAGCTAACGAGATATCTCTTTAATGAAAGAGATATCTCTTTTCCAGTGATCCTTAAAATAAAATAATTTATTCACCTTTAACAAATGAAAGCGAACAAGGAAGTAAAGTCTCTGTAATAATTTTCAGAAAAAGACTGAGCATGTCATACCTGGAATAATATGTGTTGTTGTTCGTCCATCGGTGGCTAAGATGACCACTGTCTCATCTCCGGGGGGTGGGGGATTGACCTGGACGGTGAGTGCAGACTGCGGAGGTGACTGGTCAGGCCGATCCTCGCACGGAATAGTCTCGGACAGTGAGGGCAGGGGATGGTTGCAGCTGCCGGGTCCTTGGCGCTGTCTTTCCTGGCCTCTCTGCGTTGTTCTGCTGTCGACATCCTGTTGACTTCACAGCTTTTGGCGCCCTCGTGGAGTGCGGCTCTCCACCTACACCTGTCTTATGCTGCAACTTCCCATGAGTCAGGGCTGACACTTGAAGGAGGCTTTAGGCTGTTCTTAAATCGCTTTTTGGGGCACCACGGGCACGTTTTCCTTCCAGTAGTTCACCGAAGAGTAGTTTCTTGGGGAGTCCATGCTCTTGCATACGGACTATGTGTCCTGCCCAGCGGAGTTGTGACTGCATGAGCATGGCGTAGATGCTGGGCAAGTCAGCTCGGGTGAGGACTTCTGTGTCGGGTATCTTTTCTTGCCAGTTGATACTGAAAAGCTTTCGGAGGCTGGTCGTGAGGAAGTGGTTCAGCTTTTTGGCGTACCACTGGTAGACAGTCCACGCTTCACAGCCATACAGTATATGTAGTTTGACGAGAACCACTGTACGGTAGACCTTAATCTTTGTCTCTGCTGTGATGCCTCTTCTGTCCCACACGTTCTTTACAGTCTACCGAAAGCAACGCTCGCCTTGGCCAGTCTAGCGTTCACGTCGTCATCGAAAACGTTGCTGGAGAGAGTGCTACCGAGGTATGTGAACTTGTCCGCTACATTTAGTCGTTGGTTATTGATGGTGATGTTGGGCTCAACATACGGTTTGCCTGGTGCTCTGCAGGTGCATGACTTCGGTCTTCTTTGTGCTGATAGGAAGGTCAAAGTGGTCGTAAGCATCAGAGAACTTGTCAATGCTGTGCTGCATATTTACCTTGGAGGTAGCGTTGAGGACAGAGTAATCAGCAAACAGGAGGTCGTTGATGGTGTCCGATTGATCTTTAGACTTGAGTCATCAAAGCGCTATTTGATGCCGGTTCCGGTTTCCGTGCCATCGAAGGCATCAGTCAGCATGGCGGAGAACATCAAGCTGAAGAGCTTCCCTGCTTCACTCCATTTGAGACAGAGAATGGCTCTGAAGATTCGTCGCCATCTTGGACTCTCGTCTGCATCTCGTCGTGCAGCTGTCGAACAATGGTGATGAATTTTGTTGGGCATCCGTACTTTATCATAATTCGCCAAAGGCCTTCTCTGTGTCAAAAGCCTTGGTCAGATCAACGTAAGTGGAGTATGGGTTGGAAATCTGTTCCTGACACTTCTCTTGCAGCTGACGTGCAGCGAACACCATGTCGATTGTACCGCGATTTTTCCGGAAGCCGCACTGACTCTCGGGCAGGAGGCCATCCTCAAAGTGTTTAATGAGACGGTTAAGTAGAACCCGCGCCAGAGTCTTGCCTGCGATGGTGAGAAGGGAAATTCCACGGTAGTTGTCGCAGGCCTGTGTATTTCTCTTTCGCTTGTACAGGTGGATGATTGAGGCATCCTTAAGGACTTGAGGCACCTTCTTTTGGTCCCAAATGAGTTCAAACAGATAGTGGAGTTTTTCGACTTGAGCCATGCTCCCTTCTTTGTAAATCTCAGCTTGGATGGAGTCTCCGCCAGGTGCTTTGCCAGTTGATAGCAGACTAATTGCTTTCTGGATCTCTTCCAGCGTGGGAACGGCTTCCAGTGACTGGTTGATGGGAACCTGGGCAGTCGGTTAATGGCTTCGTCGTTGATGGTAGAGGGGCGTTTCAGAACGCCATTGAAATGCTCCGCCCACCTGTCGAGTATCTTTTCCTTCTCTATGATGAGTGTTAACCCGTCAACACTGAGGAGAGGGGATGAGACTGAAGGAGTTGGACCGTAGACTTCCTTCAGTCCACGGTAAAAGTTCTTCCTGTCATGAGAGTCGGCGTAGCGTTGAATCTCGTCAGCTTTAGCATTCAGCCAGGGGTCCTGCATATCATAAGCTTTTGCTGTACTATGCTGCGAGCGTTCCTCAGAGCGTCTTTCTTGCCTGTGGAGGAGGAATCATCTATATGAGCCTAGTACATGTTAGCGCGGTACTTGTCCTCTAGAAGCTGCGTGATCTCGGCACAGTTCTCATCAACCAGTCTTTGTGTTTTCTGGTGGAGGGCCCCCGGCACTCGAAGGCTGTATTGTACACTGTATTACGAAGTGTGCTCCATGCTGCTTCCACGTCGTGGTCATCCAGTGCGGTGGAGTTCAGGCGTTCATCCAGGGTGTCAGCAAAGTACTGAGAGGAAGACAACTTGAGCTTGCCAACGTTTAGACGTTTTGGAGCCGTGGTCCCTGAGGACGTATCTTGGGTTTGATCCGGAAATGAGTTAAGAGACGATGAGACGGTGATTTGTCCAGCACTCCGCGCCGCACATAGACTTGGTGACACGAACGTCCTGTCTGTCTTTCTTCCTGACGATGACGTAGTCAATAACGTAGTTAATGAGATACCAGTACTTTGAGCGAGGGTGCATCCATGATGTCTTGTTACGGGTGGGAAGGCAGAAAACTGTGTTTATGATGAGAAGATATGACGATATCGACAATATTATATCGATATCGGTCGTGATCAGCACTATTGATTGGAAATGTTTGGCATCATATATGAGACTTTGCGCTATGTCGATGTCGACAACATCATGACGATATCGATCCTATTTGTACAATTTATTTTCACAAAAAGGTATATCATAGTTTTACAATGTCATAATTGATGTCAAAATTTATTCATTATTGTCATGAATATGAAAATAAACTATGATTAAGAAAGGGTTTGGGGTTGTTATTGTTTTGGATTAGGTTTAGAGTAAGGTGTTGGCTTATGGGTGAAAGTTGTAGAATATGTTTTTCAATCATGATTCTATATCGATAAAATGTTGTCGACAATAGGGTAACTTTATTAAATAGAAAGTAAATATGCAATTTAATTATCATGATTCGATATCGATACAGATCGATGGCAGGTATAATCTTTGTTAAAGTAAAGTGATTAAACATAAACACACACACACACACCTTCACACACACAAAGTAACAGGGACGGTATTTACCAAGGGCTGAGCAAACATGATTCGATATCGAAGCGAGATTGTCGATATCGACGATATCGACACTACAGGGAAAGTTTAATAATAGATAGCTTTTAAAGTAACACATGTTAAAAACATATTATTAAGGATGGAAACCATAATTCTGTGAACAAATATGATTCGAGGATGAATTGTAATAGACACACAAGAATAGAGAAATATTATAGTAAACTATAAAAAAGAAATGTGTCGATATCATAACTACGTCGTATCTTGAAAACTTTCCTTAAATTTCTTTTCAGTTTTCTTGTCAAATGTCTTATCCAAGACAGTTGAGAATTATTTACACCCTCTTAGTTTTCAAACTTGATACTACGTGCCTGAAACACATGAACTTCTTAATTTTAAAGTAGAAAATAACTGCATGGATCGTAATTACTATTTTTAAAGTGTTTACTAGTATTTAATTGAATGATTTCAAGAGTCATAGGCTGTCTCGTCATGACGAGAAGGAAAAGTTTACCTCCGTGAATGTGACCTTCAAAGAAACGTCAAGAAGTATACATTTCGCAATACCAATATTTCAAATCTTTTTGCGTCACCAACGTGGAAAATGGAAAACATGTTTGTGTTCTAAATATTATAATTATAAAAACATACTTCGTAGTCAACAACAATTATTAAATGTGTGAGAGAAGTTCTTCCAGTGTTTTAATTGAGCCCTGAACATTTTCTCCTACATACTCAATTGTGCTTGGTTTCAGGAGTGTATGTTTTTTTGTCCCCCGCTTGAAAAGTGGGGGATATTAATTTGGGTTTGTCCGTCCGTCCGTCCGTCTTTCTGTCTGTCTGTAACGCTTTCGTTTCCACACGATATCTCGAGAACCCTTTGAGCTTTTGCAATGAAATTTAACATTGCAACTCCCTATGGACTAAAGAAGACCCCTATTGATTTTGAGGTCAAAAGGTCAAAGGTCAAGGTCATAAATAAGCAAATTCTGTCTGTTAAAACACTTTCGTTTCCACACGATATCTCTAGAACCATTTGAGCTATCGCAATGAAATTTTACATAGCAACTCCCTGTGGCCTAAAGAAGAACCCTATTGATTTTGAGGTCAAAAGGTCAAAGTTCAAGGTCGTAAATTTATACATTCTGTCTGTGTGTAACACTATCATTTCCGGGCGATATTTCAAGAAGATTTTGAGCTTATGCAATGTAATTTTATACCAAAACTCCCTAGGACGTCTCTCGCCCCTCTCAAAGTGCCCCGGCCCGTTTGTTTTATTAGTATAGTATTACATGTCGCTATTTTTAGCGCAGGGGCATGAGGAGAGTTATTGCGTATAAAACAGGTTTTCGGCGGACTTTATGTTCTTATTACATCTATTATAATTGTTTAATAAAGGCTAAATAAATCAAACACCATGGATTGTGTAAAATTTTGAGAATGCTGAACATGAAAACATGAATATATACATGTATGTGACTTTAGTTCTGCATATACTTCGCTCTGGGTAAAGCGACTACGTGGTCTAGTGGTTATGTCTCTCGCTTCAAATGTGAGAGGTCCGGTGATCGAATCTCGGTCAAACCTTTCTTTTTTTTTTTTTTACTAAATGATAGTATTCAGCATGTGAAATGAAAAATTTATGAGGTTATAAAATCATCATTACAGTGTGATAAATATTCCATATAAAAAATCTTCTATACACATAATAAAGAATAAGCAATCAAATCTTTATATGCATATTGACATACATGTATTTTATTTCCTTCAGTATACATGTATACATTTAATAATTCTACAAATTCAGTCAGGGGGAGCCGACTTTTTCCCTAAGCGGGGGACACGAATTCTCTGAATTAGCTTGTTTTTCTAGTTGTACTTGAAAATAAATCGTTAGAATAAAAATAAAAATCGCTGAGATTTCCACTTTTTAGGTTACCCGAGTCACTCCAGTTACTATTGCAATTTGATTTTGTCTGTTATCGTGCGTCGTTAAATTCGTGAACTTTTAAAAAATATTTTTAGCTTCTTTCCCCGAACGGCTGGACCAATTTTCAAAATTCTTTTTCAGCAAAGGGACAAAAATTGTGAATTTAATGATCCTCTCCAAACCCCCTCCCCGATGTCAGAAGTCTGGGGGCAAAACAATCAAAATTAATTCCATTTTCATTTTTAGCTCACCTGAGCCGAAGGCTCAAGTGAGAGCTTTTCTGATCACATTTTGTCCGTAGTCTGTCCGTCCGTCTGTAAACTTTTCACATTTTCAACTTCTTCTCAAGAACTGCTGGGCCAATTTTAATCAAACTTGGTACAAAACATCCTTGGGGGATGGGAAGTTGATATTGTTAAAATAAAGGGTCAAGTCCCCTTCCAAGGGGAGGTAATAAAACAAGACAAAAATAGGGTAGGCTCATTAAAAATTCTTCTCAAGAACTAGTGGGCCAGAAAAGCTGAAACTTATGTGGCAACATTCTGGGGTATTGTAGAATTCAAAATGTTATTCATGACCTCCGGGGGTAGGGCGGGGCCACAATAGGGAATCCAAGTTTTACATAGAAATATATAGGAAAAATATTTTAAAATCTTCTCAAGAACCAATGGGCCAGAAAAGCTGAAACTTATGTGGAAGCATCCTGGTGTAGTTTAGAATCTAAATTGTTAAAATCATGACCCCGGGGGTATGGCGGGGCCACAATATGGAATCCAAGTTTTACATAGAAATATATAGACCAAATACTTAAAAATCTTCTTCTCAAGAACTACCGGGCCAGGAAAGCTGAAACTTAAAGCATCTCTGGGGTAGTGTAGATTCTAAATTGTTAAAATCATGCCCCCGGGGGTAGGGCGGGACCACAATAGGGAATTCAAATTTCATATAGAAATATATAGGAAAAATCTGGGGAAAAAAATAGGAATCCAAATTTTATATAGAAAAAATATATAGAAAAAATATATAGGAAAAATATTCTTCTCAGGAACCAGTTGGTCAGGAAAGCTGAAACTTAGGTGGAAGCATCTTGGGGTAGTGTAGATTCTAAATTATTAAAATCAAGACGGGGTGGTGGTGGGGGGTTGAGGTGGGGTAGGAGGCCACAATAGATATAAGAAGAGGGGAAATCTGGTAAAGAACTGCATCACCAAAGCTACTCAGGTGAGCGATGTGGCCCATGGACCTCTTGTTTATACCCCCGCTTGAAAAGTGGAATTGGTGATATCACCTATTCATTTTCCGTACGTGATATCGCCTATTCGAAAAGGTGATATCATTTATTCGAATAGGTGATATCACCTATTCGAATTGGTGATATCAACTTACTGGAAATGAATAGGTGATATCACCTATTCGAATAAATGATACACCTGTTCGTGTTGAATAGGTGATATCACCTATTCTAATAAGTGATATCACCTTTTTCGAATAGGTGATATCAGCAAATCAAATCAAATAGGTGATATCACCTATTCGAATAGGTGATATCACTTTTTGGCAGTAAATACTAAAACTGCGCCCCATAATAAATACCAAAACGGCGCCTCATAAGTTCTAGAGTTAGGACGTGGCTATTTAGATTTAAGAGAGAAAATGTATAAATTCTATGAAAATCTTATTTGTTCCGTAAAAGTTATGCATGGTTATTATGAGCAACAGTATCTCTTCGAAAATTATTAATTTATATGTTCAGTTCCTGCATGGGCCAGGGCTTAGTGTTCGGTTGGTGTTCATTTAGTAAATTTCTGTTATAAAATTTTGCTAAAGTGGCATACGCGTCGGGACCGGGGGGGGGCACTTTTTTGCAAATATATATATGACCGATTAGCTAGGGGGTATCCACTCTGTGGCTCGAACCTACGACCCTCAGATTTAAAATCCAACGCTCTACCGAATGAGCTAAAGGGTTAACCCACTAGCTATTGCTAGTAGGAGCGTGGCCTCACTATTTACAACACATAGCCACTTTTTAAACTCTGTTACACTTCCCCCTTCTTTTTGAGATTTCTTACCCCTAAGAAATCTCACACACGAGACTCTGTAAACACCACTCACCATGTGGGTTTTTTAGTTGGGCGCCAATATGTAATAGGGTTCTTGGAATGACAACATCGTTTCTGGTTTGGATGATTTTATTAATAGTACAAGTAGTAGACCCTGTAATTACAATAACAATTATTAGACAAGATAAAAATATACATTTAACTGCAATACAGTATTTGTTATCATTGTAATAAATTCATACTTTATAGTTCATATTCTCTTTGTGTTAAATTTATATAAAAATAATCACTTCTTTATCACAGATCAATTTATCATAAAAATAATTCCTTTGACAATTTAGTAATTTAAAATAAAAGAAAATCATAATAATTTATCATAATCATTATCCGATACCAAATAATTCAGAATCAAATAATATTACTGAACATTTACAAAAATACAATTTCATGCATTTGACTGAATACACATGAAATTCAATTCAACACAAAATATAAACATGCAAGACAAATACTCAAAATAAAGTTCTGTCAACACATAAATATAATAGAACAACACAAACATAAAACACATAGATTACCTTCAATATGGTCAAAAGGTCTGGATGTTATTACATACTGTACTAGTAGCTAATACATGTAGCTGTTTCAGTCCTATAAAGAATGCATAAAAATGAGTAATCTCCCTTAGCTGATATAAAAATCTTTAATAATGATAACTGATTAATTTAATGAAAAATACCTATGCTTTAATCGGAAAGGATTATTTCTACTTACACTCAACAGAGTCAAATACAACACAACCTACTTACACTCAACAGAATCAAATACAACACAACCCCTTGAACAACAAACCACTGAACTTCAAATCACCTGATCACAACTGTACAACTGGGTGAAATTAAAATGTGTGTTTCTTTCAGTCAACACTATCTCTCAATTTATCTGAAATTCCTAATAGTTTATACTCCTATTTATTTCATTTAATAAATGCTTTTCTTTTTCAAAAATAATTAATTGAATGCTTTATCTGAATACCCCCCCCCCCCCCCAAAAAAAAAATGAATGTTGGGCGCCAATATGACCGATTAGCTAGGGGGTATCCACTCTGTGGCTCGAACCTACGACCCTCAGATTTAAAATCCAACGCTCTACCGAATGAGCTAAAGGGTTAACCCACTAGCTATTGCTAGTAGGAGCGTGGCCTCACTATTTACAACACATAGCCACTTTTTAAACTCTGTTACACTTCCCCCTTCTTTTTGAGATTTCTTACCGCTAAGAAATCTCACACACGAGACTCTGTAAACACCACTCACCATGTGGGTTTTTTAGTTGGGCGCCAATATGTAATAGGGTTCTTGGAATGACAACATCGTTTCTGATTTGGATGATTTTATTAATAGTACAAGTATAAGTAGACCCTGTAATAACAATAACAATTATTAGACAAGATAAAAAAAATATACATTTAACTGCAATACAGTATTTGTTATCATTATAATAAATTTATACTTTAAAGTTCATATTCTCTTTGTATTAAATTTAAATAAAAATAATTACTTCTTTATCACAGATCAGTTTATCATAAAAATAATTCCTTTGACAATTTAGTAATTTAAAATAAAAGAAAATCATAATAATTTATCATAATCATTATCCGATACCAAATAATTCAGAATCAAATAATATTACTGAACATTTACAAAAATACAATTTCATGCATTTGACTGAATACACATGAAATTCAATTCAACACAAAATATAAACATGCAAGACAAATACTCAAAATAAAGTTCTGTCAACACATAAATATAATAGAACAACACAAACATAAAACACATAGATTACCTTCAATATGGTCAAAAGGTCTGGATGTTATTATGTTCCCCAAACGAAGTTTGGGAACATATTGTTTTTACTTTTTTTCTGAATTTTCTTCTCCGGTACTTTTTTTGTCCGCGAGTGTTCTCGTAAACTACTCATCCGATCTAGGTGAAACCTTTTTAGGGTCACTAGGTATGTTATGTAGATGTGCGGAACGAAGGTCATTTTGCGCGCACGTGCGTGCATGTGCGCACACGTGTAACGCGTGAAATGACCAATATGATAGATATAGCCGTAACCTTTTAAATTTTTGATGAAATGCTTTGAAACTCATAATATAAGGATATAATAGTAGTATAGACATGATGACATGGTCAAAATAGCAAGATCTCACGCGCATGAACGTGCGCTTCGTTCCGATTGGTTGAAACAAAAGTCTTTATATCTTTTTTGTTTTTTGACAAAATCCTTTAAAATTTTGAAAATAGTCATACATTATGAAGATCTACAGCATGATATATAAGAATAATCATGAACGCAAGCACATGCACGTTAGCTGCAATCTGATTGGCTAAAAGTTTAAATGCCTAAAACTTTCTTAGTTCTCAATAATAAAGGGTGAAATTTCGAATATGAATAGATATAAGGAATGCCTTCATTATTCTACCATCAAAAGTAAATGCACGGACGTCATGCACATGCGCGCACACACAATGCGTTAAACGACAGTATACTTAAGTCTTTTGATGTTCATGCAGAATTAAGAACTTATAAATGTAAAGACATGTAACATACTGAAGCAGATCTTTTTACCCTTGACCTTGATACTTAGGTCAAGGTCACTAGTAACCTGAATAAAATGTTGATATTAGCTATTTACCAAAATGACCTTGACCTATGAACTTGAAATCGACCTTAACCTTTGACCTTAACCCAAGGGTAGAAAGACCCCCCCCCCCACACACACAAAGTAAAGAATCGCTGTAAAGCTCAAATTACACCTCGGACCCACATAACATTTCAAGGAAACTGCAGAAAAGAGCTCGAGGAAAGAGTATTGAAATATTTGATGTGAGTTTCCAAAGTATATAGAAATTATTAATTTTATTAATTACAAATCCTGTCGTGTTTGAAATTAAAGTACAGATGAATAAAAGTGGTATATAAGCCTTCTTTGTTTACATGTATTTATTCGGATGTCGTTAACAGCATTCAATTCTACTGATTTGAAACAATATTTTAATACCAAGCATCCTTTGTTTATTTAACCTTTGAAATTTAATTGATTTTTTTTTTAGAATTACGCAATCCCCAGAAATTCAAAATCAATATACATGTACGCTCCTTCGTAAAAAAAAAAAATCAGGTATTTGCATTTATGAACAATATTAATATGAAGGTCTTAAAGAATATTGCTCACATTAGCTGATACGAATGTCTTTATAAATATCTATTGTAAACCCCAAAAAGTAGCCTCCTATGCATTGGAAAAAATGAATAGTTCCGGTCAAAATCCTTTACATGTATATATTTATTTACATAGTATATAAAATTTACTAGGCACAGGTACCAGAGTTGTCAAAATGACCAGAGAGGAAATATATTTTAAAAAATCTGAACAGATTAAAGGAAAATCCCTTTTCTATGTATGGAACTAAAATTGACTAAGTTCATTTTGATTGGTTAGCCATTGGCGTGATATCCTTAGTCAACTTTAACACAGCCTTGTCGTCGGAATAAAACCAACTTTGAGCCCGAGGTTAAAATCAGTAGAGAATTTAAATGAGAATGGGTATTTCAAAAAATGATATATACTAGAGATGTGGTAACTTTATATCTGTACTTTTTCTATTATTCGCGGGATAGAAAGATGTGTTAATCGCTTAACCAACATGCCATGATCATCTTGCATATGCATGTACATGTACGTGTGCGCCCATGCAAAACGTTAAACGATATATAGTTGATATCATTGTAACTTTTATATCTTTAAATGAAATCCTTAAATACTTAGTATATTTATAAAAGATGTTACAGGAAAGGCTATGGCACGAAAAGGGACATGGGGAGCGTTTGGGGAACATCTGTAACGGTCCCCGTTACAATTAGCCCTAGTTACATACTGTACTAGTAGCTAATACATGTAGCTGTTTCAGTCCTATAAAGAATGCATAAAAATGAGTAATCTCCCTTAGCTGATATAAAAATCTTTAATAATGATAACTGATTAATTTAATGAAAAATACCTATGCTTTAATCGGAAAGGATTATTTAAATTATATGAAATAAAAGCTAAAATTCCTAATTTTATGATAAATTACATTACAGTTACACAAGTTATTTATAAAACTAATTTTACAACTTTACACCTATTTATTCATTTCACTCAGTCCTACATATATACAATTTCATGACTGAATTAGAGTGAAATGTCAGATAAAATATTTATGTTTCTCATTTTACACAAATACACAAACTCTCAAACTTACACTCAACATTCTAACACCTTTTTCACTCACTTTCATACAAAATCAAAATCACAATCATACAAAATAATATAACAACAGACCTGAGATCCTTGAAATACACCCTCGATGAAAATGTAGACGTAGTGAATAACCAAAATAGTAAACTCAGGAATCACCGAGATCAACATGTACACCCTGTCCTCTTGGACACAAAGACTAGTATGACCAGTTCTACCCAAAAATAAATCTATCCACAAAGAGATTTCCCTCCAAAATCTTGACCAATGAAATCTCATTGTCAGGTCACTTCATAGGTCACTGACCTCTCAAAGTTTATAGCTAAAGTAAGTATAAGGGAAACTTATATCTAATAATTCTTAATTAATTTCTAAATAATTCTAAAGCTTCTAAAGTATAATATACCTTAAATAAATAATAAACTGCTGAAATATAAATAAGTAAAATTAAATAAATTCCTGGAAATAATCATATCCAAATTATTTTAGGCATGTCAAATAAACTCAAAATACTAAAATACTAAAACTATATACTCTTTTTAAATATTTACACTTTACCACATATACATAATATAGGCATTGAAAATTGGGGTTTACCTTTTTTTGTTGGTTTAGCCCCCCCCCCCCCCCCCCCCCACTTTCAATTTGCTTCCGACGCATATGAGTGGGTCAAACTCCAAGGTAAATGTGAAAAGGTCAAATATGTAGGAACCAAAACAAAATGAAGGTCTTAATTGTCACATGGAATACATATGTGAAAGTCACAGCTCCAATCAATCAAAAGTTATTGGCAATGTCAAAGTTTTTTTTCCAGACAGACAGGCAGACGGACAGGGTAAAACTATATACCCCGAATATTCGAATATGGTGGCATAATAATTAACATATATTCAAGTTACGTAATCATGGTAATTGTTTTAAAATAAGGTGAAAGCTGCACAGGCATTGATAGATCACATGATCAATAATCTGAGCAAAAAAACCACGTGATTTCCATGCATCACATGTTTGAAAATGGCGGCTTCCGTTTGGATCAGCGGGTCTGTTCTATTGCTTTTGTTTTGTGTAACATGCAATGGACAGAACACAAATTACATTATTGGTGCTGGAATTGCAGACATTACTGGTCCAGCGGCGGAGGTTGACATGGTAATTATTGGTATTTTTTAATTAAAAATGTCTGAATTACATCAGGAACCTACCGGGTATATACTAATAAATGTTCCTGATTACATATATAGACTCTTGTCTCGCACTTTGTGCAATGGAGATATAAAAAGTTAGGACCAATCGCCCAAACGGGATAGATCATCCCAAATGGGTTATTGGGATCCGAAAGAGCTATTACAATGTATTTAAAGTCATATACGCTATATGAACGCCGAATTCTGTGTGAAACAAAATGATTAACGATTAAAAACACATAAGTGTTATGAAAAATAATACTTTCCACAAAATTGTACTATAGTCTTCGTTGTAATAACAAAACAATTAAACAATATCTAGGAATCAAGAATTCAGTCATTTCATGAATATTGATGAAGGAAGTGCGTAAACAGTAGGCCTATATATAGAAACACATGTCCACGGGAAATCACAGATAACGAGGTATATGTGCATTTTGACAACAATCATTAATATAAGGTTAATATGCGTCATAACAGAGTAGATGGTTGTTACTAAATACATTAAAAGATAAGTACCATTAAGAGTAAGACGCTTGCCATCCACGTCAAAAGTGAGTAGTATCTCAAACGGCCTACCTTGTTTTCTTTACGCCACGTTTGTTTATCAATCTAAAAGTAGCGACGGCGTCACGTGATGGATTTATTTTAAAATAGCTATTTTTCTTTCCTAGCAGGGTAATAAATAATTATAATTTGATAACTTTTTAACGCGTTTAATTTTAATGGTATAATTTACAGTATTTTCGTAACTTTTAATGATAAATAAATTATATCAATTTCCAATCTTATTTAAACTGGCGCAAGTTATAGCGTGTATACTTTTAAGTAAATATCCAAAACTTATTTTCCAGTGTTTCTATTCATAATGATAACAAAAAGTGAATTTTGAGATTTTTTAACAACTCATACAAATGTGAATACAAGTAGCATGTTAACCTTCAATTTGAAAAAGAAATTGAATTTTGAATTCAACAAGAAAACTTAATACAAAACATAATTGTTTCCAAAATATGCCTTTTTTTTTTCAATTTAAAATTCCCAATTGAAAGGATACAGGACCCTGTACCGAAAAGGGTCAATGTAGCCCTGGAATTGCAAAATTAAGTGTTGCAATAACTAATGTTAAGACTAAAACTAAAAACCTGATGAGTATGAATATATTTTTTAAGATGGGATATGCCAATCCTGGCCAGACAAGTAAAGGTATTCATCTCCGTCAATACAGTCGAGCCTTCATCATTGCTGACTCAGCCAACAAAAGCAGGATTGTGTTTGTTAGCACAGATTCATGTATGCAGTCTCAAGGACTTAAACTAGAGGTTTGTGTTTAAGACAATTAAAAAAAACCCAAATATTTCATGTCCTGGGCGAGTGGCTGCTTTTACTTTGAATTTCACAGAAATATTTTGAAGGGACAATTTGGCGAACAAGTTGCTAAAAGGATATGCAGGCATTAGTGCATTTTAAGGATTGATTGTGGTAATACCTCCACATGTTATATTCCATGTTAACAGTCCTTGTTAGATATGCACACAAAAGGGAGCCATAAATATATTTACAAAACTTTCATTGTTTTTATTTTCCCCTGATTTCTGTTAATTTAAAGTCATCAAAGAAAATGATTTCATTTGAATCACAGATGTTGAAATGCACAAAAGCTATAAAGTGATGCCCATTCAAAATGTTCAAAAGCTGTCTTGATGATGTCTTATTCTTTTGAAGCGTTAAAACTTCTTTAATTTGTTTCAGATCATCAAACGGCTGAAGAGCAAGTATGGAGGTTTATACAATGAGAGGAACGTGGCTATCAGTGGAACCCACACCCACTCTGGTCCGGGGGGATTCCACCAGTACCTCCTCTATGACATCACTTCCCTGGGATTTGTCAATGAAACTTTCCTGTCTCTGGCTGAAGGAATTGTTGCTGTGAGTATTTTGCTGTAAATCTAAGTATTCTTGATATGCATCTATAAGCAGAAACTTTACTGCTGTTGGTCTAAGATTTATTTTCGAAAGAATCATGTATAAGAGTGAAAACTAATTGAAGATGTTTCAAATGTATTAAATAAACATAATATGTGAGAATTGAGTACCTGTGATAAAATATCAATATATTTCATTTTTGAGAATCAAAAACAATGCAAAATTTTTCTGTGTTATGATTTGATCAGAATCTAAGTGTTATGTGAGGTATCCAAAAAGTGAGAATTGAAATAAACTAACTTGCAGAATAAATACATGTATGAACACATGTTGTCTGTTTATATCATGTAGGTGAGCAATCCCACACTCTCATATAAACATTTATGTAATTTTAGAGCATTGATAAGGCCCATAACTCCATGCGACCAGGAAATCTGTACGTAAATACTGGAGAGCTTCTGGACAGTAATATTAATAGAAGTCCTACAGCCTACCTCAATAATCCTGCAGAAGAGAGAGCCAAGTAAGTATTACCAAGACAGAACCCCAAGAGGACAAAAGTCCTACAATCTACCTCAATAATCCTGCTGAGGAGAGAGCCAAGTAAGTTTTATGTAATCAGAGTCGAAAGGAAAAAGTCCGAAAGCCTTCTTCAAAATTCTTGCTGAGGAGAGAGAGCAAAATAAGTGTCACGTAAACAGGATCAAAGAGGGCAGTCTGCCTCAGTAATCCTGCTGAGGAGAGAGGTAAGTACCAGGTAAATGCTACATAATCAAGATCAATAAGGACCAAAGTCCTACAGCCTACCTTAATAATCCTGATGAGGAGAGAGAGATAAGTAAGTGTTACATAATCAGGATTAAAGGGGACAGAGCTCCTACAGCCTACCTCAATAATTCTTCTAAGGAGATAGTGAAGTAAGTGTTTCATAAACAGGATCAAAGAGGGCAGCCTGCCTCGGTAATTCTGCTGAGGAGAGAGAACTCAGGTGTACCCAGACAAGGTCCTATATGGTATCAGACCCATAACCTAAATCATGAATCCCTTATAAGTAATGGTGAAATTAAACTTATTAAACGACAGATAAAATTATGTTGGGATCAGAAAGAAGACATATTTGCTGTCTTACATAATTATGTATATACTAATCTTTCACAGGTACAGATATGATGTGGACAAAAATATGACAGTCCTAAGAATGGTAGATGCTCAGAACAAAGGCATTGGAATGATCAAGTCAGTCAGTTTTACCATTAGTTTCTGTTTTATGTGCATGGTTGGAAGAACTACATTATAGCTAAAGCATATAAATTGAAAATGGTACTCATTAATTAATATAAGACAGTAGTTTAATGGAAACTTTTGCATTATATTTTATTGTTACTACTTACTGTTGTTTTAGTTGGTTTGCTGTTCACTGCACCAGTATGAACAACACTAACCACCTGATCAGCAGTGATAACAAGGGGCTGGCAGCTCAAATGTTTGAGGCCGACATGAACAACGGAGCATTCCCAGGAAAAGTGAGTCGGGTTGTCATTCATACAAGGGGAATTAAAACAGTTCAGAATTTTTTTTAGTAAAATTCAAAACTGTTTAATGGAGGCTGATATCTTAAAGTCTTACAAAATTGGCATGTTTGTCAACATGCATGCATTAAATACAAGGGTGATAAAAGTCATTGGTAAAATTGAAAATATTGAAATGTCAGGAATGCAGAGCTTGATATTGGAGAAATTCCCTGCATAAATTCTTCACTAATGCTTCATCTTAAGGGATTGGGTGCTGAGAGGTTATGCTAGGCCTGTCCCATGTTTCCTTATTGACAATAAAACACCTATATGTACAGTTGAATTTCAGTATCTCTAACATCAGTGAGTATCTTGACTACCATGGATATGTTTAAGGGATTTTATGTTTAAAGGATTTTGAAGTACAAACTGCTCAATGTATCATCTTAGATATTTTAAATATGTAGATATCTAGATTTTTTTGGTCCTTGAGCCCAAGATAACAAGGTTTGGCAGTACATGTAAATCCTTAACCATATCTCTGTATGTTGGGAAATTGTGACTGATGGCAGATGAAGTGAGAGCTTTTTATTATATCATTACACAGGGTGAGTTTGTATCAGCGTTTGCTCAAAGTAATGAAGGTGATGTGTCCCCAAACACAAAAGGACCCCACTGTCTGGACACAGGCAAGCCGTGTGATGTCCCCACAAGTACCTGTAATGGCAGGGTAGGTACCAGATGGGGGAGGATCATATAATTCTTAAAAATGTAGATTTAAACCTTAAATTTTAAAGGAGTGCTGTCTTTAATATGCATTATTATTGCTCACTGTGTAAAAAAAAAATGGTTCTATATAAATTGGATGTTGTTAATTTTCCCTCCAACAGAATGAGCTTTGTGTTTCCCCTGGCCCTGGTAAAGACATGTTTGACAGCACCAGGATTATTGCCAGTAACCAGTACAAGAAAGCTAAGGTATTCAGCAATCAAGTTTAAAACTACAAGTAGTGTGTAAAATTATTGCAACATTTTTATCCAGCTTATATATAATATTCAAATAGTTCCTTATAAAATTAATGAAATGAATTTTGTTGTAAACTTGGAGTGTATGTGATTTGAATTTCACAGATACTTTATAATGACCCCGCTGCTTTGAAGCTTGAGGGCCCTGTAGACTTCAGACATACTTATGTTGACATGTCAAATGTAATGGTGCAGATCAACCAAACATCAAAGGTAGGAAAATTTGTATATATTGATGTAAATTTGTTAAAATGAAAAACATAATCAATCTTTAGTGTAAGGTTATGAGGGGGCATGATTTGGGGCTGGAATGTTATTTTTAAATGTATACTGAAAATGAGAGTGTAAAAGGACTACCCGGTAGTTCATTCATGTACTTAAATATAAACCTATGGATTTTACCAGTTATCTGACATATGGACATAAAAACATAAGACATAGAAATACACCACCATTCTGAACCAATAATCCCTCAGTATTTATCTTTTTACTCCACATCTGTGTAGGTCAAGACCTGTAAGCCTGCCATGGGTTTCAGTTTTGCTGCAGGAACCACAGACGGTCCAGGGGCCTTCAATTTCACTCAGGGTAAATAGCATTATTAGCAACTTGAACAAAAGGAAAGAGTATTATAACTGTGCAATCATTGTATTTCATGTGGGTTTAATGCAATGTTTGTAAATTTCGATGGCATGAAGGGATGAACAAATCCTGCATATTCAGGCAAAATCATTTATAGTGAGTTGTTTGCCATAAAAGTATGTCTATACCAACTCTAAATTTAAGGCACGATTGAAAATTGGCCACCAAATTAATATAATTCCACATTATGAAGGATTAAATTTCTCTACGTTTTGTCAAGTTTATATTGGTATTTACCTGGTTTTATTATAGGTGATACAACAGAAAATCCATTCTGGGATTTCATTCGTGATTTTCTGAAGAAACCCTCTCCAGAACAACTGGCATGTCAGCACCCTAAACCCATACTTCTGGACACAGGGGAGGTAATCATTTAAATTAAACAAAAGAAAGAGAGAAATACCGGTATAGGTATCATTTGTTTTTCACTTTGTCTGTCTCCACATAGTCATCCACATGTTTTTTTTTCTGTAAGTAATGATATAAGAGGAAAAATATATGATTTTCTGTACATGTATATGCTGTAGCAAAATCCGTCATCCAAAGTGAACTTGAATTGATGTCACATTTTGATGAAACTTATAATTATTATAAAAGTTATTTCTCACAAACAAACTTAGACAGTAAAAGCATGGAAAACTTGCTTTCAGAATGTCTCCAAATTGTATACAATGTACTATTGTCAGAAGCAAGTTCTAGGTATAAATTCTGACATTCCTTTCTTCACTACAGATAAGTGTTCCTTATGCCTGGTCCCCCTCTATTGTTGACCTACAGATCTTCAGGGTTGGACAGTTAGCTATCATCTCTGTACCAGCAGAATTCAGGTCAGCAATCAATGTTTGACAAAATACTGTAGTAAAATGTAAGGAGATGATTGTAAATGATTGATTTTACTGTATTTTAGTAACGGTATGCATCTTCCAAACCTTAACGATAATTTTATTACATTTCAGTACTATGTCAGGAAGAAGAACAAGGGACAGTATAACAGCTGTAAGTTATGATAATTAAATATAGAAGTGGTTATAAAGCAAAATTTATGAAAATATGCAAAACTTTTTTCAATTTTTTTCATATTCAAGACATTGAAAGCATCAGGTCTGCCTGCCAATACAGTGTCTGTGATTGCTGGTCTGACCAATGACTATGCTGACTATGTCACAACATATGAAGAATACCAGGTATGCAACTATCATTTTTCAAATTAATTAAAGTTATCATAAGAATTCATGAATTTTATTTGAACAAAAAGCACTTAGTACTCTGAATTTTGGGAAGTTTTTTATTCTTATAAACTGTATAACGCTCTAAAATATCATGCGAGTATATCATTCAAATGTTTTGTTGACAGGAAGAATAGTTTATTACAGGGAATAATTACTTTCAATTTTAGTATTTTCTTTTATTTTGAATGTCAGATTCAGAGGTATGAAGGAGCCTCAACCATCTATGGACCTCATACACTGGAAGCATTCATACAGGAATTCAATAAACTCGCAGTAGCTCTTGCAAAGGTAAAATATGGACATACATGTATACATCAACAGCTAGTAATGTGAAATTTATTTCTTCTTGAATAAATCTAATTTTCTAACATTAATTTAAATTTCAACTTAGTTGGCATTAGCTCTTAGAAACTTACAGTAAGATAGAATGCTGACCATAAATGGCATTGTCAATATGGAAATTTAAACAATCGTTTTCATTAACATAAGGTAAAGATTCTCTTAAGGTTATCTTCATCAATCTGGACTTGTAACAGTCAATGGTATGTATATTTGTATTTCTTTATTATAAGGGTACACCAGCACCTCCAGGCCCCACCCCTCCCAACCTGATGGACAGACAGCTGTCTTTCCTCCCTCCACTTATCTTTGACCATGCTCCTTTTGGGAATAGTTTTGGTGATGTTGTCACTGATGCCAATCCACAGTATAAACAGGTAAAATACATGTACTGGTAGTAATTTCTTAATTCATGATCTTATCTCTCTTTTGTTTCTTCTTCATTTTACTTCTAAAAGAACATATCATTTCCTTTCTTTTGATTTTAGGGAGATTCTGTGCAAGTAACATTTATAGGAGCCAATCCAAGAAATGATGTGAAGGTACCATAACTTTTCAAAGACTTATAACTTTCTTATCTATAGAAAATTTAGATGACACACCTTCTAATGTGTTGTTAAAAATCATTTGATTTTTATTTTTAGTTGGAGGATACATTCTTGACTGTGGAAATGCAGCAACCTGACAAAAGCTGGAAAGTTATGTACACAGACAGCCAGTGGGAAACAAAGTAAGCTTTCAATGGCCAGAATTATTATATTGCCTTTAAGAAAACAGAAAGATTTGATTTGTCAAAATTCCTAGGCCGCAAAGAATCAAAGCAAGCTTTTTAAAAATATTCATCAGAATTATGTAAGCTTTTAATAGTTGGTGAGAATTGCTACATTGTTGTTGTTTGTATACATATATATAGAATTTGTAGTGTTTGCATGAAATAATTTTGTTATGTGTTTTGAATTACATGTATTAACGGTTTATTTCATCATTAGATTTGAATGGAAGCACACCAGCCTGTTGCTTGGAGAGAGCCAGGTGACCATTACTTGGGATATCCCTCAGAACCAGACCCCAGGAACCTACAGAATTCAGTACTTTGGAGACTCCAAAAGCTTAGATAGAAAAATCACAAAGTTCACTGGGAAATCAACCGAATTCAAGGTCATGACCCCCAAACAATACAGGAAGCATAAGTTTGAGGCACCTAAGAGGGTAAATGAAGTATTGAAAAAGAACTGGAACTCTCTATTTAAACATAAATATAGTCAAGATATGTTTATTTCGAACAAAAAGCACTGAAAATTGTTGTTTGTCAGGTTTATTGAGATCTTTGCAATATTGGTTTTTCAATGATATTATTTTGTAAAGCGGCTTTCACTTAATTTACACATAAAAAATATTTTGATCTGGAATCGACCTGATATGGTACAAACAAGTTATCTAATATTCTTTAAATGTCGGATTTTCGGGTTTGAATATGATCAATTATTATATGTAAGATTACATAAATCTGAATAATCTTTCATTAATTTTTTTTCATTTGTAAATTATTGTTGATTTGTTATGAAGTGTTGTATATCAGAAATCCATTTCTTGTGGTCTGTCTTTTAAACCATTACCTGTTTATATGTGTTCTAAACATTCTTATATTTCTAAAAAATGCTATTTTGATTTTGTTATGCATTGCAGTATATTTCAAATAATTGTCATCCAAAGTTTTCATCTATTCATTAAAAGTTTACCATGACAGTTTAAGATTACGTATAGAATTTGACATCATGTATATTTTTAAAATTATTTTATAATCATCTGTAAAAAGTTCAGTGATACATTTATAACTGAACATGATTGAAAGCTTTTCAAATGATTTGAAAGGAAATGTTACATCAGAAATATACCGGTATGTGTCATTCTGTAATGTTTGACTTGAAATATGTGTATGACAGATGTTTAATATGTCTCTTTGTTATTTAATTTACATAATGAATGTGCCAAATAATGAATTCCTTTTTGTACATGTACAATTTAATTCTCTATGTTAATATTTTCTATGATTCGTTAATTTTCTTTCTGATTGTCATTAAATGTGAAAAAGTTTATTGTGTATTGATTCTAAGACAGCACCAAAAACAGCTGCAGTGTAGTGTGCATCATTTTCAATGTAGTTCAGAAGAAAAAGAAACAAAAATGAGGTCCATGGATCACAAAGCTCACCTGAGTTATATTGACACTGCTATTTTTAAAACAAGATATTCAACAGGTTTTCTACAGAAAAATGTCTTAAGATGTGTTCTCATCCAAGTCCCAAGTGGTCAGGACTCATGGAACTTGTGTCCACTTAGCATAGGAATAAATAGCTAAAATGGAATTGTTGCTCTGGTGAAAAAGCCTTTTTTAAAAGTGTTTTCCTGAATTTAGCCTCTTCCTAGCCCTAAGGTCCATAATTTAAGGGAAAAATAAACAAGGACCCATGCAATGAGAAAATATTTTCATTCTGATGTGATAAATTGTGGCCCTGCTCTTGATTTTTTTCAATTTTTAAACAAAATGCAAACCCCTATCATGGTTCCACCCAGCACCTGGGAATCCAAAATTTGAACAAACTTGAATTGTTCTATATTTTGTTATGTAAAACTTTGATCTCTTAATTTGGCCCCATCTTTCTCCTGAAGGCCATGAACTGAAAAAATGAGAAATCACGTTTAACCCGAGGCCTACACTTTTAGGAAATACTATTTGTGAATTTCAGTATGTAAATGTCACCGATCTTGGAGAGACATCATATTTCGATTGATAGCAACAATTTACGTACTAGTAATTTTCGTTTGAAATAATCTAGGTCTCAAGCGTTAATTATTATTATATATTACAAATTTATCCCAGCTAAGGGGATTCAATTCTCTGGGATGATTCGGACAATACGTATATGATTATTATTTGAACTGGAATGTTAAATGTTATAATTTCAGCACCAGTGAAGTTATAAGTACGCCCTGGATGGTGATTACGAGGGGTTATCAAAAAGTTCGTGGACTGAAGCTATAAAATTAGTACTATGTAGTCTGTGCCTTCAAAATTTACGAGGAACATAAAACAACAAAAAATAAAGAAATGTTGAAAAATGTAGCCTGATACGTTCACTATTTGCCAAATTATTATAAAATGAAAACGACATTATATGATTACCCGACCCCGTCGTCGTTTAGTTTCCAGACGTCCGACAAAGTCATTGTTTTTCAATGTCCGCTTCTTCTACCTCATACACTTTTTTGATGAGATTCCCTGGAGCTGAGTAAGGATTTAAACCCGCCTTGTTTATATGACTTTACAATGTCATGAACAGTGGTCTTTAATGAATATAATATTCCAAATGGATTAATATATTGGGAGAGATCCGCGCTTGATTGTGCCGGCATATTTTGCTTTTGGGAGTTCAATATCTACGTACAACTCTTGATCAATGTCGTTTTTTTGCGCGATTGATTTTTCACACCTTGACTGCAAATCGGCTTTAACTTTGTATTCCTTTTCTCTCTGAATCTATTTTGACATTAAAAGACAAGTACCCTGGATGCATATTATTTCTCTCTAGCCAGTTTCAACATATTTTAGGTCTATACCAGTTTTTTCAGGGGTAAAACTTTATAGAATGTTGGAAACGGAAACCCCTCCCCCCTTTTGACGTCATTTTCAAGGCCTCATTTGTTTGGACATTCCGTGTAAAATTTACGATAAAATTTCATAGAACTTCCAGAATGAAGTGAAAACTTCATATTCTATGGAAAAATTGTGTCCCAACACATACCTGAATTAACGGGAATTTCGGATGTCAAATGATCATATCGAAAGAGTCATAGGTCGCAAAAACCTCGTTTTCGAGGTTGCGCCGCCTGGACAAACCATTGCTTACAAAAACATTACTAATTTATTAAAAAATAAAATTCATGATTTATGGTTTATTCTTTCGATAGAAAAGATGATGCTAACTAGATATCTTAAAATTCATTGATGTACCTAAAGCAGTTTTAATTTTATGACGCTAGTCCACGAACTTTTTGATAACCCCTCGTACACAGAAGCTCTGATTCGTAAAAGGAATGTGTTGACTCTCGATGTATCTTAGGTCCCCTACATAGGCGTAGTCACGGGGGGGGGGGCAGCGGGGGCACTAGCCCCCCCCCACTTTCAGATCGGGGGGGGGCAAGAGTATGTCTGTGCCCCCCCCCCCCCACTTATTGTAGAACAAAATCACAAGCTATGTTGAAAAAATATTAAACCCTCATTTTATGGCAAATTTTCAACAACAACTGAGTGATATCATTTCTTTTGAAGTAATAATTGTATAATATAGTAATGAAATCTGTCGAGACCTCTTGTTTTCGCTAGTATGGGATAGGGAGTGTGGGTCATAAATTTAAGTTTAGATGTTTCTGTTTCACTCAGCATCTGTTATCTAACAAAATTAAATGGGAATCACAAGCTGCCCCTTGTGTTGACATCTAAAAGTCATTATTTATTTGCTGTTACGGTATCCCATTTCTTGTTTAACACATAGTCAAAAAGTAAGTTTTGTCAAACTTCCGGCTTTTTAATTATTTAATTTTGCTGATTCATTAGCACTCTTTTATGTTTACATATATGTACTATAGAATATATTCTAGCCAATCCAAATCTCATCAAAATAAGTAATTTCTACAAGATAGCTGCAGTATTGGAGATTCTGATTTCGGTATACCTGTGATGAATGTCAATCAACTTTAAAAATACTATTTGAAATCCTCTCATTCAGCTTCATCGTCGGAAAGCCACGGGTGATCTCGTCTTTACTTAAAGACGAGATCACCCGTGGCTTTCCGACGATGATTCAGCTTAGACAGGGGCTTGATATCACTTAGGCTAGCAGATTTAAGGGGGTGTGAGGGGCGCACACCCTTAAAATTTTTTAAAAGTATGATATAATGATTAATATTATTAATGCCATACTTTGATACATATCTAACCAATGCCACTATTTCTGTTTCTGGTTTTACTATTAAATTACACGAAAACTCAGGAGCTTCCAGGGGCTTCGCCCCCTAGTCCCCCACCATTCAAAGTGTGAAATGACTAATATTATATCAAACCTTACTTTGGTATACCCACTGGGGGCCTAAAGGCGGCTCCCTGACCCCCTGCTTGAACGAAGTTATCAATCCCCCACCCCAGTATTACATATGCTGTATTCGCCCATGGATATTACATGTTATACATTTAACAACTTAGGTACATTGTACTATATGCCGGTGCCTCCTCACTTTTAAGTTTGTGACTACGCCTCTGCCCTATATAAAGCGACTACCAGACCTATTCTATTCAACTTTTATAACATTTACGAGAATCTTTCGGAAGAAGAAATCCACTAAAAATTTTGAAAACGTATATATCTCAGATACTGGAGTAATGTCATCACAAAACTGTTATCCAAACAGGTTCAAATAATTATTTATCATACACAAAGTTTGCGTAAATATCGACAACACCGAGTACTTTTTCTCCAAGTGCATTCATATAGCCGATACTAACGCACTTCCAAAAGATTTTTTTACAATGTGCGTTTACTTGGTTTCTTTAACGCACTTTGAAAAAAAGAGTAACACATCTTATAAGGGTTACGTTATCTATGGCACGCCAAATTCACAAAAATGAGCTAAACCTAGTTTCACAATTGATAAACTAGGTTTATCGACTGTAAACTATAGTTTACAAACCGTGAACTATAGTTTTACAATTCGTTAACTATAGTTTTCATCTGTAAAACTATATTTAACGGTTGTAAATTATAGTTTACGAATGATAATTTAAGTTTATCTGTCTGTATACTCGTAATAAAACGTTAACAATAGATTTTGCTGATAAACATGGATTCACGTCTGTAAACTATAATTTACGATCGTTAACTATAGTTAAGAGTTGTAAACCATAGTTTACAAATCGTGAAACTGTATATATTAGATAATCTACATGTGTATGTTTTGCAATCGCAAATGATTGTTTTCGGTGTTAAGTATAGTTTACAGTTGTGAAACATAGATTATCGCGTTAACTATGGTTTACAGATGTAAAATATAGATTAACGTTGTTAACTATAGTTTACAGTCCGTAATCTATAGTTTACAACCGATAAACCTAGTTTATCGATTGTGAAACTATGATTATCTCATTTTCGTGAATTTAGCGTGCCATAGTTATCGACAGCATATAATGCACATAGATTAGAATGCCCAAAGTAAGGTCTTCTCACAAGAAATACTAATGTGAAATAGAAAGCCATAACACCACCTGTTTATAAGTTATGGCCAAGAATAAGTTTTTGAAAAGTAGGTCAAATTTCAGGGTCAATGTCAGAGGGTTAAAGTAGTTTAATTATTTCCAAAGAAAAGTCTTGTAACAAGGATTACAAATGTGAAGTATGAAAGCCCTAGCTCTAACTGTTCAAAATTATGGCCAAAGGTTAAAGTTTTGAAAAAAAGGTTAAACTCCAAGGTCAAAGGGTCAAAGTTGTTGGTATCTATTGAAAAGTCTTGTCACAAGGATTACATATATAAAGTATGAAAGCCCTAGCCCTAATCCTTTAAAAGTTATGGTCAAGGTTCGTTTTTAAAATGTAGGTCAAAATCCAAGGTCAAGGTCAAACGGTCAATGTTTTTGACAATGTTTTTCCAATAAAAGGTCTTCTTAGAAGGATTACATATGTGAAGTATGAAAACCCTAGCCCTTATCGTTCAAAAATTATGTCCGAGGTCAGAGATTTTTTAAAAGTACGTAAATCTCCAAGGTCAAAGGGTCAAAGTTGTTGGTATTCAATGAAAGGTCCTGTCACGAAGAATAAATACTTGAAGTATGAAAGTCCTTATATCTACCGTTGAAAAGTTATGGCCAAAGTAGAAGTTTTGAATTTTTGTGTAAAAGTGTGTCAAACTACCAGGTCAAGGTCAAACTATCAAGTTTGGTGGTACCCAAAGAATGGCCTTGTCACAAGGAATATACATGTGAATATAAGAAGTCATATAGGTCCACTAAATCAAAAGTTATGGACAAGGTTAAAGTTTTTGCGGATAAACAGACAGACATATAGACAGACAGAAGGATGGATACGACATAAACAATATACCCCCGAATCTTCGATTACGGGGCATAAAAAAATGGAAAGGGGGGTGGGGTCCATAAGTGTCTGTGTGTCCTATGTTCGTTTTACATTTGTATTAAATTAGCAATAGTTTATCTAAACAAATATGCAGTGTAATTAAACTGTTGCTATCTTGAACTTTCTGTGCAAAATTTTTCCAACATTAAACAGTTGTGGCGTTCCATACAATTGACTGTGGGACAAAGTTTATCAGATGATTATCAAGGGATTATCGATATACTATTAACAACACATTCACGGTTTGGGAAATCAGGAATATATTTTTAAAAAGAAGGAAATACAAAAAACAAAAAACAAAAACAGAACAACACTTTTGTAAGGGATGGAGTCCGGAGACAAGGACCATGCGATGTTTATTGACCTGCTGGACAAATATTCACAGCTTGACCAGCTAAAGGTGAGTTCATGTATGGAACGCTCTCAGTGATAAAAATCTTTATCAATGACACACTGATTAAAATAGCTTTTTTCAATCCGTTAACACTTTTGGGGAACGAGAATCGTTTAATTTTTTTTCTTTCCTGTAAAACGTAAATTTGAAAATATCAAAGACAATTTTTTTTTATTTCATTATTATTAATTTCAAACTTATTAATGCATGTAATATAAATGTACAATGTACATGTACAATGTATTCATCTCTTAAACTTGTAATACTTTTAATTCGTCTTGATCTAAATTTAATTATGAAGTTTCTGAAGTCTTTTAGTGGCCCAGATACCACTGTATTGACCTCAGTTGGAGATGGGAATCTGAATGACGTCATCAGAGCTAAAAAGTCTGGACAAAGTATTATTCTTAAGCGGGCGCCTCCTTATATAAAGGTAAAATCGGTGGTACAGCTCATAGTTTTTCTTCATTTTTTCGTACATCAGGGTTCTACACAGGATATACATGTAGTTAGTCAAGAGCCAGGAATAGTAAATACCAGAAACACTAATCATCATGCCGAAAGTTTATCAATCTGGTAAAGCTTGGAACATCCAAGATCTCAACATTCGACACTCCCCCGCCCCCTAAAATGAAAACAATTTTATTACGAAAGCTGTTGAATTTTATAGTATCCTTGAGACTCCCATTGTTTACTCAATGTAAATAGACACACGATTTACAATGTAAAAATTTGCCATACTGGTATATGACTCTAAAGTACAGCAAGTGTATAATGAAAACATGCCACTGCAAATTGTTTTCTGTTTAATATTCATATTCATTCACATATTTATATATCACAAAATTAAATTAAATTTACATACTTTAATTAAATATAAAAAACGACTTTATATAATGCTGCTTGTAATTATTCTAAGAATGAAGAGTTGAAACTGCATGAACGATTTAAAGAAAAGAAAATGATCATTTTTAGTGTCCTTCCCAATGGATAAACATGTATGCATCCAACCATCTCAGCTAGGTTACATAAAGCATAAATTACTTTTTATGATGTGATCTCTTATTTGTAATTTACCATTCCCTGCCAGTGTTTAGGCCCTAGGTACTCGCTGGACCCGTCCCGGGGCCAGACTGAGTATGACGCCCTCTGTGTGTTTTCTGATCATTTACTCTATTCCAGTGTTTAGGCCCTGAGTACCCGCTGGACCCGTCCCGGGGCCAGACTGAGTATGACGCCCTCTGTGTGTTTTCTGATCATTTACTCTATTCCGGTGTTTAGGCCCTGAGTACCCGCTGGACCCGTCCCGAGGCCAGACTGAGTATGACGCCCTCTGTGTGTTTTCTGATCATTTACTCTATTCCAGTGTTTAGGCCCTGAATACCCGCTGGATCCGTCCCGGTGTCAGACTAAGTATGACGCCCTCTGTGTGTTTTCTGATCTGATCACTTACTCTATTCTAGTGTTTAGGCCCTGCGTACCCGCTGGACCCGTCCCGGGGCCAGACTGAGTATGACGCCCTCTGTGTGTTTTCTGATCATTTACTCTATTCCAGTGTTTAGGCCCTGAGTACCCGCTGGACCCGTCCCGGGGCCAGACTGAGTATGACGCCCTCTGTGCGTTTTCTGATCTGATCACTTACTCTATTCTAGTGTTCAGGCCCTGAGTACCCGCTGGACCCGTCCCGGGGCCAGACTGAGTATGACTCCCTCTGTGTGTTTTCTGAACTGATTTCTTACTCTATTCCGGTGTTTAGGCCCTGAGTACCCGCTGGACCCGTCCCGGGGCCAGACTGAGTATGACGCCCTCTGTGTGTTTTCTGATCACTTACTCTATTCCAGTGTTTAGGTCCTGAGTACCCACTGGACCCGTCCCGGGGCCAGACTGAGTATGACGCCCTCTGTGTGTTTTCTGATCACTTACTCTATTCCAGTGTTTAGGCCCTGAGTACCCGCTGGATCCGTCCCGGGGCCAGACTGAGTATGACTCCCTCTGTGTGTTTTCTGTTCACTTACTCTATTCCAGTGTTTAGGCCCTGAGTACCCGCTGGACCCGTCCCGGGGCCAGACTGAGTATGACGCCCTCTGTGTGTTTTCTGATCTTTTACTCTATTCCAGTGTTTAGGCCCTGAGTACCCACTGGACCCGTCCCGGGGCCAGACTAAATATGACGCCCTCTGTGTGTTTTCTGATCTTTTACTCTATTGCAGTGTTTAGGACCTGAGTACCCGCTGGACCCGTCCCGGGGCCAGACTGAGTATGACGCCCTCTGTGTGTTTTCTGATCATTTACTCTATTCCAGTGTTTAGGCCCTGAGTACGCGCTGGACCCGTCCCGGGGCCAGACTGAGTATGACTCCCTCTGTGTGTTTTCTGATCATTTACTCTATTGCAGTGTTTAGGCCCTGAGTACCCGCTGGACCCGTCCCGGGGCCAGACTGAGTATGACGCCCTCTGTGTGTTTTCTGATCATTTACTCTATTCCAGTGTTTAGGCCCTGAGTACCCGCTGGACCCGTCCCGGGGCCAGACTGAGTTTGACGCCCTCTGTGTGTTTTCGGACCTCGCACCTCGCAGTGTACCACAACCGTACTTCTATGACAAGGAGTCGAGAACACGTGTGTAAAATCCAAACCACTATTTTATTTTATTTTTTTTAATTTTTTTTTTTTGGTAGAATGACTTCTCTTTTCAAATGCTTTTTTTATTTTGATCTATAATGTATGAAATTGGGACATTTGAATGGTGGGAATAATTAACAATAGAATGAAATGAACTAAAAAATCTTAAGATTTATCAATATCAATAAAATGCTTAAGTTGGCTTTCATAGTCAGAATCAACAAACAACTGTAAGAAACTAAGAACCCATTGTCTTCTTTCAGTCTGTATGAAAGATTTACTGAAGTATAAGGATTTTCGTAAACAACTCATAAGCGGAGTTTGTTCTATGGCAGCAGTAAAGAAATTAGCCAGAGACATTGGAAAAGTTCACAATAAAACTCATGTCGCCAAAATTAGCGAGAAGAGATTTAGTGAATACAAAAACAAATTTCAGTGAGTCAAACATCGTTACAGGAATTGTCAGATTATTAATTTTAGAGCTAAACGTGTAGACTAGCAGTTGCTTATATATGGTAGGAAAGTTCTTCGCCCTTTAGTTTCCATCTTTTTCCTGTATTAGTAATAATTTAGTATGCATGTATTTCCAGAGATACTGAACTAGTCACTCTTACTGAGCAGTACATCTTCACGAAACCCTTCGACAAATGTGATGCTACAAACAAACTTACAGACGACATCAGTTCTAGTCTTCCACAACTATACGATGATCCTAGAGTCTTAGATGTAGCAAAGGACATGAAGCATATTTTCTTGACGAAGAAAGAATGCCTTGTACACGGTGATCTACATACGGGTTCTGTTATGGTGGATGGTGCTAACACAAAAGTAGGTTCACATAGCTAAAAGGACACTAAATGCCATACATATGATTTTTAAAAGTAATCATCCCCTTGCAACGGAGTAGAGGGGATTTACTCGTAGTAACGCGCAAATTGTGTGTGAGTTTGCAGTTTGTGTCCTGTACGAAACAGAAGTGACGTAATTTGATCGGGATCAGTGTCAAATAATATCTTGAATTATAGGTATGCTCTTTGGATGTTCTGCTTTGTGGTGACTTCGATGCAAAATTTTCAGCAATTTATGAATAATGATCCAGGGAAAGCAAAGATATTAAAACGCTCTGTATTGATGTTATAAACGGATAGAGGGGTTCTCATGTCAATCAATTCTAAATTCAAATCTTTACACATCCTTGAAGGCTGAACTTCAACATTATTTTTTTTAAGATCATAGACTTGGAATTTGCATACATGGGGCCTCCAGCTTTTGATATTGGGCTTCTTCTTGCCAATTACATTTTCTCGTATTATGGCCACATGTCAATACCAGAAGACCACGATAGACATAGGAAGTTTGCGCAACTCATGATAGAGGCATGCAAAGTGACAGGTAATAGTATAGAAATGTGATGGGTTACAGTTATTTTATTTAATAAGGTAAGAAATACTTGTTGAACCAAATAAACATTTTTCTTCAGTAAACAAATACCTTAAGGAAATGAAGAGTTTTGTTGGAGAGCTACAGTCCTACCAAGATAAACTACTATCTGAAATGGCTGGGTTTGCTGGTTGTGAATTAATTAGACGGTAGGCCACATTTCATTTTCTTAAAAATTGTTGATATCACCTTTTTCATGCAGGAATAATATAATACAGCTATTTCTATTTTATTCTTCGTATTTGTGAAACAAAATTTTTTAATCGTTTTCAGGGTGGTTGGGGCTGCACCAGTGGAGGACCTCCATAGCCCCTACAGTAAACAGGACGCCTTGGGGGCCGGGGTACGCCTCCTCCTGGGGAGACATAACATTACAACAGTAGACAAACTCCTTGTCATCGCTCTGATGCTGACCCACTAGCACTCACTTGGAAAATCAATTGATCATTATTACGTTATTTCTTAAGAGTGGACAAAAAATGTGGAAAAATACACCCTGATTATAAAAATTAAATGTTATTTTCTGGATTAAAAATATTTTGAAAGTTGTTAGCTTTTTCGAAGAAGCCATTAAAGGTTTTTGTAATTTTTCCTTTCACCCTTTATTTTCTACAATTACTCTCAGAGCTTTCAACACCATGCATATGCTTTTAAAGTAAGTTGAATATTGGTACACATAACATATAACTATAATGGTTCCTAGAAGATCTGTAGAAAGGTTGAGTATACGTAGGTTATCAGCATCCCATGTAAGCATGTGTTTGTATATGCAAGATAATGTAACCTTTCATAAATTAAATTAAAATTATATAATGTTACTTTTTTTGCACAAAAATCTTAAGTCTACACGTTGTTTCAAGTGGAACATAAAAATGTTTGGTTTCATCGTGAGGATCGGTTTCTCCGTCCGTTGGACATGGTAAATGTAGCCTCCCTTCTTACTTGCTGTCGGGGCTGCCTCGCCGTGGTTAGTTCTTTGATTTCCATGCGGGCGACTGGTGGCGGGTTTCTCAGAAAGTTTTGAAATGCTGCGTTAGTGACAAGATCAATCTGAGGCACAGGATTGTTAGAGATCGCTCTCTCGATTTCCGATTCATATGTATCGGCCTGCACCTCATATTTGTTTAAATTCCTCAGAAAATTTTCACCTGGCGGTGCATTGAAAATGCTTTCATAACCTTGCCTTGTTTCTTGTAGTCTGCTAAGTAATGAAGCCATGTTTCCATCTTCTCTCGGTATATTTTGTCCAGTTTCTCTCACTGTGGATTTCAAATTTTCAATTTCACGAAGACACTGTTGTGTAAATTCGCTAACTCTGTTTTCGACAGAAGACAAATAATTAAAAGCTTCTGCTTTGCTGTTTTCCAGTTCAGTATCAAAGGGCATTCCATTTCTATTCAAATCCTGTATGTACGAGAGTTGGTTTTGGAATTTAGTCTTTAACTGTTCTAACTTTGGTGACAATTTTCTCAGTGCTTCTTCAGTGGACAAGCATTCGCATCTATGACGTCTGTGATTCTGAACTGCACAGTGAGAACAAATTAGAATTGAACATCCTAGGCAAAAGAATTCTAGTTGTCTTGCAGGGTGTTCTAAGCACGTCAGTCCGTTACTTTCGTGTTGAGGTGGAGGTGGTGCTGGGTTCTGTTGGGGACCTCTTCCAGGCCGTTGGGTTTGTTGTGGCCTGGGTCTAGGATTTACGGGACCTCTTCTAGGTCTGGCATTGACCTCCGGTTCTGAAGGCGTTGGTCCCTGTTCATGATGTTGAACAGCCTGAAGAAGGCTTGAGATGAAAGTATCCACAGGAAATTTGTCAGCCCATTGACGGAGAGGTACGTTTGGTCCTGGTCGTCTGACGTCTCCGCGATCGTTTGGGCATTTGAAGTGATCCGCATTTGCACTTCGAACTGATTGATCGATGTGATCAGAAAGACACTGCCTGCAAAAAGTATGTCCACAGGGTAGAAGACGGGGATCGTTATAACGTCCTAGACAAATACTGCAGATGAGATAGTCGTTTTGTAGGTTGTCCACGACGCGTTGAGCCATATTCTACCCAATACACTACTTATGACATGGTTTGACTGTTGTGTTTCAAAAAGAAGGGCTCCATGTAAATACTTATGTTGAACTTGATAGCATTGATTTTAAATAGGAATACAACCTTTATACTGGCATTTAAACATTTTCTGCTATTGTTCTTTGAAGTCGCATGTGTAACCCTTAAAATCGATTTAAATGGCATTATTTAGTAGCTGTCAGGTCTAAACTCTTGATAAGCATACACCGATAAACACTACGTGTGATAGAGAGTATTCAATGACAGTTGTTAAGTTGCACAGATTGGACACTATATTTGACTGGGAGCTTTTGAAGGGGAGTTTATTGCAATTCCACATGTCCATTGCAGACTTGCGTTGTGTTCAAGTGAGACTGGCAGATCTCAAAAATAATTTTCATTCCAAAATCGGTAGTAAGGAACGGTTCTCTTCAAGAAGTTTTGAAAAAGAAGAGATTTTTGTGAAATCCTTACGACCTCCCCCTCCCTTTGACTTAACTAGTATGGGAAGAAAATGGACGCAAACTTTTTTCTGCAGCTGATGTTAAATGCATGTACTGCATGTAAGAGCATTCCTTTGATTTACTGAGGATTCTAACACTTTGTGCCCGTTTCAGGAAATAAAAATTGCCATTCAGCCTCTTTTACCTTGTTAAAAATTTGTAATGTGTGAATGCAATTTTAAGAACGTATCTTATATATGTTCTTTTTTACTTCAAATTTTTGTTACTTTAACCCTGTCTGGAGATCTTTTTGTCACCCGCTTTCACGAAAGCGAGCGGACATTAAATCTCATTCGTCTGTCAGTCTGTCCGTCCGTCACAAAAACTTTAACCTTGGTCATATCTTTTGAATGAGAAGAGATAGGGCTTTCATATTACGCAGGTATGTACCTGTGACAAGACCTTTCTAAATACACTATGAGTTTTGACCCCGTGACCTTGACCTTGAAGTTTGACCTTTCAAGAAATTTAAACATTACCATAAAATTGACCATAATTTTTGAATGAGAAGAGATAGGGCTTTCATATTATTCCTAAACACGTGAATTACTTATGAGAAAATCTTTCTATAAACACTATGATTTTTGACCCCGTGAGCTTGATCTTGAAGTTTGACATACTTTTCAAAAGCTTAAACCTTGGTTATAACTTTTGAATGAGAAGAGATATGGCTTTTACATTAAACATGAATATTATCTGTTACAAAACCTTTCTACACAGACGTCGGAACCGGGGGGGGGGGGGGGGGGCTAACCCATTTTTTTTCCAAATATATACTTAGTATAGATATTGAACATTGCTGCGTAGGTTTAGCGCCCCACTTTCCACACACACGTCGCAGTATAGGTTAGAAATGGGGAAAGTGCTGATGTTTGGGAAAAAAAAATTGGTACTGTAGGTCGAAACCCCCCCCCCCCCCACGAAATAGGATTTTCGTGTTGAAATGGACATTTCCTTTTTTTCTTTTTTTTTTTGCTTGTCAGGTTTTTTTGAAAGTATAATTTTTTTTTTTTTACACTTAGCCCCCCCCCCCCCCCCGACTTTCAATTTGCTTCCGACGCTAATGTTCTAAATACACTCAATCGCAACTTCTCGGGCCTTTCCGACTAGCGGAAAAACGACCTGGAATGTATATGGAAGCCGCCATGACAACCCTCCTTTTTCATGATCTTTGAAATAAATATATGGAGACCTTATATCTGTGGAATGTGGAATTTAACTTTATTCAATGTTATGATATTACTTAAAATATGCTATGGAAGGGACTTCTAACTCCGTCTATCCTATATTTGACTAAACAGGAAATGTATAAATTTTTAACATCCGGTGATGTTAATACATTCGAGGCAATCGGCAATCATTGGCTGACTCCGCTACGCTCCATTCAAAAATGTGCGAGGTACGAGTCATCCGAGGAACTCCGAGTGCATTCGAGGTTGTTTTTCCGACCTCTGACGGAAAGACCCGAGATGATGCGATTGTAAATACACTATGATTTTTTACATCATAACCTTGACCTTGAAGTTTTTCCTACTTTTCAAAATATTAATTTTTTCCTTATAACTTTTAATTGAGAAGAGATATGGCTTTCATATTTTCGACAAGTGCATTACTTGTGACAAGATATTTCTGAGCATGCTATAATTTCTGACCCCTTGTCCATGTCCTTCACAATTGACCGAATTTAACAAAAAAAAAAAAAAAAAAAAAAAAAAAAAATCAACTTCGGTGATAACTTCTGAATGACATGATAGGGCGTTCATATTTGACACAATATGCCATAAAAATTATATCTCACCCATAAAGACACCGAAAGCGAAATTCGTTGAATTTGCTTGTTTTAAATGATTATGTATGGAAAGCCAACGGGTTCAAAATTCCAACTCTGTAATTCTTAAAATGTACTTATGTAAACCTGAATTTATAAATTGTAAATCTTAAATTCATAATTTGTCAATTGTTCTTTCACAATTTGTTAATTATTCTTTCAAAATTTGTTAATTGTAAATTATCCAACATAAATTGAAACGTGTAAAAATGTAAATGCAAGTTATGTCAATGATCACGTGTAATTCGTAGACTTGCGATTTGTCAACTTACGAAATGTACTTGCGTGATTTGTAAATTATGCAAGGTTGCACATTAAGACGAAAGAGGGTGCTTTATGGGTGGAAAGTCATTTCGCCCCAAAGGTAAAAAAGATCCTTAACCAACTGAGTTTTGTGATGCATGCATATCATGCCTTCAAACGGTCTCTTAGACTGTTTACAAATGAGATTTGAGTTTGATGCAAAGGAGATAGGGGATCTAAACACACAAAGCATCGCTCGTACACAGAGGACAGACGCGGATCTCGCGATTTTTTTTTCCAAAGAGGGGGGGGGGGTGCACCCCAGTCAAAATATTCCATACCAAAAAAAAAAAAAAGAAGAAGAACACAACTTTTAGTGGTTGTGGTTTGGGGGGGGGGGGGGAAATGTGCACACATCAGTATATACATTTGAAAAACTCTGTACATTTCGGGGGAGGGGGTCCGGTTTCCCAAATCCCCTGTTAAATCCACGCACGTAGAGATGCCGAGGGAATAGAACCCAAAAGTTTTTTTTTCAGTTTTATAAAGAAGCGTAAAGACTGGGCACGTAGTATCGGAGGGCTGCTCCCCCTTCCCGCTTTTTCTCGAACATGTTTTACTGTAATTTAGTATCAAAACCCATCATAACTATGGATCGAATTGTATTATGAAAAAGTAAGAACCATACCACAGCCTCCCCTAGTGTCAATTATTTTTCTGGGTGCCCCTTTCATAAACGTTACTTGGTGCATGACATTGGCACGTCGGAAGCAAATTGAAAGTTGGGGGGGGGCTAAGTATAAAAAAATTTATACCTTCAAAAAAATCTGACAAGTCAAAAAAAAAAGAAAGGGGGAATGTCCATTTCCCAAACACGAAAATCCTATTTCGTGGGAGGGGGGGGGGTGGGGTTCGAACTTCAGTACCAATTTTTTTTTCCAAACACCACCACATTTTTAACCTATACTGCGACGTGTCTGTGGAAAGTGGGGAGGGGGGGGCTAAACCTACGAAGAAATGTTCAATGTCTATACTAAGTATATATGTGGGAAAAAGTGGGCGGGAGGGCTAAGCAACCCCCCCCCCGTTCCGACACCTACGCATGAGGACTATGTTTTTCACGTGTTCTGTTTTTGTGTGAGCGTTGGACCCAAGGCACGGAAGCCTTTATTCAGAAGTTTATTTTGTTTCATGAGGATGCATGGAATAAGCTATAAATATGTAACCAAACAAAACTGAGATTCTTCATACCTCCTTGGATGTGTTCGGCTCTATAAAATCATCTGATTAATGTATACAAACTCAATGAGTGGTGCAAAACGAAGGATCCCCCCCCCACTTCCTAGTAGTGTGTTAGTCTTGAATTTGATATTATACAATATATTAATGCTTATTTATAAACGCAAAAATAGTCATATGTTTGGAAGAAAAAAAGAGAAAAACTACGTACTTAATATATGATCACTTCAAATAATTTTAAAAAAAACTCCTGTATACTTTACAAAAACAGGAATGGGTCTGTCAATACATGTATATTTTTAAATTCCAGGATTTTTTTCTAAATGAGGGTGGAGCTTCATGTCCACTCAAAAAAAATTCATCCAAACGCAAAAAAAAATTGTGTGTGTGTGCGGGGTGGGGTGGGGGGAGGAGGATGGGCAATTCTTGTTGATAAGCTGTTTGAAATATTTATATGACTCTTCAACGTATTTACAGAGAGGTTCATAACATCTGAAGGGGGAGGGGGTCCAAGGTTATTTCCTAATTGTTTTACTGTATAAAGTTCATCAATGAAAATCTATGGCACGCCAAATTCACAAAAATGAAACAATCATAGTTTCACAATTGATAAACTAGGTTTATCGACTGTAAACTATAGTTTACAAACCGTAAACTATAGTTAACGATTCGTTAAGTATAGTTTTCATCTGTAAAACTATATTTAACGGTTGTTAACTATAGTTTACGAAAGTTAATTTAAGTTTATCTGTCTGTAATAAAGCGTTAACAATAGATTTTGTTGATAAACATAGATTCACGTTTGTAAACTATAGTTTACAATCGTAAACTATAGTTAAGAGTTGTTAATCATAGTTTCACGAATTGTGAAACTATATTTATCAGATCGTTAACTATAGTTAACGGTTTGTAAACTATAGTTTACAAATCGTGAAACTGTATTTATCAGATAATCTATGTTTTGCAATCGCAAATGATTGTTTTCGGTGTTAAGTATAGTTTACGGTTGTGAAACATAGATTATCGCGTTAACTATGGTTTACAGATGTGAAATATAGATTAACGTTGTTAACTATAGTTTACGGTTTGTAAACTATAGTTTACAGCCGATAAACCTAGTTTATCGATTGTGAAACTATGATTATCTCATTTTTGTGAATTTGGCGTGCCATAAAAATCCGAGGGGGTCGATCCTGGCCTCTATATAACCCCCAACCCCCATTCTGCCGAATCTGCCAGTAACACTACAGAAAAGGCTTTTTTTAAAAATTAGAAAATTATTCAGGATTTTACAAGAGTATACCCCTGTTAATACATCATTATTTACAAACAGTCTTGAATTGCAGTCATTACAAACCGACATGAAATTAATTTATTCATCAGCCTTTCTTTATATGTTAATGTGGTACGACGTATTTCATCATCATCATCGTCCTTTCCACTCTGTGGTGTGTATGGCCGTAACAAACTTCCTACACTCTTGTCTATCCTTGGCCAGTTGCGTCAATGATCCTCAGGTCTGGTGCATTGCTGGACGCATTGGGGAAATGATTAAATTGTTAAGCAACGAATTAAACTACCACCGTTATAGCGCCCCCTATCGTCTTAATAGGTCATAGCATAATGCAACTTTGCATAATTTACAAATCACGCAAGTACAATTTACATTTCAAGTTGATAAATCATAAGTCTACGAATAACACGAGAGCATCGCAAAACTTGCATTTACATTTTACATTTGTCAAATTACACATGGATAGTTATAACTAACAAATTGTGAAAAAACAATTGACAGATAATGAAATTAAGATTTACAATTTACAAATTCAGGTTTACATATGTACATTTTAAGAATTACAGAGTCGGAATTTTGAACCCGTTGGCTTTCCATAATTATGTAATAAGTAATTCTTCAAAGCAACGTTTTAGTCTGATAAGGCCATTCCAAGTTTTTTCTCTGTTTAGCGTCCACCCATCTTTCAAAAACCTACCTAACTATTCGCAATAAACACACGAGCAAAAACATAAAACACAGGCTTAAAAGTAATAAAAATGACGCCCTTCAAATGATTTGATCTAAATAAACTGCTTAATTAAATGCTTATAATACACCCAATATAACTTACTGTACAGTGTTATTTGGGGAAATTGGCAAAATTCAAAAATTTCGACTTAATTTATCAATTTCAGGACTCCTGATGTTGTGTGTTTTTTCTTATATGGGGTGTCAAAAACCAAGGCACACGCGGACGCTAAACATAGAAAAAACTTGGAATGGCCTAAATGAACATGATCGACAGAATCCCTATTTAATGTAAAGAATAGCGTAATATATAAACTATAAATGAAAGAAATATTACAAAGGATTCATTTTCATTTTTATACAGTATGAGTATTATTTAAATCAAATACATGTAATTAGAAAACACATTTATTGTATTTCACAATTCTTTTTTGTAAACTAAATGCATTTTTTTGAGTGATAATTAATACAATTGTGAGGTACATGTGGTGTTGATACTGTAGACACCATGATTAATGTTAACAACAGCAGGAAAAGTTGTGATGCCCTTACATGCATTTAAGTTTGGAATGTCGAACGTATTTCGAAAAATAAGACAGTTATTCCTTATATTTACATGCTTTGTTTCCGCTAATCCACGTGCTACAAGCCCTGCTTCTGTCTAGCTGTTTGTTCCGCCCTGCACGTTTTTTTTTTTTTTTTTTTTTTTTTTTTTTTTGAACCGCGCCAATACACTGATGGGGAAATAAAGTACATTTACAATTTGTAATTTTATCTCGGACAAAGACATTGGAAATGTAAATATATTGTGTTGCATCAGCCAAAGTGTCCCTGTGTCAGCACTATGACAAAAGGCCTGAGGACTTGTATGACATATGAAATGGATTTTACAATTACATGTATTAATTAGCATCTATTTAATAAATCGTGTGAGTCCACACAAAGTCATCGAATGATTCGTGCCTTTAAACTTTTTTTCTTTAATAACTTGGATCTATAGAGCTTGCCAAGTTAAGGTAGATGTGGTGTTGATACTGTAGAAACCATGATTAATGTTAATAACAGCAGGACAAGTTGTGATGCTCTTACATGCATTAGTTTGGAATGTCGAATGTATTTCAAATTTTCAACTCAAATAATTAAGATGCCTCATGCATCATTAAAGCGCGCGTGAATTGTTTAGAGGAGAACAACAATCAATTAAAGATTCCATAATTTGATTTAAGTAAATGTTAAAAAGAAAATATCACCTTAATTAACTAAAACGGTCGTCATGTATATTCATGAATTCATGTAGTGAACAATATAATCCAATTCATTGAATTAATGCGTACAATAATTTAATGACGATCGTAAAAATTCGAAAACGCATCGAATTTTTACTCTACTATTTAATTATTGACGCTTTTTAATTTCATTATTGTTCAGTTGAAGAGAGCAATAAATCAATTAAACAAATTAATTAAAAATATCAATGAATTTTATTTATACACTAATTAAATTAATCAGAGTTGATTCATTGAAAAAATCAGAATTGAAGATATCGCTATTTTATTGCTGAGATCTGTCGTCGAGTTTTTGGGCGCATTTAAATACTTTGATATCTTGCTTTTATATGTTTAATCTAAATTGATAAACTTTCAACTTTTAACGTAACATAGATTTAGTTTAAAACTTATATGTCTTTGACATAAGGATAAGAACTCAAATACTGGATCTTTATTCCGTAAATTTGAAAATCAAGGTTCAACGGTTCACATTTTCAATCTAACAGATGTTACTAAATTTATATACAAACTTGTTAAAATCACGCTGACATGTAATAGCACCGTGTAAATATGAATTGCTTTCAATATATTTCATTCCCTGTCATTTACATCTGCTAACTGAACTCCTATAAAATGACTCCTCGTAATTTCAGTCCTTTAATTAATACAACAGCCGTGCTGCATCCACACCTCTGTGAGCATATTTTGTTAAGGGGGTACATTTCTCTCTGCAATAATTAATCAAAAAATTATTTCTTATCAAAAATATACTGATACTAAAAAGGTGATTTTCTTGTAGAAAATGAAGCTGTTCTGTGAATTTTCTCTGTATGTTGTTGTAACTGTTCTTGGAGCGGGTAAGTAAAAAAAAAAAACTACATCTTGTACGCAGGACGGGTAAGTAAACCAAGTGAAAAATATCTCTTTTACAGCATTTTTCGGCAATAAGAAATTAATTTACTAGAGTATATTGATTAGAAAGTCTCTATTTAAAAAAAAGTATTTTTTCTGATTAAATTTACATCTATGGTTAGTATGTACACTTCAACTAAAGTTGCAGATGACTTCCAACCTTGAAGTTTTAGTTAAACTTTATCAACTCTCCTTGTTTTTAAGAGCATTTTTATTTTATTTCTAATACCAATTCTAAACGTTACATAATTAGTGTCTGAAATTTACACAGTTTTCATTCACGGTTGAAATATACATGGGATAGAAATTCGGGCGAAAGTCAACGAGTGTAGCAAATATCCAATTAAAGCGTCTCGTACGGCAAAAAGGTGGGGCTTAAGTCGTCTCATCGTTGTCAACAACAATTTAAAACTCCTGATTATTTTCTTAACTAATGATAATCTATTCGACGTTTGACAGACAATAAATACGTAGCGCCGAGAATGCCACGCCTTACTGAAAGTCCAAGGATGACAGAGAATTGCACTAATGTAAACGCTCTCTTGTACCTCTGCACAAGGCCTATAAGATTTAACGTGATAAATGTCGATAATTTGGACAATTATACTGTTTCTCTTTTCTTTACAAAACAAGAATCAAAATTAAAAATTAAGTGTATATTTTAAAATTCATCGCATGCCGCAGAAATCGGAGACTTGGGGCATAGAGTTTATGAGTCTGTCCATCTCTTTATGCCTATCTGCAAAAACTTTAGAAAATGCCAAATGAAATTACAAAGGGGCATCAGGTTTCACATTTTTTTTAAGTTGCCACTGGATAATTTCAGGATTGGGGTCGGCAGGAGAAGAAAAATATTTTGACTGCAGCGTCTACTCTGATAAAAAGGATCTTCCGACTAAGAACGTGGACTGTACTCACGACTTCGTGGATGACAAGTTTTACTGTAAGTCCTGGGAATGCCCGACTCTCGACTGTCCGGAGGAGGAACAAGTTTCTTCATCAGAAGGTTCCTGTTCCGTCTGTCCAGGTAAAATACTGACCACTTCCACTCCGTTATCCGTATTTCTCGTTTTACTGAAATATCATCATTAAAGATTGTCTATATCTTAGATGTCTAACTGTTCAATAGATTATTCTTCCGAGGAAAATTACTCTATTCTTTATATTCGATCTGAGTATTCGACCATTCAAAACTTTCTAGGCGTTGGGTTTTTTGGGGGTGGGGTGGAATAGATTGATCACTAGTAGTTGCCCATTTTCGCGGGGAGTGGGTTAACAAATAATGGTATAACTTGAATGTTACGAAAAATGTGAAAGTATTATTTATATTCTTTTTCAGGAACCTGCCTAAGTGGAGATAAAATAATCAAAGTGGGAGAATATGACACCTGTTTTGATGGAGTCAACAGATGTGGATGTTTAACCACTGGAAAAGGGATTACCACTCTAATGGCAACCAATAAGATAGCTCTCTGTGGCGCACCATCTCCCTCAGATTGATTTTTAAATAAAGGATTGGATAGTTTCTGTCTTTTGATATGATTTTTATAAAGGGTAATATTTTTTGGTTACTTTAAAAATGATAAATATACACACAATCTTGCAAGATTATCAATCTTACAAGTTTAAAATCCTATGCATGCCTTTGATGAATAATAAACAATGGAATAGTAAATGAAGTTAGTCACAGGTAAACATAGAGGAAAAACATTTTCTATAGTAATACTTAATTCAAATGCTCAAAATATAGAAACTTAGGAAAATCTTGCTGAAACTTATACCTATAAATTATATGATATAGCCTATATAAGTATAGCCTAGGGACTTAAGGAGTATGTAACCCCCCCCCCCCAAAAAAAAAAAAAGAATAATGATAATACATATAATTGAAAATATCTTTAATTATCTGAAAATAGCATCAATTCATATATAGCAACATTTCAGTTGAAGTCCAGATCTCTTCAAATAAAAAAAGAGATATATTCAATTCTTAATGATTGTGTGCATTAAAACAGTTGTTCATTTAGGCTAGCCATGATGCACACTATACAATAGTTTAATATTTCTTAGTACAAATGTACCTGTCTTCAACTCCAATGAGGAAGTCAGCAAATGAATGGATGCACACAAAATAGAGACTATTACATACTAAAACATTTATTTAAGGAATAACTGTCTTATTTTACGATTTCATGATGTGATCAATCGATTGGGTTGCGTGATAATTTGCATAAACGCTGAAGGCGTTTATGCATAAAATTATCACGCAAGCCAATCAATTGATCATCGTCATGAAATCGAAAAATAAGACAGTTATTCCTTATATTTACATGCTTTGAATCCGCCAATCCACGTGCTCAAAGCCAAGCTTCTGTCAAGCTGTTTGTTCCGCCCTGCACGTGTCTTTTTTTTTTGGAACCGCGCCAATACACTGATGGGGAATTAAAGTACATTTACAATTTGTAATTTTATCTCGGACAAAGACATTGGAAATGTAAATATATTGTGTTGCATCAGCCCAAGTGGCCCTGTGTCAGCACTATGACAAAAGGCCTGAGGACTTGTATGACATATGAAATGGATTTTACATGTATTAATTAGCATCTATTTAATAAATCGTGTGAGTCCACACAAAGTCATCGAATGATTCGTGCCTTTAAACTTTTTTTTCTTTAATAACTTATAGAGCTTGCCAAGTTAAGGTAGATGTGGTGTTGATACTGTAGAAACCATGATTAATGTTAATAACAGCACGACAAGTTGTGATGCACTTACATGCGTAAGTTTGGAATGTCGAATGTATTTCAAATTTTCAACTCAAATAATTAAAGATGCCTGATGCATCATTAATATATGTATTTAATTTTTTTAAAAAAAAAAATTCAGATTTTACTCCATGTATATTTATAAAAAAAATCTGGAACTTTAATTTTACAATTAATTTTTATAATTATATTGATTAAAATTTTAATTTCGATTTATGTATTTTACACATTTCAATGGTAGTAATTCTCAGTTATTAGCTGGATGTTAATCCATATATACTCATACCTGAAAACAGACTATAGCCTGTTCACCCCTACTTATGTGTTCGGAACCTTTTATTTGTCAGTGTTCTGCATATTATAAAACCCGAAGAGTTCAGAGTAGCTCTGACGTTGGCTCTGGCGAGAGCTAGCGAGACTTCAGCTAGATAGAGTAAATTATTCACGGAAATGTGGCTAGGAAGTGACTAGCACGTGGAGACATGGTAAACAGAAAAGTTATGTTGTGTTTTAATTTTCACCACCCTATAATACAATGAAGCGCATTGAAGTGGTAAAATTTTCTGTTTGGATGGAACGTTTTGAGCTTTCTTTAGACACGCCCATTTCTTTAGAAAGGAAAAATCGGTCAAATGATTCAATCGAAAACCTGCAGAACAGGTATTCCATTAATATAATAGCCAATCAAATTGACGGTCTACATAAACACCGAGAAAACACGTGTTCGACTCATACATGTGTTATTCTAACTCCAATAAACATGATAAAATCATAATTATGTACAAATTCGTTGCAATGCGTGTTTTACAGAAGCTGAAACTCTATATATAACTTTTTTTTAATTTAAAAATCATCATTTCGGTGTAACTCATGTTGCTTGTAGCGGAAAGCGGGGTGCCTAAAACATTACGACGAATATTTCTTTCTCGTTTCTAAAGAAATGGGCGTGTCACTATGTTATAATTGACGTTCAAAACATGACTCAGAACGTTTCATCCAAATGGAAAATTTTACCACTTCAATGCGCTTCATTGTATCATTCTGCAGAAATGTACTTCAATCGATCTCTCTTGAATTCATTCAAGTTTAAATTATTTTAAAGTTTTTTCTATGATACAATTTTCTGCTGTCATGAATTAGAATTTCTTTTTAGACAAATATTTTGCATGGGAACCGGGAAATATTTTTTGGCGTCAGATTAGCAAATGGGGCACCAATGTGACTTTAACTGACAAATCAGATGAATGAGAATTGCATTATGGGTTACTTTACGAATACTACAGGAATTTTACGCTTGATAAATTCCTTTATTGTACTATCGGTGAATACAATTGCCAGGTGGATTCCCTTGCCAACACACGTGATCACGAGTATACATGTATAGTTATGTAAAAAATGTTTTGTCCATTTAAATGCATAGGAGAAGCTGCTCGTTTTCCTTATCCTTGAATTGCTGGTGTTCTGAACTTGACACGAACTACGTATACGTTTTATAAAGCATATTTTTCTCTATAGTTATTAACAAATTAAAAACGCCAGTGATATTATTAATAGTTTCTAATGTTTCATAGGAACAATTATTTTTTACTTTGCACTCCATTGATATGATCATAGATTGACCTGAACCACGTGTTCGAAGTAACATGTAAACATGTATTTGGCGTTGCTCGTGGTAAGATCCTCTGTGCGCATTAATAGCAATAGCCATATAAGGCAAACAAAGGTTTGTCAGTGTAAAATATATTATACATTTTTTACAAGCATCTCGGTTGCTAGTGAGCTGTAATTTTTGCAGTTAAGTATAAGATGTATTAATTGTTATTTACCACCCACCCCCCTTAAGCCATCCATTTCTGTTGAAAATCATGAAAGTCTTTCAGAAAGGTGTGCAAACACACATTTTTCACAGGACATGTTTCAGAAGAAACAGACTATAGCAATTTCCTGTTTACTGCCAATTTTATTTATAGAACCGGATCTACCCTATAACCTTTGAATAGGTAAAATCTAAACCACAATTTAAATCACAATAACATTAGTAGGGGTGCTGTTGGTCACTCAGGTGTAAAAATCAAAATGTTGGCTATGTGGGAATAGGTTTTTTCAAAATGTTGGCTAAGTGGGAATAAACCATCAGAGATACAGGGCGGGGCCCGGCTCGAGCTATCGCGCTCTCGTCTCAAGCCCCGCCCTGTATCTCTGATACAGTAAGAAACTCGTACTCTAAATAATACTTAATGCGCGCGTGATTTGTTTAGAGGAGAACAACAATCAATTAAAGATTCCATAATTTAATTTAAGTAAATGTTAAAAAGAAAATATCACTTTAATTAACTAAAACAGTAGTCATTTATATTCATGAATTCATTGAATTCATTGAATTCATGTAGTGAACAATATAATCCAATTCATTGAATTAATGCGTATGTATAATTTAATGACGATCGTAAAAATTCGAAAACGCATCGAATTTTTACTCTACTATTTAATTATTGACGCGCTTTAATTTTATTATTGTTCAGTTGAAGAGAGCAATAAATCAATCAAACAATTTAATTAAAAATATCAATGAATTTTATTTATACACTAAATTAATCAGAGTTGGTTCATTGAAAAAATCAGAATTGAAGATATCGCTATTTGATTGCTTCAAGATCTTTCGTCGAGTTTTTGGGCGCATTAAAATAATTTGATATCTTGCTTTTATATGTTTAATCTAAATTGATAAACTTTCAACTTTTAACGTAACACAGATTTGGTTTAAAACTTATCTATCTTTGACATAGCGATAAGAATCCATATACTGGATCTTAATTCCGTAATTTTGAAAGTCAAGGTTCAAAGATTCACATTTTCAATCCATCAGATGTTACTAAATTTATATGCAAACTTGTTAAAATCACGCTGACATGTAATTGCACCGTGTAAATATAAATTGCTTTTAATATATTTCATTTCCTGTCATTTACATCTGCTAACTGAACTCCTATAAAATGACTCCTCGTAATTTCAGTCCTTTAATTAATACAACAGCCGTGCTGCATCCACACATCTGTGAGCACATTTTGTTAAGGGGGTACATTTCTCTCTGCAATTATTGTTTCTTATTAAAAATATATTGATATAAAAAAAGTGATTTTCTTGTAGAAAATGAAGCTGTTCTGTGAATTTTCTCTGTATGTTGTTGTAACTGTTCTCGGAGCGGGTAAGTAAAAAAAAAATACTCCACCTCGTACGCAGGACGGGTAGTAAGTACTAGTAAATCAAGTGAAAAAAATCTCTTTTATATGCAGCACGTTTCGCCAGTAAGAAATCAATTTATATTGATTAAAGAAGAATCCATTCTAAAAAAAAAATGTATTCTTATTAAGTTCTGGCTAGTATGTAATACTATGTATACTTCAACTAAAGTTGCAGATGACTTCCATTACATGTGTATCTTGAAGTTTTAAACTTTGTATAGATGAAGTAAGAACTCTCCTTGTTTTTATGAGCAATATTATTTTGTTTTAGTACAATTCTCTGTCATCTTTTTATCCTCGGACTTTCAGTAAGGCGATGTATTCACGACGTAACGTAGTTAGCGTCTAAAATTTACACAGCTTTCATTCACTGTTGAAATATACATGGGATAGAAATTCGGGTGAATGTTAACGAGTGTAGCAAATATCCAAAAACAGCGTTTCGTACGGCAAAGAGGTGGGGCTTAATTAAGTCGTCTTATCGTTGTCAACAGCATTTAGAAGTTCCTCATGTTATTAGTTTTTTAACCAATGAGAACATATTCGCTATTTGACAGACAATAATTACGTAGCGCCGAGAATGCCACGCCTTACTGAAAGTCCAGGGATGACAGAGAACTGTACTAAAATGTAAACGTTCTCTTGTACCTCTGCAATTTGCCTATAAGATTTAATGTGATAATTGTCATTAAAACATTGCTGTGATGTCATTCCTTTGTTCTTGCAGTCTAAAATTTTACCTCTGGCGGTCCGATATTAGTGAGTAGTCTGATATTAATCGTAATATCAGACTGTCTCAGTACTGATATCTTGCAAAATTGGACTGTTACTGAACAAAGGAAATAAAAAGTGTGATTAATCAACAAACAGTAATTTAAATTTCTCACTTACAATGATGATTTTGAAATCATGATCTTACAGAATTGTAGAATTAAATAAAAATTAAATAAACTTTCAATTACACCGAATATACCGTAACAGGAAGAAGAAAATGCGGCAGACCAGATCATTTAGGAAAAAACCCCAAACAATCTAACATAGCTGGTAAATTTCTTATAACCGTATTACACTTCAAAAAAAAAATGTTTCAACCCCTTTCTCTGGTCTTATAAAAAGACTCGTAGGTGCATTGGGGGTCACCAGAGAAGTACAAAGATTTTCAAAACCCCAAAAATAAATTCAAAATAAAACACAAACTTTAGACACTACAAAGAACAACATTCAAACAGTTTGATTTCATTTTTCTCATAGAAAGAAAAAATGCCTTTGCAAAATCAAGATAGCTAGGCCTAATATATAATAATTAATACTTAGTTTGACAGATTCGCAACAAATTGTGAAAGAAATTTAAAGTATTTCATTATTTCAATGTTTCCATCAAAACCCCTGGATTATTGATTATGTTTGTTTTTCCGTAATGGAGCATCCAAAAGAAAAAGGTACATATAATCGCTAAACATCAAAAATGAACTAATAAATGTACCTCCAGCATCTGCATATAGTTTTCTGTGGTAATTCTTCATATCTGCATTTTCCATTCCATATTCATCATTCACTAGATTGTCTATACTATAATTTGTTGCTCTGCTTTAATATCCGTATATGTTTTAAGGAAGAAAATTTCGTCCCCACTCTTCTTATCAAATTATTTCACCTTTTACAGTGAAGCCGAATCCCTAAATACTGAGTACTTTTCATTTAAACCTGCATTCTTGAAAGAATTTGCTACAGTGGATATTAACACCTTTGTCTTTTGTTTTAATATCGGACTGTCTCAGGTAAATCAAAATGCAATGTTTTAAGTACGATATATGCCTCATGCAATTCTGTATTTAAAAAAATCAGACAGTTTTCGGCCCTAACGGGCCTCAAACTGTCTGATATTTTTTAATACAGAACTGTATGAGGCATATATCCAATACATAATTTGGACAATTATACTGTTTCTCTTTTCTTTACAAAGCAGGAATCAAAATTAAAGATTAGGTGTATAATTATTTTTAAAATGATCTTATGCCGCTGAATTCGGAGACTTTGGGGCATAGAGTTATGGGTCTGTCCATCTCTTTATGCCTATCTGCAAAAACTTTAACCTTGGAAATGCCTTACAAGGGGCATGCATCAGGTTTCACTAAAACCTATTTTTATACGCCCAGAGCGTATATTGTTTTTGTCCTGTATGTCTGTCTCTTTGTCTGCAAACTTAAACCTTCGCCATAACTTTTGAACCATGAAAGATAGAGACTTCATATTTGGTATTCCTACTCCACTTATAAAGCTCAAATGACATCAAGGTCAATGACCTTGTGACCTTGATTGTGACCTGTATGCTAAAAACAGCTTTTTTGGACCTTCACCATAACTTTTGAACCAAGAGAGGTGGGGACTTGATATTAAGTATGCATACTCCACTAATTAACTTATTTGAAATGTCACCAAGGCCACTGACCTTGTGACCTTGACTGTGACCTATATGCTAAAAATAGCCTTTTTCGAACTTTGTTTCCGCCAGGCGCATAGTGTTTCACAAACATATCTTGTTTAAAAGTTGTAACTGGTTAATTTCAGGTATGGGGTCGGCAGGAGAAGAAAAATATTTCGACTGCACCGTCTACTCTGATAGAAAGGATCTCCCGACTAAGAACGTGGCATGTACTCAGGAATTCGTGGGTGATAAGTTTTATTGTAAGTCGTGGGAATGCCCGACTCCTGAATGTCCCGAGGAGAAACAAGTTTCGTCATCAGAAGGTTCCTGTCCCGTCTGTCCAGGTAAATACTAATCACTTCCGCTCGGTTATCTGTATTTCTCGTTCTACTGAAATATCATCATTCATAGGCGTCGGAACCCCACTTTTATTCCAAATATATACTTAGCATAGACACTGAACATTGCTGCGTAGGTATAGCCCCCCTCCCCCCACTTTCCACAGACACGTTGCATTATAGGTTAAAAATGGGGAAAGTGGTGATGTTTGGAAAAAAATTTTGGTACTGAAGTTCGAACCCATCCCCCCCCCCACCCCCACGAAATAGGATTTTCGTGTTTGGGAAATGGACATTTTCCTTTTTTTTTTTTTGCTTGTCAGCGTTTTTTGAAGGTATAATTTTTTTTTTTTACACTTTGCCCCCCCCCCAACTTTCAATTTGCTTCCGACGCCATTGTCATTGAAGACTTCTACTTGTTTTTATATGCCTGACTGTTCAGTAGTTTAATATACTTTCAACTTGAGGAAAATTACCTTATTTTTTATATCCGATCTTAATATTTACCATTCAAAACTTTCTAAATGTTATTGGGCGGGGTGGGGGGGTGGGTGGGTGGGTGTAGGATCACTGATAAGATATCCATTTTCGGGGGAGGGGGTTGATGTGAAATGTCGTAACTTGATTGTTACGGGAAATAAAAAAGTACTATTCTATATTCCTTTTTTAGATACCTGCCTAAGTGGAGATAAAGTAATCAAAGTGGGAGAATATGACACGTGTTTTGACGGAGTCAACAGATGTGGATGTTTAACCACTGGAAGAGGGTTTACTACTCTCATGGCAACCAATAAGTTTGTTCTCTGTGGCGCACCACCTCCCTCAAATTGATTTTTAAATAAAAGATTGTATAAATTCTGTCTTTTAATATGATTTTTATAGGGGATTATTTTTTGTTACTTTAGATACATTTAAGAAATGAATTTAATTTTTGAAGATTCATGAGGTTATGAATTCTTATGATAATCCTGTATACCAAATCTCTGTATGTGCAACCTCTGCTAAGAAACTGAACGACTACTGTTACAGTAAAACTCGGTTATAACAAAGTCAGTAGGACCTAGGAAATTACTAGTACTTTGCTATATAGCTGGGGATGTAAGATAACTTTGTTATCTATGAATCTACAATATCTGTGTTCCTACTAAACAACTTTTACTGTTGAGGACCAACTTAAAGACAGACAGACCAACAGCAGCAGAGCAATATGCCCTCCTTTCTTCGAAGGGGGCATAAAAAAACAATTAAATATAATATATTAATAATTGTATTCTAGTTTATTGCTGCTTGTATCTGTATACGAATATGTGATTTAAAAACAATTATTAAATAAAAGAATATAAACAAAATGTAAAAGTTGTTTGAGAAAAAAATATTTCACTTCATTAATACACAACCTTTTCTATAAATGTACTATAATAATCAGGAGCATTACATCACTGGTTTTTTGTTTTAATACTGACAGAATTAAAATTGGTGTTTGAGCTTTTAACTTTAACAAAAAACTCACTCAGGAGCCTGGGTATATAACTAATTACCACCTGAATCCACTCAAAATATGATTTTTAAGTCAATGACTTTTATTTGATAATGAAAAGAACCACATGTCCAAGCTTTCAAAATATTTATATATACAGTAGGTTTTTTTTCTGGAAAGTTGAAATACTGTGGAAATGGCATTCATTGTCTTTTTAAATCAGAATGACAAAATAATGAAAATTGCATTATTTGTGTAAATTAAGGAAAAGGAGGATTCAAATAAAAATGATTGCAAATTCCTCCCATCTAAACCAAGAGAATGCTCTGAATATTTTATCCAAAATTTATGCTAGAAGAAATAAGCAAAAAAAATCATTGATATTAATGACATATAGTGTAGATATACTAAGAAAATTAAAATGCCTTACAGCAAAACTTATTCATATCAATAAAACCAAGAATTACAAAAACAATGGTGACAAAGAAATGAATAGACCGCATATTAATGTGTGTAGCATTACACTCTAATACACTCTTACATAATTTTTTTTACTTATGCCTACTTGATTTCTCGTCTAATTATTGAAATTCCTTAGATCTACCCTCAGTATACAACAAACACATACTCGTGACAGAGTTATGGACAAGGCTCTAATCTACTGGAAAGCTAATCAACATGCCCATAGTCTATAACAAAAATTCTATGCAATGCAGCATGACACAGGTATGTACCTAAAATAATGGAATGTCACAAAACATATTTACTCCAGCTAATTTATAAACATTGATATAGAACACAATATACGTGGACATTAAAGCATGGACTGTAAACATAACCGTCTGACTAGATATGCTTATCAAGTGCTGTTCTACGCACTAAAGTGAGTTAATTGTTATACATGACTGTTAAAAATTCTACTACATGTAGTATAACTCCAAAAATTTTGCTTTATTGAAAGCAAAATATTATGTACTTTTGTATCTTTACATGCAATTTAAAATCCTGGTAATAAAACATCTAAACAAACAGCTCTTTACACCATTATGCATTTAAAACATTTCTCTGAATCACCATGTAAACATATAAAATGACAGATTTGCATTTAATATACTTCGTACAAAGTTGGTTATCAAAATCTTTTGCTTTAAAATGCAACATGCACCAATAGTTACCGGTATTTTTATTTTAAAAAACTTTAAAAATTGGCTTTTATGACTCTAAGTCTCTTGTAAGTTAATGATGTAAAAATCTATGACAGTAATTGTTCCTTATATATACAGTGCAATAAAGCACCATCATTTAAAAAAAAAAGGTTTCTTTGTTTGTCAATATTTCATTGATGAAATAGCATACATACTAATTTGACTTGCAGTGAAGGTTTCAAAGAGTTTACAGATAAAGTAATAAGAAACACAACATAGCATTGCTAATACCTGCAGAATCATAATACTACATAGCATTGCTAATACCTGCAGAATCATAATACAACATAGCATTGCTAATACCTGCAGAATTTGTTATGGAAGGTTTTGAAAGGATGTTAGAAAGCAAGTAAAGCTACATATAAAAAAAATGGTTATAAACTAATACCTATAAATGCTTTTTACAGCCGCAAGACCAAGAAATGTTGCATTGATAAAACATTATACATGTACAAAGATTATGCTTATTATTATATACTTATAAACATATTTGAGGGTAAAACTACATTCAGTATTATTTCAGTATTATGGAAGGATCAGTAAAATTTTGTAGAATGCATTCAGAATTACAACCAAACCTTGTTATCTCAAATTCAATAGGACCACGAAAGAAAATCTCAAGATATCAAAACATTTGAGATATCAAGGGTAAAATACTAAAAGAATAAGTGGTTTGGACTTCCAAGTCACCTTGACATATCTATGGTATTTGAGATTTGGTTGTTCAAGATACCAAAGTTTTACATATATTTGTGTGGGTGTAAAATTGTTTGTATGTTCGTAAAAAAGAAGAGATGATATTCTTACTTGCATAGATTATAAACTAAACAGAACTAAATGTAAGACATGTTGGTATTTACTTCTTTTCATTATCTGTGTTAGATACTGATTAAAGACTTCAGATGTACTACAAATGTATTTATTATAACGAAGCAAGTTTATAAAGCTAAGAAAACAATTAGAAAAAAATCTCAGTAGTCAGTATATTGCACAGCATTATAGTCAGTTCACCCAAAAATGTGAAAATGTCACTGTAAGTTGTCTATATTTAAGATAATATACAACATCCAGATTTCTTGAATTCTTTTTCATGCTTATTAATGCCAAATACCTATTTAGCAAATATGAAGGTTCATTGACATTTGGAGGGAAATTTTGTCTCTTTCCTTCTCTGATGTGGGTGAATTTAAAATGGGGATAATTCAAAGAACACAGTATAAATTCTTCAACAGAACTACGACTTTAATAAAGGACTAAATCGTTTCCAATTGTGAAAATGGCAAAAATAATACATGCCAACAAAAAACTGCATAAAGTATATGGAAATATTTCTAGTTCTCTGATTGACATTATTTTTGCCTATGTCAAATAATTTTCTCTGTGGCATAAAGTTTATAGTGCTTAAGCACTTGATATAGTTATTATGTACATGGTTCAGATTTTTACTACATACTATACCTATTACATATATGGTTTAGATCATGCCCTTACAGAGCCGATTTTCAGATCGTGTTGCATATTTGTGAAATCTACAACTACTGCATATGAAGTTCATTCCTTGAACTTTTTTTTGGGGGGGGGGGGGGGGGGGCTTTTATTTCTGAATTTTTATTACTCCCTATAATCTCAACTCTTAAATCAAATTTAAGCTTTCTAAATGCTGGAAAAAAAGTTTCAAGCCTATTTAGAAACAACTTTCAATTTTTGAATAGCACTAGCAGGTGTAAGTCTCAGTACATATAAAGCTTTGAACAGATTTAACCCTCAATCCTATCATGGGTAGGTATAACAGTAACAATAATTTTCTCACCAGATAAATTTATACATGTAAAAAACATTTCAAATTTCAACAACATTTTCTTCTGTAACAAGGGGTACAATCTATAATGTAAAATTACAAAAAAAATCCTTACAATGAATGAAGAAAAGGCAAATAGCCTGTACATGTATATCCTTCAATCCATTCTACAATAAAAAAAAGATGTACATGTACATGTGTATGTTGCATCCTTTGATCTTTTGTTGCTGGAAATTAAGATTTTAATTAATCTTGGGAATGATCCTTTGTCATGGCACATTTCTTCTCTCAACATGATCAAACTGGAAGTTCGTGGAGCCACATTACTACCCAATATTTAGACATTAGTTTCCTTTGACTGCTGCCTGTGCACTGTTCTTGGTTTGGGTGGGGGTGGTCGTTGGGGTCTCTGTTTGGCTTGAGATACAGGAAGGTTTGTGGGCTTTGGTGGGGCAGAGGGTCTCTCCTCTGGACCAGAAGTCCTCCTCATAGGCTGAGGGGGGCGTTTTGGGGGTTCTTTTGTCTCTGTTGGAATTTTAACTCCCATGGTCTGGAGAATATTCGAGGCAGGCCCTGCTAAGCCTGGTTGAGCATTCATAGACTCTAACATGTTTTTAACAATGTTGATATCAATGTTGACAGGCTCAAAATCGTCATCTTCCTCAGCTATAGATTTCCTGGGTTTCTTCTTTGGCTCATTCTGTTGGTAAAAATAAGAATACTTTTAATTTTTGCTTAGCATGGTTCAAAATAAATTTTAATTATTTTGATAAAGTTATGGATCATAATTAGTGATACTCTAATTAAGAACTATACTTATAGTCATATAAGAATTTGAAACTCCCTTTGATATGTATAGTACAAGGAAACTGCAAAATACCTTGACATTACTTATTGCAAAAGAGCTCAAACCTGTGGTTTTGTAGATGAAGTAGGTTGACTGACTTGAGGGTCTTTCTCAAAACTTTTTCCTACACTGGTTTGACTGAGTTCTCGGTCCATCAGATCCATGTAGTCCTGTACTGTGGGACCCTCGGTGGACTTCACGCTCTGTTTCCTCTTCTCCGTTTGGACCACGGGTGGCTGATCATCTACATCTATGTCTGAGTCGTCCCAGCCATATTCCTCCATGTCATCAGAACTAGACGCTCCATCATTGTTATCTTCAAATTCTATTGGTAGAAAATATAGCTATATCAAATCACTGAATAACTTTTGCTTTATCACCTTCATATTACCGTAACTATTGGTATCACTGAACAATATAATTGTTAAAGTTTGCCATTTAAATATAATATACAGTTCTTCTAATAAGCAAAATATTACCTTTCCACAAAATATCTTAATACATACATGTATGAACAAGGCTTTTATCCCATCAATTTTCCAACTAGTAAGTCACAAAAATTCTTATTTTCATAAATAACAATATACCCCCAGTTTTGAGAACACCAACCATAAATATCACAGAAAATTAACTTCTGAAAAAATTATGAAATCTGTAGTAAAGAAGTCTTACCAAACATTTTAGTCATGGCTGAAATAAATCCTGTACTGTCAAACTGTATCCCTTCATCCTCACCTTCTCTACAATGGAGCACATGAAAATGATTTTTTATCCAAGCATAAAAATTACCCCCCCCCCCTTTCATATAACTGAATTAAATTCTGCCTACCCTGGAAACTCCACACCATCCACACTGGAAATCTTATCCACAAAGGTCTTCATACTACTGGCCACCTCCCCTAGATCAGGAGATGCATTCTTTCCATTTCCTGACCTCTTCATTAATAAAGCATCAAGTTCTTCTGGGGAAATGTCCAGCCAACTGTCATCTGTTTAAGGGGAGACAGGGAACATGTCACATGACTATAAAGACATATTACGTCATAATCGGTGATGATGTACATATTAAACGTTGTTAAAATCAACAGTTCTTGTGTAATTTTATTCAAAATTGTAAAATTGTTTTTTAAACATTTAATTTTAGAAATTATAATTAATAAAATTTTTAAAGATCTTGCCATCATGTAGATATTGTGAAGTTGCCCAATCCTAACACCTGTTTCTCTTTACCCTGCAGTCTGACGTCAGTGATGTCATAGACGTAGTGTTTGAATTCTCAGTGCAGCGAGATCAAGTACACACACCCGTCATGATCAGTTTTATTTCATAATAAACAGGTCACAGTCAATGTATCGTGATAAATTTCTGAGCAGATTTTTTTAAATGAATACTTTTTCGTGTTTAGTAGCAGACATTCTCTCTATTTAGATAATTTTGAATGTTTATGTTTTTGTGTGACGTCACAATTGATTTCTCGCACTCGGAAAATACAAACATGAAGCGTTTTTATCATGCTTACGTCTAATTCAACGATGTCTTATGCGATATTGAGAGTAAGCTTCACCCTGTGATATTTATGCAGTAAATAATTACTATGAAGGACTGACATTCAATCATAAATTTAGAAATATTTATTGACAGAATTTTTTCCAAATTAGGTTTTTGTCGTTGAAGCTGCCTTTAAAAATGCAGAAATTATCCCACCGAAATACTATATAAAATTAAAACAATTGCTTTCAGATAATTTAAACACAATGAATATTCTGAAATATTTGAGTATTTAGTGTTATCTATCATATTTATTGTTTGTGCGTAAAAATTCGCATTATGGACTCTGTTATGGGCCCGTAAACATGAAGTATCTAAACGCCATACAAACTCTAAACAGGGCAGTATTTGTGGGTCGATATCTTTTAAATAAGTCAAGAAATCCCATGACAGGACCGTTTTAAAATGTTAAGTACATATTACATTAGTAATATAAAAATTACGAAAAAAATTCATTGACAGGAATTTTTTCAGTGAAAGGTTCTGTTCCTCCTTAAACATGAAGAGTTTTTTTTTACTTGTTCAATTATTAAAGATACAGATTTTGTCTCTTTCTAGCATCTCTCTTTCCAGTCCTACATGTAGATTCAAGGACATATTTTTTATCTGTCCATCAGTATGTTATTTCATTTTTCTGCAAACTTGAACCTTGTCAATAACTTTTGAGTTGTTGGTGCTAGAGCTTTCATTTTTCTCATGTATATTTCTTGTGACAAGAGCTTTCTTTTGAACAAACAGTTATAATCTTGTGACCTTGAATTTTCAGCTTGATGCACTTTTGAGAAACTTTCATCATGGCTGTGAGCTGCCAAATGGGGCATCAGAGTTTCACAAACAAATCTTGTTAAATTTTTTTTTTCAATGAAATAATCATCAAATTATTTTTCCAATGAAATGAATACATTTGTAGAAAATTTCTAATTAAACCTACCATCAGGTGGAGGCAACCTGGCTTCATTTCTCCGCATGGCATCAATGTCAAATGTTACCTTGTCAAGCAAATCTAGCATTACATCACCAGCAGTCCACCTGCTAAAAGTGAAAAAATTTATAGATTGACTATTTTTCTTTCTCTACTTTGTGAGGAAAAATAATATGCATGTATACCGAGTGGACTTTAATTTTGTTCACAGTTTAACATGAAAGAATGTTAATATGTACATTGGAAACTCAAAGCACAAAACAATTTCTTATAAACAAACCTTTTTTAAGAGAGGAACATTTTTCACAATATCTCTTACTGGTAGGACGTTATTATAGATGTGAAAATTGGATGAATTTTTTTTTTTACTTTTATTCAGCCCCATCCACAAATAACAAAAGCTTTCAAAACGAAATTTTAATGGATTCTAATGGATATTTATTTCACTGGGCTCAATATTACACTATTTTACCATTACAAAGTGAACATCATAATAAAGAGACTCCAAATAGCATGCATTATAGATTATTTACCTTTGAGCACTAAATGACTGTTGCTGGTAGAACTCTCTAGCTTTGGAGAGAAGTTCATTGTACTTCTTGGAGCCCTCTATTTCCCCCTACAGTAACAGTGAACATGGTCAAACAAAACATTGACTAGCTAAACACTCAAATTATAACATCAGAAATCTTAAAATGTTCAGTATTAAACTCAATCAGTTCAACATAATTTTGATAACTGAATTCAAAGCAATACCCTGAAGAAGCCTTTGTCTTTTAAGGATTGGAGATATCTCTTCCATCGTACATCATTGGGTCTTACTTGATGACCATTCTGTGATCTCGCTTCGTTTTCATCACATTTGGAACACAAAATCTCAAAACCATGTGCCTTTAAATCAAGAAACATATATTTAAACATATAATAATTTTGAATGTTCCTGTGTGTTCTTAGTATATGAACCTATTCTTAAATGGTAAAGTGATATGCCTTCTACATGATACAATATGTATCGTATAGTTTTGCTTCATTTATTTTCAACATTATTTTATGTTTTGTTTCAATGTTGAAACTATAATGGACATAACTGATACACCTATGTATTACCAGTTTCATTCCCAGGTCGTGTGAGGTGAACTTTGGATTACTGGAGCTGGGGAGGTTGTAACCACACCGCTTGTCTGGCTGAAATTTCTGCTGCATAAGCTGGGCATACAGGCACCTTGTCATTTTCACCTAAAAAATTAAATAAGTTCTACATGAACAAGTTACGTTTAAAATTTGAATGTCCATGTACTTATTTTTTTTAGAATTCATCAACTTACCCTACTTGTCACACGAGTTCCTGGTCGAAAATACTGCATAGTTCTGCAAGCCTGTCAAAGTCAAAATAAATGAATTATTATAAATTAACAATATTGTTCTTTATTATAGTCTAAAAGAGTTTATCTGCAATTAATCAAAAGAACTTGCCTATGAAATAGACACATTGATTAATCCGAAAAAATTAACCTGAGGTAGAATATCTGGGATCTTACTACATGTACTAGTAAGTACCTGATGTATTTAACCTGGATTCTCTACTAATGCTCAGCTGTAAACCTATTTAGACTGGCTTAGAATATATGGACTCTACTTATACTAGCTTGCAGACCTATGTTGTCAAAGCCCGACCAAGAACACTTGGGCTCTCTGTAGATTTAAAGAGCCTAATAATGAAGAATACAAGAGCTATCTGCTGTAACTTATCTATAAGTCAATAAAGAAATGTGTAGAATACCTGGGTTCTTTGCTAGCAATTACCTGTAAATCTAAAGGGTCCCTGAGATAAAATGCCTGGACACCTGCTGCTACTAGATGTGGCTTCCTCTCCAGGGCAGCAGCCAAGTTAGCCGGGATATAACAGTGGGTGTGATGGATGTTTTCTTGTATCTTATCTGGATACCTTTAGTACAACAAAGAAATTGTAGTATAATATCAAATAAAATGTTTAAATAGCATTTGTGGTCATCTGGGTTTAAAACTAATCAGTTATTGACATCATTGAAAAAAGTTTCTCTGATGAATTTTCCATATGCGAAATATCTGCATATTTAAAGGTAAAATGACTTACTCATTAACCCTGGCTTTCAGGGCTTTCTGGACTTGTGGGCTTGCTCTAGTTCTGGAGGCTGACTGTCTCACACAGCTGACTGCTTCCTGTAGGGTAGGTGTAGACGCGGGGAATACTGTCACTTCAGCTGGTGTCTGGGGTCTTGGGATGATGTGTAGTTCATTATTGTACAAAAATACCTGAAGTATCATGTAATCATTTTAATACAATAATCAAATTAACATTGCTTGTTTTCCTAGAGTAGGAGGATTTCAGAAATAACTATTTTATCATATTTCATTTTTTGAATGAATACATAATCATGATAAATGTCTATCATAAATTAAGTGTAATGTTTATAAATTAAAAAAAAACATGACCAAATTACATGCAAGTATTATATTGGTAAAAATTTTATGTAAATTATTTTTACTTCCTAACACTTTTTTATTAAAACAAAATAATATGCGATCATACAAGTTAGTATGTTGTTTTTTGTTTGAACATTTACCCTGTTTTCTACTGTTTCAGGGTCTACCCACTTAGGTAAAGCATCAGCTGCCTCTATCAATAGAAACTCTCCATCAATGTCCTGAACTCTGAAAAATAAAAAATAAATCATTCAGACTAAAAAGTTTGAGTATACAAATAAAGATTTTTTTTATTATTAGATTAAGAAGTAATCTCAGAGTACAAATAATTTTTCCATCACATTTTAAGTTTACTGTCCTAATACATGCCTTAAAAACACGCATTCATGACTAATTTTAACTTACTGTATTACAAGTTCTGGAATCTGTCGAGACAGCTCAAATAACAGATATACAATAAGCCATTCATCTTCAATGTTGTCTCCAAAGGTGGTTTTACCAAAAAGATGAGGAGGGCAATCTTTTGTTCCTAAATATTTAAAGTAATTTATCCATAGTTTAAAAAAATCAGATAAATTAAGAAAATAAAATTAAATCAACTGTAGAACAAATAAGTATTTTAGATACTGTAGAAGTACTTTTTTCTGCTTGGTATTAATTTATGCTATGTACGCGGTCACAAATTTTCCGCGGAAATTTGTCCAAGCGTACTTAATACAAATGTAAGGCATATAGTGACAAACTACAAATGTAAGGCATATAGTGACAAACTGAAAATCCGCGTAATTTTCTACCCGCAGCTGATTAAACAGAAATTGAGATGCCGTGGAATTATAACCTCGTGGAAAAAAGTACGTCTACAGAACTCAAGCCCCTCTAGGACTTGAGTAAAAATGCTCAAAATTTATTTTTAGGCCTATAATATAATCTTATCATTGTCATTGATGTCTAAAATTTTAACAATATAAATGTGTACCTCTGATGCTCATGGAAAGATCAGTCAAGATTAAAAAAAAAAGAGAACGTACAGATTTTAATTTGTTTTGTTAATTAATTGCCAAAAGAAAGAAACGATAGATTTTGCACAGTAGTGACAGTAGCTCTATTGCCAGTATCGGTCAGTAGTCCTAACATTACCGTCAATAGGAGTCAGCTGAAATGGGTCAATGTGCCAAATGTAATCCACCACGTGGGGACTGACTACGGCCAAGCAGGTATCCAATGTGTTCAATAAAGTCTGGTGGTCATTGTGGCCGCTGATTGCCGGAAAAATTCGATATTCTACACAGTCCTCCGCTACTTTCTTTCTCTCGGCCATCGTCACTTTGTCGTGTTTTTACGGAAGTGTGAGTAAGAGTTCATGACCTTAAATACAGCCAATAATAAAACGCGTTACAAATCTGTACACTTTTGTCATGTGACTTATCATGGGAAAGTAAAAGTAGAGGAATTTTCTACCCCAAAACATGTTAAAGCCCAAAGCACTCACTCAAGTTCTAAGTCAGGCTAACACAGGCGGTGTCCAAAGTACTTTGTAAGTAGATACGATCTGAAACTTGAGCAGGCTAAGTAAAACATGAATCGCTCATTTCGGGAAGGGAAAAGGGCTTGGGGGGGGGGGGGGTAGTTATGTAGTTATTTTGAAGATTATATTTTTGTGTTTACAACAATATAATTAATTTCCCTTTAGTTATTAAAATAACATGGAATACTTTAATTTAAAAGACTTTAATCACAGGAATAATGACTAATAATGTAAGAACTGAGAAGTAGAGATTCGATTTTAGTTACAAGTAAATACATAATACATCTGACAGTAACTTCATATGAGTTTAAAAAGCAGCTGTATTTTACTTGTATCATAAATGAGACATATAAAAGGTGCCTTTTATATGGATATCTGCGGCTGTTACTGCAGCCATAGCCAGTAATGTGTGGATGTCATACCAGAAAAGTGGCACTGTCGCCTTCAGTGATGATAAACTCAAATTCATCATGCTAGAGTGTGAGGTTAGTGACCTAGACAAATTGATCATAAGACAGTGATTGATTTTATCAGGCTTACATACTTTCAAATAATCAAAACATTACATTTGGTACTTAATAAAAAATTACAGGACTTCTGAAATTAATTTTTAGGCATGTATAAAAATGTACTGTAGATCACTAAATTTTCAGACACCAGTCATTGACTCAGACAAAATTTTCACGAATTGTGTGTGTGATCAAAAAGTTCGCAAACTATCTCTATATCTACAAAACCACAATTCAGATTAGAATGAAATTCGGTACACACATAGCCATACACAAGGTCTATAAATAGCATATGCTGAATAAAGTTTCTCTCCTTGTTTGTGACATCACAATGTGAAAATGACGTCACTATTTAGGTCACTGTTCAACAAACGACTGTCGCCTACAGTATCATATAATAATTTGTACACAGTTTATTGATAAACTCAAATTCATCATTGCATTAATCGTTTTGTGAGGTTAGTGACCTAGTTAAAAAATTAATCAGTGAAACAGTGATTGTATTTTTAATTAAGCAGTTTGCTATCAAGACCTCCAATTAGCACTTTGAAAAATAGTTGAATAAAACATTACATTTGGTACTTAATAAAAAATTACAGGACTTCCACCTTGAAATTAATTTTTAGGCATGTATAAAAATGTTCTGTAGATGACCATTTCTGACAAATTTTTCTTGTCATAAAAATTAACACATGGAAAGAAATATAAAACTCGTAAAAATCTTTTTAACTTTTGTGACAGAAGTTAGGATTGATATCAAGTGATTCGCGCATGCGCAGAACGGTGGTTGATGTGCATTAAAATCGGGGAGGATTAACAAAATTTTAAAACCAAATTGTGGTTATTGCCCTATATAATCTTAAGGAATGCTATTATACGCGGGAATTAAATTTTCGCGAGCACACTGTCTCACGTAATTACGCGAAAATAAAGTTCTTGTGAATAAAAAGTGATTTACGGTATTCAAAATACTTGATTCATTAAATCTTAGGAACAAATTTTTTTATAATATAGCAGAAGGTAACTTATGAAACAGTTTTTATGTGTCAAACATCTTTTCAGGAGGGAAAAGTTGCCATTACTAAAGTAGCCAATCTTTTGTTATGCATTTGTTCTAAAGAAAATGTGGGATTTGGTATGCTAAAGGCTAAGGTAAGATAAAAGTCCTCCAGTATCAAGATCAATTAATATATTTTTTTTCATACAGAAGTATACTTTCAACAGCTTAACTCAGCAATGTAAAATAAATTCAAGATATATCTTGTGTCATCAAGGGCTAATCACGGAAAGCTTTCACTTGTACTAGATTTGTAATACAGTATAAACATTGATTTTTTTTTTGTAATTGACCTTTACCTTTTGATAACCTTTAGTCAAGATTTTGACACTTTTAGATCAGGGGCAATGACATGCTAGAGTTTGAGTTTATTTCAAACAAGGCTTCAGTATAAATATACATTGTATGTGTATTAGTAAATAAGTATTACAGTTCAATGTTAGTCTGTTCTTTGTTGTAGATGGAGGCATTAGCGAGTTATTTGGAGGAACCATTATCACAGGTTGCAGCTTCCTGACACAGATTGTAAATGCTATTTTATTCAAATCCTAACAGGCAGTCAGAACTGTTTTTATCAATGTTGGACCACATTTTATTGTGAGACAAATACTGCCAATAAATAAATATCTAGCCTCACTATACGAGAGACTGAAGTTATGTGGTAGATGTCAATAAAAATCTAATAATTTATCAAAAATAAAGGAAACTTTTTTTTGTTCTATACATTTTCAACGTTGGACTTACTAGATACATTTCACACAGTGTTTAAAATTGAGAAAAAAATGTTAGGTATGTTATGATAAATGTAATACATTTAATCTTATGAATAAACTATTGTACTTTACTTATTTGATTGATGTTGGAATGTCTTATTAGATAGGGGGTTTTATTTTCTAACAAAAAATTCAAATGCCTGTGTTGAAAGACATGTTTTTTCTTAGAACATGTAGAACAGAATAATAAATTTGACAATCTTATGGGGTTTCAGACAAGGTTTGTATTATATAAGCCCTAAACACTTAACAGATTTTTGTTGGACTACAAGAAAAAAAAAATTACATAGAATAGAATAGATTTTATTTACCAATCATGGTATGAAAGTTAGCATGATTTTTAAACACTCAAGAGGACAAGAATACATAAACATGCAGCAATACAAAGCATAGGAATGCTAGATATTAAGTCTAGGCAAAACAGAGGTGATGAATTACATGTATGTCCAAAGACAAAATGTCACCCAAAGAATTGTGGTCCCTCACTTTTGGTGTCTGTGGATTAGGTGTCATTTTTTTATGGCATAATGTGTCAAATTTGAAAGCCCTTTCATGTCATTCAGAAGTTATCACCATAGTTTTTTTTTTTACAAATAGGTCATTCATGAAGGTCAAGGGGTCAAAAATCATAGCATGCCCAGAAATATCTTGCCACAGGAAATGCACATGTCTAATATGAAAGCCATATCTCTTCTCAATCAAAAGTTATAAAGAAAAAATAACATTTTTGAAATTTAGGTCAAGCTTTAAGGACAGGGTCATAAGATTTAAAATCATAGTGTCTTTAGAAAGGTCTGGTCACAATCAATACACAGGTTTAATATGAAAGCCATATGTCTTCTCATTCAAAAGGCATGAGCAAGGTTAAAGGTTTTGAAAAGTAGGTCAAACTTCAAGATCAAGACCACGAGGTCAAAAATCATAAGTGTATTTAGAAAGGTCTTGTCACAGATAATATGCACGTGTAATATGAAAGTCCCATCTCTTCTCATTAAAAAGTTATGGCCAATTTTAAGTCTAATTTTTTAAAAAGTAGGTCAAACTTCAAGGTCAATGGGTCAAAAATCAAAGTGTATTTAAAAAGGTCAATGCGCAGGTCTAATATGAAAGTCCTATCTCTTCCCATCCAAACATCATGACCAAGGTTAAAGTTTTTGAAAAGTAGATCAAACTTCAAGGTCACGAGGTAAAAAAAATCATAGTATACTTAGAAAGGTCTTGTCACAGGTAATATACAATTTAATATGAAAGCCCTATCTCTTCTCATTCAAAAGTTATGGCAATTTCAATGTAATGTTTAATTTTTTTAAAAGTAGGTCAAAGTTCAAGGTCAAGGTCGAGTGGTCAAAAATCACAGTGTACATAGAAAGGTCTTGTCACAGGTAATGCATGTATACAAGTATAATATGAAAGCCTTATCTCTTCTCATTCAAAAGATATGACCAAGGTTAAAGTTTTTTGACGGACGCACAGAACTACAAACTGACAGACTTACAGACGAATGGCAATCAATGTCTACTTGCTTTTGCTCGAGTTTCTGGTTGAAAATATCTATGTAGTTTTTGGAGATCGGTTCTTCAAACAATCTTTTTGATTTCCCATGGGCACTTACTATGCTTCGCTATAAGCAGCCCTGTTTTTATAATCTTATGTAGCAGGATTTATTTTAATACTTATACATGAGATAAAAAAAAAACACTTGCTATAGTCTTCCACTCATGATCAACGACGTATTAAATCTGTAAACAATAGTTACTTCCATTTTATATGTCAACACAATTTATCCCAGTAAACCTGATGGATACCATAGAGCCTAATATATCTTCTTCCGATTCGGATATTTTACTAGAAAGACGTAAATAGCAACCACACAACAAAACTTTATAATAAACGTGATCACTTCAACTTTTCTCTCGCCCTGCCCCTCTTCCCTTACTTGTGTAGAAATATACACATATATCCTCCATATGTGGTTTTCGTTGACCAGTTGATTTGATACGGAAATTATGCTGTACTTGTAAACATTTTCTAAAATGAGGCAGGCTTTTGACAAACAAATTGACGAATCAAGGATGCCAATAGTCACGTTGAAATCGCCTATTTGAAATTTCTATGGTCGATACAATCAACTTGACAGCAAATACAATCTATTTTAAAAAGTACAATACTAATTGATGTTTTTCGTACAAATTGCTAGGCCATTAATTCCACACGGAATTTTCAATGGATTTTCACACTTGTCAGATCATGTCAAGGTGTCACAAAAGGTGACCAATATATTGCTTTTTCTCCCCTCATGTTAATTTTCTATTATAGATCATAAAAGCTGGATTAAATTTTCAATTTGTACTCAAGGCCCTTACTTTGAAGTCACTGCATGATTTTTGCCTAATTCCGGAGCCTAACGGATTCTCTAAATATATTGTGTCTTGATACCTGGTGGTGAAAATAGTGGCAATTAAAAGTTTTTTCCTCGTCTGTCTGTTACTTTGTCAGTCTGTCCGCATTTCTGAAATCATGCTTGACATGATTTTTGATGTATGAATGTATATTGTACGAAAGCCTATTAGGATCAATCTAGAGAGAAAAAAAAATTAAAAAGACGTTATAACGCCTTTTGAAAAGGCGTAATAACGCGAAAAAAGGCGTTATTACGCCTTTCCATTCCAAAAGGCGTTATAATGCCTTTTTAAAAGGCGTTATAACGCCTTTCTAAAAGGCGTTATTACGCCTTTCCATTCTAGAAGGCGTTATTACGCCTTTCCATTCTAGAAGGCGTTAAAAGCGTTATTATATGATTGAATAATTTCCATCTCTCTGATTGGCTGAGATCCAACTATGTTAGAAAAATATTACGTTGTATTGACCTGCACGCGACGTTCCAGGTCAATACAAGGATTTATTTCCTCTACATTGATCTAAAAATAGATTGGGAAATTCCAAATTGATACAAATTGTTTTAGAAAGCTACTTAAACGACTATGATTTTTATTTTCATGTGAACAAAACATAAGCGAATATATATTTAAGGTGAGGGTGGTAAAGGGGAACCCCCCCCCCCCCCCCCCTCCAACACTTTTACTGAACAATTTTTACTTTTTTCGACGGTCAGTTTTCCCTGATAATACTCCTTCCTTTCAAAATCTATCTAAAAAAGACTGACATTATATATTTATTTCATGGCAACTAAAATTGATTTTAAAAAAACATTTCAAATTGATCTGACTGGTAAGGTTTATTCACATTTTAATTCTGCTTCTCTCTTGTATTTGGCTAGGACTTAATAAAAATGCAAACAAGTAATGAGCTGTATCATTTTATCAGTGAATCATATAATAAAACAATTATTGCTGTTTTTTCGGTCAATACAATGATTTAGCCATCTTCGAAGTACAATATTCACCTCGCCCTTCGGGCTCGGTGAATATTGTACTCCTCAGATGGCTAAATCATTGTATTGACCTCAAAAACCAGCAATAATTGTATATTATTACGCCTTTCCAAAAGGCGTTATTACGCCTTTCTAAAAGGCGTTATTACGCCTTTCCAAAAGGCGTTATTACACCTTTTCAAAAGGCGTTATTACGTCTTTCTAAAAGGCGTTATTACGCCTTCCTAAAAGGCGTTATTACGCCTTTCTAAAAGGTGTTATTACGCCTTTCTAGCGTTATTACACCTTTTTAAAAGGTGATATTATGCCTTTCCAAAAAAGTTATTATGCTTTTTGAAAAACCATTATTTTGCATTTAACAGGCCCGTGCTTTTAATAGCCCCCCCCCCCAACACACACACACTCCACTGGCCATATTCGTGGGGGAAATACACGGTACAAATGTATTTAAATGCAATAATTTGTCACAGTTTTACACACTGCAACAAAATGTTCAGGAACCAAGAAACCAATAGTTAATTATAATATTTAAACTGTAGCAAGACTTTTCCTCAAAAGTGTGTACGTTTGGAGGGGGTTTACCCCATTCGCACTCGTATTACTGGCCTACATGAAAAGGAAAAGGCGTTATCTTATGTTAATAAATATAGAAAGATTTAATTAAAACCATCTTTATTTATGCAATTCTCTATATTCCTGCACATCTCACTGACAACTGTTTGCATTCGTATTAAAGGTACTTGGACACAGATTTGAAGTTAATATTTTCTCTATAATATTACGACTTATATATTTTAATAGCATTTCACACAAAAATTAATTAAAAATCTTATTTCATGTAAAAGATATTAAAATTTCAAATTTTTTGGCGGGTTTGATTGACACATCTTTGCACTTTCACAAATTAATTTTATTCTTAATCCTGAGGAAAAGTGGCAATCTCGTTTTGTATAAATGAAAAATATTAATACTATGATCCAGAAAATTCAGAGTAGACATGTTCGAAAGCAAAACAAACACACAATATATTGTCAGTCCGTGCAGTTGTGGTAAACAGACTGTGACTATCGAACGCACCCGGTGAATTGTAAACATAAACAATAACAGAACTTGTGCCCTGTTTACAAAAACTGTGTACATAACACGAGTATGCTCGATTTGCTAAATTCTGTACGCAACTCTTAGTTCGGAATGACGATACTTGTGAAGAAGTTTTGCTTTCTAACATTTCTCCTCTGAATAAAATTATTTTTCTGGATAAACTTTTTAACATTTCTCATTAATACACAACAAAAATGCCACTTTTCCTTAGGATTAAGAATAAGGTTAAAATTTGTGAAAGTGCAAAGATGTGTCAATCAAACCCGCCAAAAAATTTGAAGTTTTAATATCTTTTACATGAAATAAGATTTTTAATTAATTTTTGTGTGAAATGCTATTAAAATATATAAGTCGTAATATTATAGAGAAAATATTAACTTCAAATCTGTGTCCAAGTACCTTTAAGAGAAGGCAACACTCTACTTCTGAAGATCTAGAATATAGGCAGACTTATCTTGGAGCTTTGCTTGCCATGTACAGTGTATTAAAATTTATGTCATTTGAAGATATTTTTCTCTTTTTTGGAAAAAAGCAGGCAACTATTTACATGGGTATAAAGAGCAATTGAAATAAATGACCCTTGGTAGAGGTGTGCCTGGTATGAAAGAAGGACTTAGTTGGTTCAACATTGAAAATATATGACGCATTAAAATTTTTTTTCCTGGAAATCTAATTGCTATCTGTTTAAATTATTTTTTGAGAAATTAGTCCTATATCTATTTGTGAAATTCATGTCCCAAAGGTACGATTTCTGCATACACCCCCCCCCCCCCCTCGGTTGGGCTAAATATGTTTAGTTATGTATTGAAAGTAAAAGGCGTAATAACGCCTTTTGGAAAGGCGTAATAACGCTTTTTAGAAAGGCGTAATAACGCCTTTTAGAAAGGCGTTATAACGCCTTTTGGAAAGACGTAATAACGCCTTTTAAAAAGGCTTTATAACGCCTTTTAGAAAGGCGTAATAACGCCTTTTGGAAAGGCGTAATAACGCCTTCTAGAATGGAAATTTAAGGCGTAATAACGCCTTTTAAAAAGGCGTAATAACGCCTTTTGGAATGGAAAGGCGTAATAACGCCTTTTCAAAAGGCGTTATAATGCCTTTTTTCGCGTTATTACGCCTTTTCGAAAGGCGTTATAACGCCTTTAAATTTTTTTTTCTCTCTAGATTGATCCTAATAGGCTTTCGTAATATTGACGAGTTACAGATCAAGTTTGCTTTTTGTTCCGCTTCAGTTATACAACTTTTCGATTTTTAAGGATTTTATGAATTCCGCATTTTTCTTAAGTACTTGCAGATATTGGGCTAATTTTTGGCACGTGAATGAGTTTTACAAGTAGATCAATGTTGCATTCTGTTCTGCTTCATTTTTTTTACGGAATCTTGGCGTTTTCAATTTTCTTCGAGTTTAATATTGCCGGTTTTGGGGACTACATGTATTGCCAATGCAATACCTCCAGAATACATGTCATGAAAAATGTAATGTATTTTCTATATATATAACACTCTTTGCTTTTTTGGGACATGAACCCATGAGAACAATTTTCAAATCATGACCATAAAATGAGATATTCCTGACTTCTTGGTTTAGACTGAGGGGACGCGCTTAGTTGCAGCATTGGATATCTAGCAGGTAAACTGTCTGCATGTGTAATGACTCAAACTTTTACCTGCATTGTTAAATTCATACCACTGGGTCATGTCCTAGGATTAAACTTACCGTATACAGAGGTAACTTGTTTTGTTCTCTTGTTGGCCTCTGCATACTCTTTTTGTGCTTTTGCTTAAAATTTTTTCAGCTTAAATTGTCCTGCTTGAAATGACCACAGCCTTCTTATCCTTCCTCTCCTCTACTTTCCTGAATGTCTCCTGTCTGATCCACTCTATATTGTGAAACTTTTTTAATACCAAGAATTTCATGGCAGCTGGTAGTGATGGTCTCTTTTATCCCTTTCCAATGATTTTCAACTGCTGTTACTCACCTATTTCCTGTAGTGCTTGGTATTTGTTTTCCACCACAATCTTATACTCCTGAAAGATTTTGGTTTCTTGGAGAAGTCTGGTGTTATATCTGATTCTCTGAAAGTTTCCTTCTGTTTTCATTTTGTTGAGCTTCAGTTTGATGCTGTCTGTCAGTAGATGGTGATCCGAGACTACTTCCGCTTCTCGTTTGACCCTGGTATCCTGCAAAGATTTAAACTTTTATTGATACATATATGATCTATCTGGGTTTCAGTTATCTGATCTGGTGATACCCAGATGCTTTGAGGATTCTTTTGTGCTTGATAAAGTGCCCCCAATAACTAGTTTGTTGAATGCATAAAAGTTTGCTAATCTTTCAGCATTTTCGTTCATTTGGCCCAGTCCATATTGTCCCATGATCTCACTTCATCCAGTCTTACCCCGGTATCATTTCCAATTTTTCCATTAAGGTCTCCCATCATGATGGTTACATGTCTTTTTTCTACAGGTGTCTATTACAGATTGATTTGTGTTGCAGATTTCATCCTTTGCCTCTTCCTTTGTTGCATCATCCCTGCATCATTTGTTGGATGATGCCTTTTTGATCATTGGTTTATGTGCTTCCCAGCTTATTCATGCTTCCATTGTTGTTTTGGATAGCATGTGTCACTCCTTTATAATGCGATGCAATTTCTTCTTCATGTCCAGAATAGAGGAGTAATTCACCTGTAGTAAGTCTGCACTTTCTTGATTGAATCCATCTTGTCTTACTTATATGCAAGATTGTAGTTTCTCATCCCTGCTGCAAATTTGGGTGTTTTCCTTGCTTCATACATGGTTCTTACGTTCCAGTTTCCTATGTTGATGTTTATGGGTCCGAGAAGGCCTTGAAGTTTCGTTCTGTCTCTGGCTTTCACCGTCCTTCGTCTTCCTTTTGGAGAACTTCTCTTCCAGAATTTGAGAATTCTTGATTAAATCTTGTTTGTGTTTCTGTATCGATTGCCATTTTACATGGAGGGGTTACTAACCCTGCGCAAAATCATCGGGACCCGGGGGACCGGTAGTTTTCTGTTGGCGTCACATATTCCAGTTATTTAAAGGCGCTAGAGACTTGCCTTTTGCCACTGTCACTCATCTGCCGAAGCATTTCCAGGGTCGTCACCAAAACGGGGAGGTGTGACATGTGACTTGCTGGCAGAACGTATTTGAGACCGCAGGCATGAACTCGAACCTTTTATAGTGTAATTTATTGACATCAGTTACACCCCTCTAGAGCTTCACCAGCCTTTGAACCCCCAAAAAGAGTATGCAGAGGCCAAGAAGAGAACAAAACAAACTATTAAAGCTGACAAAAGAAGGTACTAGAAACGGAAGCAGAACAAGCTGCAAAAGCAGGGAGCATGAAAGACCTGTATGACATCACCAGGAAGCTAACTTGGGAGCGAAGTAAACAAGAAAAACCAGTGAAAGACAAGGCAGGTAAACAACTAGAAGGGGAGGAAGAACACAAAAGGAGATGGAAAGAGCATTTTGAAGAAATTTTTAATATGCCAGTTCCGTCTAACCCGCCAAATATTATACCAGCAGACGAAGAGAGGCATTGGACTGGAATCCACAAGGTCAAAGAAAATAAGGGCGACCATTACACATTTGGAAGAGAAGAAGATTGAAAGAGCTCGAACAAAAAAGAGCTCAAAACAGAGTAAGGTGAAAAGCGACTGTAGTAGCCCTTTGATCCACAAGGAACGAAGAGGACTAAGTAAGTAAAATTAATTACATTTCTGATTACTGAGTACATGTATATTCAATACTCATAAACATGTGAAAAGACAAATGCTTGTATGATGAAATTGGAGTAGCTAAGTCTTCTAGAAATATAGAATTTGCTTCCTTTGGAGAGGAGGTTAGTTGTTTATAAATGTGTGCCTAAAAATATTACACAGTGTTCCACTTTCTCATTTTTTAAATCATGATTTCCCGAAAAAAAAGCTGCATAAAATTGATAAAAACTGAAATTAATGCCCTGTTCACACGGAGAGTTTAATTCGAATTAAACGTAAGTTTACGGCGAATTAGCTTCGCTTAGCGTTCACACGGAAAATTTAATTGGAGTAGCTAAGTCTTCTAGAAATATAGAATTTGCTTCCTTTGGAGAGGAGGTTAGTTGTTTATAAATGTGTGCCTAAAAATATTATACAGTGTTCCACTTTCTCATTTTTTAAATCATGATTTCCCGGAAAAAAAAGCTGCATAAAATTGAAAAAAACTAAAACAAAAGCGTAAAACACTTGTCACATAACTCTAAAACAGTTTCAAGTCGGTCTAAAGTAGTCATTTAACTTATAAGAAACTCATGATACTCAAATGACCCTCGAGGTCCTTATACTTGTAACACTTTGCTCGGTAGATATTCAGTAGGAAAAGATATTTGAACAGTGCATGAATTTTGGCATATATTCCATATGTTACGGTGGGAGGCAGGAACCAAAAGCAAACTGGATAATCTGAGTGACTGCAGTTATTCTTCCTAACTGGTTGAAATTTTTTTCTTCCTTGTTTCCGCACTTTTTCCCATGTTAAAAAATGACAAGATACGAGGGATCAAAACTGTTTTAGATACATGCACATCAATGATTTTTTTTCACATTCATTTAGCGTTATCCTTTTTTTTTCTTGGAATAAACTACATGTATAAGACATCGGATTTAATCTAAATTAAATTGTCAAGGTTTTAGAAAATATTGGCTTATGACCAATAGGCAAAAATCCTTTAAAAATGAGGTATCGACTTAGACATATTTGTCTCTCAATAATCACGTAAATTCAGTCCTGTGATTTATAGTAACAAATATTCCATAACCAATTATTCTATCTTCTATTCCGATTTTGACCTTATTTTGGGAGTTCTATGAGTTTTTGATGTGTTGAAAAGTGACACTGGATTGGAGGAGTTTTTTTTTTCCAGCAAAGTCAGTGTCATTTTTTAAAGCAAAAAGTTGCAAATCCAACGTCAAATTGAAACATATTTTAAATCGAAGGAATAGAAACACACTGAAATTTTTCTCTTGCAATTTCAAAAGTAAAGGAAAGCATGCTTCAGGTTTATGTTAACCAGAGCGCAAGTCGAAAATTATGCAAGTTGAAAATGTACATAATTAAGTATTTGGAATATATGACAGTCTTTAATGTGATAAAATTATTTACACAGGTGATGCATTCATAAATTTATACATGCACGAAATGAATGTTTACAATGTTATGGTTCTTTCAGTTTGCTGCCTGTATCGAATACGTAAACATAGCTGGAGTCTGATCCATAGTAATCATAGTCATCTGCACATATAGAGGCTGATATTACCAACTGTGTCTGAAAAAGAATTGAAAACGATGACTCTAACCAAGACATCCTTGTTTCATTAACTTGTTTGTCAATAACTTGCCTTATCTTAGAAATAATTCGCACGTGGAGCATGCTATTGCGTATTGAATCAACTGGGAGACAAAATCCATATGCAGTTGATTTTTGATTGAAACGTAAATTAGATGCACAATGGTGCTATGTACGAGTAATAAGATACTTGTACTTTGAAACGTAAAACTGACTCACTTTCCGTCTATCTTGACTTTGTGCATTTTTTTTCAAATTGCAGGTTCTTTCAGCAAATTTCAAAAACTTCAATTCATTTTCACAGTTATAATATTTCTTATTTCAATTACCACATTAATGGCTGGAAGTGTTACAAAATTATCCCCAAAATAGTTCTTATCCTCAAGGAATGAGGAGAATGTATGATTAGCCTACAAGAAAAGAAAAATACAAATTAAAAGTTCAATTACTGTAAATATTCATATATATTGCAGATTTACCAGATATGGCATATTTTCTCAGTCGTTTTAAAGAATATTATTACCTAAATCTCATTCAATTACAAGAGAAACCTACATTACGGTTCGGACAGGGTGATATCGACTTGCAACTTCTGTTTGTAGCATTACCAACAGGAAAATATTCTCCTCCATAAAAAGCATATGTCTTCCCATCAAATACTGGCAAAAGATCATGTTGTAAATTAATTTATTGGTGCAAGATCATTTAAAAAAGTAAATTGAGAGATTTGAAGTTATAAAGCAATTTTCTCACTGATGCTGAAGAGATTGGACGGATCGTCATTTCTGTATGGACTCCCGATCAGTAAATCATCGATATTGTCATTATTGATATCAGCAAACTGTTTAAAAAAACATTTTTGGTTTTATTGACTGATCAAGCAAAAAAAATGGCTTATAAATGAAATAAATATTTTAAGATACATTACAAATGATAGCGTTCTTACAGTGACTCTCATTCCAAATCGGCTGTATCTTCTGTCACTCTCATAGTTTGCTATTTCTGTCAGCTGCCCTTTCTCCAGTTTTAACAGTATAACTTTTCCGGCTTGCGTCCATTTGCTTTTTAAAGTAAGTACTTCTCCATCCACGTCCGCGCCCGGAACTCCTACAGCAACGACCAATGAGCCGTTACCAAAGGGGTCGCCAAAGTCACTGCTATGTCCGGCGAGGTCATAAGCGTCACGACCAGCAATAGACATGTTGGTCATGGCAGTGCTGTTACCAAAGTTGTAGACGTGTAATTTACCAACAGCTTGTTGGTCTGACTCAGAGAAAGATGGACACGAAGGACTGAAGAAAAAATTAAAGTCAAAATACCCGGTATGTCATGTTTACAGTCACATTCATGTGTTCTAATATATTTGTTACAATATCAGAGAAAGGAAAATGTTTGCATTTTTTCTCAATTTACATTTTTAAAAATTATATATAGTATTTTTTTTTCCAACTAATCACGACAAATAAATAGCGATCTATGTGAGCGGATCAAACGATCTGATTTTAATCAGATTGAAATGTGCATTGTTAAATATCAGCTTATACTTTTCGCAGATCCTGAAGTAAGGTTCATTCACCAATAGAGTACCATTCTTTCCGCTAATCCTTTGACCAAACCAACTGTATGACTATTCAAAAGAAGGAAAATTTTAGTTCCTTTTGATATTTTCCACTAATCTGTATTCATAAAAGTTTTTTTTATGATATACATACCTGCTCTCCATATATTTTCCTTGTCAAAGATTCCACAGGTATGGTTGTACCAGATGCTACATGTATATAATATTTTCCAAGATTTATTTCAACAAAACGACATTAACAACAACATGTTTTAGAGCGTAATTAATTTAATTCTTGTGATCTATGATGAAAATTTTTCTCTCCAAACAGAGTTTTGAGTTCATCAAAATCCATAAATGAAGTATTTGCAAGAACATAGTTCTTGCAAAATTTTGTTTCTTGGGTAACACATAAATTTTAGTTAAAAGCAAAGGTAACCAATGACAAGCGCTATATAACTTCACAAGTGAAGTAAACCACGAATCTATTTTACTTCCTACATTTCAAGTACATGTAGCTGCTACCATATGCAACGTTCACATTTTCTTTTCAAAATTGGAGTAACCTGTTGATGCCGAGACGAGAATGGCCACCATGCCGTTCTGAGTAAGATTTCCTCCACTGTAGTGGGGTGTACCCATCACCAGGTCCAGATGTCCGTCTTTGTTAACGTCAACAGATGTCAACGAGTATCCAAGGTTACAGAATTTAGACTTCAAAGAAAAACAGATATTGGTACACTCAAGGAAAGAAAATGTTTAGCATCATTTATATGCATAATATTAAAAAATTTTTGAACTACATATATATATACATAAGTATATTTTGGACTTTGGAACAAATCGTATGCTGTAATTCGAGAATTAAAGATTTTGAGCCAAAAATTCTACTAGTGCCACTGATACTCTTTGATACAATATGGCCAAAATGTACCTGACATGTTAGAGTGATATCTGGCTTCTGGTTCCATTTCCTTTCTTTACCAGACCCATAAAACACGAAAACTCTACCCTGCTCATCAGATCAACAAACAATAAATTACAATATTTACATCGAATAAGGATAGATAATATAATCACAGACAGTGCATATATACACAGTCGTTTCATTAAGGTATTATGTTATATTCTTGCTTTAAATATTTCATAAATGGGATCTTAATGACTCTGTAAAAAGAAACATTCCCTACAAATAATAATAATGATATAATAATAATATAAATAATGATATAATAAGTTTCTATTTGATATTTTCTAGGTCTTATTATAAATTATCTATCAACACAACTAGAACCCATGTAATGACATTTTTTTTTTTTTACATCTATCATATTTACAAACTGGTATATTCTCTAAGATCATACATTGTAGTCTAAAGGACTCGTGTTTCCGTAGGAGCTTGCCCCCACTACTAAATCCACCATACCGTCTAGGTTAACATCAAGTAAGGCAACAGAGGATCCGAATCGAGATTGTAACTACAACGGATATAAGAATAGACAATAATCGTACAAAAAATTAATCAGTTAATAAAACAATTAAAAGTATATATACAATGTATAAACGAGTTTTACATGTATTAATTGAAATCGGTAATGATTATAAAATATGTACATACCTCCTTTTCTCCATCAAAAATTCTGTTATATCCTATTGTCAAGTTGTTAATGTCGACATAATCAAAGTATTTACCAGGCCTTGGAAATCCGTTTTCACTATCTAAAATGATTACACTCGATTACTTGTACAATGGCAAACAAATTGAAAATTACATGATATCAAGAATTTTAGGAGTACTGAAATACCGTTGATATTTATCGATGAAATGTAATTGACTCACTGTAAGTATATATATATATATATATATATATATATATATATATATATATATATATATATATATATATATATATATATATATATACTCACTGTAAAGTATATAAACTCTCCCCGCCATTATGTTTTCATTCTCAGAAAATCCTGGAGCTCCGATAGCAATATCCACGTTACCATCTCCGTCAACATCAGCCGCCGCCAGAGATCTAGTGGGAGTAAAGACAAAGATGCTAAAAGAAACTTACTAGTACAAGTACTATAAAGTTTAAAATTAAGAATCAACAATGACAGGCCATCATGATTTTTTTCAGAAGCACCAACAAAAGGTCGGCATGAATTTTTAACAAGTATATACATGTACATTGTCCATTTAACAGTCTATCAATAGTTTTTTTCCGAAAACTTATCTTTCAAGAAACAATTCCGCTATACAATTGATCTAATTGGAAGTAAAGGTCAGTTTACACACTTTCCGAGCAGGGATCCATGGTTGTAGTCCTGGAAGTAAATCTTCCAGTGATAGTCATCTTCCACCTTCTCGGGCTCGGGCTGATAATCATCTTCCACTTGCTCTTGCTCAGGCTGCTTCTGCTTCTTTATCTTGTTCAGTTGGGATTTAAGCTCTGCTAGCCTATTCTTTTTGTGGAAGAAAAATGAAAGGAATCATATTTCTTGCGAAATGTTTTCCAAAAGTTTTCATTCATTCTTTTTATGCAATTGTATTTCCATTTTTCTCCTTTCCATATAAAAAGATGTGTAGTATCCGTAACTCTAGCTGCTCGTTCATTACCGTTATTACTCTCCTTCTCTTAACACATTTTTTAAAAATTGTCAGCAACGGGACTTGCTGGGTGTCTATTGACAATTACAAAGTTACAGGGGTCAAGAGTTGGGAGAGAAACACATACTATAGAACATTTTTCTTCCTTTACCAAAATTCTTCAAATTTATCTGAACATTATTAATGCACAAATCTCAAACACATATTACATAGCACAATATGACGTCATTTATATATGTAACAGGTGTTTTCTGATATGTTAGAGGACAAAAAGAGAGAGAAAATCAGAGCATAACATATACTGTCAACAGGAGAAATGTAGATTATATCTTTTGAACATAAGTACAAAAAATTAAATTTTCTTCAACACCATTAGTACATGTAGTGGGAATACATGATCAATTAGAAACCTTTATTTTGTGTCCAGGCTTAATAGTGATGGCTCCTTGAGACCTAGTGATCTGAAAATCGGACACAGAAAGGTCTCCAGTATATGGTCTGTCTGTTGGTCTGCGTGGTTTGGGGTGAAACATCAGTGCAGTGTCCTGCTTTTTAGAGCAATTTATAAAGAGAGGATTGTGTGGAATATGGCATGCTCTGAAAATATTTTTTTTCAATAAAAAAACCCCTAAGAGATGATGATTAGATAAAAAAAAACTTTGTTATGATATTTGTGATATATTTGGAGTCCACTGTGAACAATAAAATGAGTTGACTTGTGGGTGGTTTTACTGACTTTGTGCCTTGTTCGAGCATTGTTATGGCGTCGTGCCACTTCCTGTTTGTCCAACCCGCCATGTCCATTAATCCTCCTTGGAAATATTCCACAAGATTGTCCACAATAAAATCAGACGTGTCGGCGACTATTGTAAACAGCTAAAAGTAACAAATAAAGTTTTATTGATTATGCTAGGATAGGATAACCAAATTTGATAAGACATTATCTAGAGTGCTCTGAAACAAAATTGAAAGGAAATAAGAGATTTATAGGTGCAATGCATTAATGTGTAAACTCTTCACCCTTATATTTTATATTTTTCTATATAGGTAAACTACTAGTATACTAGAAATCTATGAGTCCATCTGAAGAATCCACTCTTTCAAAATCAGGGGCCCTGAGTCAACACGTTTTCATTGTCGTCCAACGGCAACATGTTGACCCAGGACCCCTGACGTAGTACACTGTAAGAAATTCCAGTGTATGACAATCATTTTTAGAGAGTTAGCTGTTCATTGAAACATGCAAATAGCTTCCATATATCATTAAGTATATGAATACTTTCTGGAACGTTTTATATTTTGGATGATTTGGTTAATGGTAACCTAACAACAAAACTTGATGATATACGTGATGACTTCAACTTAAGACAAAACAAGCAAATTCAAAGAATTGTGGTCCCCTGCTTTCGGTGTCTTTGTGGGTGAGATGTCATTTTTTATGACATATTGTCTCAAATATGAATGCCCTATCATATGTCATTTAGAAATTTAAAAATCAATCCTGAAGGTCAAGGTCAATAGGTCACATATCATAGCATGCTAGGAAATATTTTGTCACAAGTAATTAACGATTAACTTTTCTGAAATGCAAATTAAATTTATTACCTAAAGATTTTTTATTAAAAGTAGATCAAACTCCAAGGTCAAGGTCATTTTTGAAATCCAATGAAAGTTCCTGTCACAAGGATTAAATATGTGAAACTTGAAAGCCTTAGCCCTAACCCTTTAAAAGTTATGGTCAAGGTTTGTTTCTTTAAAGTAAATTAAACTCCAAGGTCAAAGGGTCGAAGTTCTTTGATCCAATAAAAGGTCTTCTCACAAGAATTACATATGTGAAGTTTGAAATCCCTATCCCTTACCGTTCAAAAGTTATGGCCAAGGTTAAAGTTTTTTCACAAGTACAGAAATCTCCAAGGTCTAGATCAATAGGTCAAGGTTATGGGTAACCAATGAAAGGCCTTGCCACAAGAAATACATATATGAAATTCCTAGTTTTTACCATTCAAAAGATATGGCAAAAGTAAAAGTTCGAAATTTTTATGTAAAAGTGGGTCAAACTCCAAGGTCAAAAGGTCAAATTTGGTGGTACCCAAAGAAAGGTCTTGTCACAAGGAATACACATGTGAAATATAAAAGTCATAGCTCCACTTAATCAAAAGTTATGGGCAAGGTTAAAGTTTTTGTGACAGACTGACGGACAGACGAATGAGATTTAATGTCCCCTCGCTTTCGCGAAAGCGGGGAACAATAACATAAATATAGTTTTATAGTTGGTATTTCCAAACAAATTGATCGAAAGTAGGAGTGCATTGTTGCATCATAAAATCATAAAATCGCAAAAAGGTTCTTCTATAATTGGGACTTGTAAATTAAACACGGGTTACGTTGGAAATTACATTGCGTGCGTCCATAAAGATTGCATTTAAGAGGCAGAATTAATTTCCAGCTGTAATTTTTTTTAGGAAAAGCCTTTTTTTCTATTAATTTCCTACTTTAACTCTACTTATTGATTTTTAAATTCTGTAAATACTAGTACCTCAGCATTTCCAGTTATCTCTGCGTATCTAAAAATGAAAATTATAATTTAATTATAGTAAATTTAATTAATATCCATTTATGTATTTTTTAAAGATTTTTTTGGCATAAATCATACTTACGCTGTCACTAAAGCTAAAGTAGAGCAAGATTCTATCAGTGTTTTGTTGATTTGCACAGACCCGTAAAATTCCTTGTAAATTTCAAATAGATCATCAACTGGAACGTACCTGAAAATGTTAAGTTACCATTGTGTCATTATCATATGTCATGAAATTTAAAAAAAAAACTTTCAGGAGCAAAAAGAATCTTTCTTACCATTCGTCGATTTCGTCGACAACATGCAATAGATATACAACGACTATATCTCCACCTACAATCAAAGATGACGATTTTTGGTAAGGTTTAAAATGTTGAATTACACAGAATAAAACGCATCTCCAAACGCGGTGTCAAACTGGAAAATTGTTGTTGGGAACAAAGAGGTATGTTGTTGTCAAACATACATTAATGAATTTAAACATACCAAAATTGCCTGCTTTTCTTGCTTTGTGGACTGACCCATGAAAGTTGGTCTAAAAATCAATTCACATCGATTAAGACAAATTTATGTTTAATGTTAAATGTTGATATTTTGAAGAACAATAAAGTTTATCTTACATATCCCATGGTCGACAAAAATCCTTGATCCACGCCTTGACTTGTCCACAGTGAGTCTGATACCTGATTGGACATCATTCCCATCATGAATGCAAACAATTGCTCGGTCGCCTGATAAGAAAAGAGCTTCAATATTTCAAATTAATGGTGAAATATCTAAGGAACCTGGATACATTTGCAAATTGTAGCGTGATTGACTACCAAATAAATACCCAACATCCCTTTAAAAACTAAACACATTTATTGAAGACAGTTTTCTTCATTCATTGAAAATTATTTGAAGTATATTTTTTTTAAAATTTTAAATTATGTTTACATGTATTTATCTACTAGGGAGTATTTTGAAACCCATGTCAAAATAGAATTGTAATCAGTCTTGTCTGTCGCATGGTATAGGATTTGGTTTGGCTACACAAAACATTCATATATAATATATCAATACAGACCCACCTTGTCCCATGGTTTTGGTTTTCTGTTGATGTAGTTTATAGTTGCATTCAAGAACGGTCCTGATTTCGTATCATCTGATATGTTTGAAAACATTCCTGAAGAACAGAGGAAAATGTTTTATTATATTACACTACATTTATTATCACCAGGTTATCATATACTTAAAATTTTAATGAAAATTTGATTTGATTATATTTTACCAAATTCACAAAGCTCATTGTAAAAGGCATCGGGAAATGGTGTTCCACTGTAAAACGCCGATGAATGGTGTTTGATTATCTGAAAGAAATACACCTTAATTAAATACACGTCAAATAGAAATGACGATTCTTATTCTGAAGGTAAGAAATAAAATACTAGTAATTAAATATGAATATTTGTACTTTTTAAAACTTAATTTTAGTTTGTTCTTATTTTGTAATTTCTCATTACATTTTTGCATTGAAAAAAGTGAAAGACATGCATTTTTCCAAACAAAGATTATGAAGAAAGATATGATTAACTTTACAGTTTCATGATATTTTCAATATTTCCATTTAGTCATTGATTTCAGATGAGTTTAAGTCGGGACTAAGTTAAGGCTGCAGAAGTGTAGAAACTGCATTGCTAACTAAATGCATGGGAGATACTCTCTCAACCTCAATACATTTTCTACACTTCTCCAGCCGAGAACTACGTTTTTTGGTCAAATAAAGAAACGTGGCAGCAGCTAAATAGATATGTGGAAGAGTCTTCAACAGGAATGGTACTGAACTAAATGTATGTGTGAACTATATTTTAACATCACTTGTCTAGTTGGATTTAAAGTTTGATTCTTGTGAGGAGCATTGCACCAATTTTATTGTAACAGAAAAACAAGTTAGTCGGGGTTTCTTTACGTCTTTGTTAAATAGCAATATACCCGGGGTATTTCCTTTCAAATAATTCATTTATGCGTACCAGGTAATTTGTTAAATAAATGCATGTTAAGTTACAATTAAAATTAGGTTGTTTATTACTATATTTTATTATTCTTCCTTTATATTGTTAATTTATCATTTAAATATAAAAAAAAATACGAAATGTTACATATTATGGAATGCAGTTGTTTCTGAGATAAAAGTGAATTGAAAATACATGTATATACTTTGTAAAAAATGTAGAATATGACAAATGTTTATTTTAAATGCTTCTTTGAAAATACATGTATATGATTTGAAGAGAATTTGTCCACAAAAAAATTCATGTGATAGGATGAAAATTGTGCGTTGAAAATGTTTTATACATACCTGGGAGTAATTCTTTTCAGGGTTTGGATCAAAGAATCTTGAAGCTCGCTGGGCTGAAACATATATGCATAGAAAAGAATTAGCATGTATTTAATTTTTCCAATAATCATGCAACTGAAATATTTCAGAATTGTATATTTGGCCTGTGAAAATACTGGAAACATTGACTGGAATAAAAATTTTTGAACGAATGTCTTACCCACATTTAGCTGCGTCACGATGCCAGCTCCGAGTGTTTCATGAAATACGACGGCCAACGTTAGAAAAAATATAACGTGACTTGTCATATTGGTTTAAATATTTTCACAACTCAGTGTACAAATTACATTTAGCTTAAAATGCGGATGTAGGTAAATAAACCAGATTGTAACCGATAAAGAAGACATGTGATGTCCTCGTCTATCATATCTGGATTTTCTTTACAAGGGTCTTGGTACAACCACCTTGTTTCACATAAATTAATGTAAACACAAATAACACCGTAGAAGTAATTTTAATTCACTATTTAAAAAAATTATAAGATTGTTTGTGAAGAAATACTTTTCTCACCTTTCAGAACTAAAAAAGTTAGATATTTATTAATTTTGTATCATAATGCGAAGTAAAAAATGTCCTTGGTCGGGACAAAATCCATTATACCGATATATATGGAGGGTATCCTGTAATCTAGATTATGCTGACTGATAACCTGGATGTAAACTGGGCTAGTTTTCCCACTTGACATCTTTTTAGTATGTCTGAGACTCTGTGAAAAAATATATATGACTTACAATAAGTGCAGATATTATTTGATAATACAGTGTATGTATATTATTTATAGTCATGTGGACCATTATGCATTTCTGAAAGATAAAGTAGATTGATGAAACACTTTCGAGACTTGGTCATGTAGCAGACTTCTCTATCTTTACAACAATACAGTCGATTACTGAAAGATTTGCCCCACAAGCAGAATTCGAAGCATTTCCGAAAGCATACACCAATCTTATTCTCTTTAGAAAAGTGGACAGGCTTTCGTGGATGTAGGCAAAAGCCTATCTACTTCTCTAAAGAGAATAACACCAATCTATCTTCAAGTAATTGTACTTTTTTTCAAATCAATTGTGTCTATCTTCAAATCAATTGTATCTATTTTCAAATTAATTGTATCTATCTTCAAATCAATTGTACCTATCTTCAAATTAATTGTACCTATATCTTTAAATAAAATAAAGATAGGTTTAATTCATTATACCTGTCTTTAATTACTAGTAATTTGAAGATAGGTGCAATTGATTTGAAGATTGTTACAATTGATTTGAATATAGGTACAAATGCCATGAATTAAAGATACTTCTTACTCTTACTCTTCCTTGTCATTCGTTTTTGATAATTATTAACTGTAAATAATGTATTTGAAAGGTTAACAAAATAAGAGAAAATGCAAAAAAAAAAAATAAAAATGATTATATACTATATGGGTCCTCTAAATCGTTGACCGTTAAGACCTATGGGCCTCTTGTTGAACTCTTTTTTTTTTTTCTTATTTTTCATTAACATCTGAATGTTGTAGATCACTTAATTTTCCCGACATCTTATTTTCGCGAGAGAGTCAATAGTTCTTTAATTGCGGGAAAATGTTTTCAGGGATTTTTTTTTGCTCCATATGATCTTAAGACATACTAATATATGTGAGAATGAAATTTTGCGAGCACATGTCTTGCGTAATTTCACGAAAATGAGGTTCTCGTGAAAAAGTGGCAAATTGTTCGTCCAATTATAAAATGTATATCCATAGTTCTAGGGATCAGGCCCTCGTTGATCAAATGCTAAATATTGTTACATACTTGTAATGAACCATATCTTCATTTCCAAGCTTCTAAGAGAATACAAGAATATAACGATCATCGAGTTCTCACCAAACTATTAAAAATATTAAAAATATTTCTCATACTGTGCCAGAGTTCCAGTTCATGTTGGGGCTAAAGTTGTCATAGCCTGAGAAACTCTCTATACCTAGGTCACCAAATGCATGGTCTTTTACTATATTACCAAACTCTCAATTGCAGCTTTTCTTCTATACACAGTGGCATCTATTAATCAATGTTATCACTAATATCACAAACAAACGAAAATTATTTTCATGTTCTATGGTCGATACAATGACCTTGTCAGCAAATACAATTTATCATTGCGTCAAATGCTGACTGACGTTTTTCATACCAATTGTTAGTCCATTATTTTTACAATGAATTGACGACGGATTTTTTTTCGTTATTTCCTGATCATGACAAGGAACACACGGCGGGTGTGACAGGTCGGCAGGGGATGCTCACTCCTCCATATGCATGGCACCTGATCCCACCTCTGATGTTTCGGGGGTCCGTGTTTGCTCTGCTCTTATTTTGTATTGTTTTATGGAATTTGAGATCGAATACTGTTCGTTATCTATATATCCTTCTTTCATACTAAAAATTTTATTGTAACATGTTAAAACATTGTGTATAACAATAGGAAAAAAGTAATCAAAGAAAACAGAGTTTATAACCTTCACAATAATCTCATCTATCAAATATAAAATCCATAAGCTAAGTTCATTTTAACAATTTCTTTATTTGAATGATTGATTGGTTGTCATAGATACAATTTATTTAAAGATAGGTGCAATTGAATTGAACAAATCTTTTTAAATTATTTAGATAATGACAATAAAAACTACTCCTCATAAAAAAGCTTTTCTCCGGTCCCTCCATGTTCAAGTCGCTGTTAGAGGGAGCTTTCGTTATTTTCAAGGCCAGATAAAGAAGTGAACCTAGGTATACTAGTAATTGAATTGTACGTATCTTCAAATCCTTTATGGATAGGTTTCAATTGAACCTATCTTCAAATCAATTGTACCTAATTTTAAATAGGTTGTACCTATCTTTAAATGAATTGAAGATATGTGTACAATTCAATTTTACCTACATTGTATCTTTAAAAGAATTGAAGATGGGTAATTGAATCATCTTTTTAAAAAAAATTGAAGATAGATATAATTCAATTGAACCTATCTTTAATTGAGTTGAAGAAAGGAGTTATTCCATTAAAGATAGATGTAGTTAATTAGAACCTACGTTTAATTATTTAGACATATCTTTAATTTAATTGTAGCTTTAATTCAGTTATACCCATCTTCCATTCGTTTAGAGATAGGTTTAATTATCTGAAGATCAATATAATTTTTCAAAGATAAATTTAAATAATTGAATATATGTTAATTTGGTGTTCAAAACCAATCTTGCAAATTTAATCAATCTGTTTTCACTATATATAAAGGATCTGACATTTAACTTTATCACACATTTGAAAAATACTTGGATCACACAGCACCCAAGAGCTGTATCTTTTAAATGTTTCTTGTGTCTAGAGATGTAATATTTTTTTACAATACGAGTCAAGAAGCTATGAAAATAAGCAAATACATTATTTTTTCCAAATCTCATTACTATTTCTTACGATGAGCTTTCAACAGGAATTTTAAAAACAAACATATAGTTGCTGATAATAATTGAACTGATTATTTTTTCAGCATAATCACTGAATGCTAACAGTAAACTCAACTAGTGCTAATTGTAATCTGAGGAATTATAAAACAATCTTTACGGACTTGATGCAGTTCCCCAAACGCTCCCCAACTCCCTTTTGGTGCCATATTCCCTGTAAGCTTCATTAAGTAGGACAAAATCTATGCATCTGAGAATTTAACAACACCAAGTTCATTCAAATTTTAGCATTGCACGCGTGCGCATGTGAATGACCATATCATATTGTCTAAACAATCTATATATTTTAATATGCTAAATATTAAAGTATTCAATTCAAAAGTATATTAAAAAAAACGCTTATTGAAGTGTATTTTTGATTTTACAATGTACCCAATTCACGTGCACACACGTGCATACATGAGCATGGTGACCATACCTTCTTGTAGGAGTTCATTACATCAATCTATGTTCTAAATCCCAACCTGTTTTGTTGAAAACCAAGCCAGTTATAGCTGTTTAAAGTTATAGCCAATTAGATTGCAGCGCACCTACAAGCACATGTATGCATGTGCATGGTGACCATACCTTCTTGTAGAAGTTCATTATATATATGTATGCTCCAAATCCCATTCTGTTTGGTTGAAAACCAAAGGAGTTATAGCTGTTAAAAGTTTCAGCCAATCAGATTGCAGTGCACGTACACACACGTGTATGCATGTGCATGGTGACCATACCTTCTTGTAGAAGTCCATTATACATATCTATGTTCCAAATCCCATCCTGTTTGGTTGAAAACCAAGGGAGATATAGCTATTTAAAGTTTCAGCCAATCAGATTGCAGCGCACGTGCATACACGTGTTTTCATAATAATTGCTATATATCAGGTTGTAGGATATCGTAATGCATGGCTATGTTCAAAATTTCAAAGGATTTCGTCAAAAAACAAGAAAGATATTGAGGGTTTAGTTTCAGCCAATCAGAGTAAAGCGCACGTGCATGCGCGTGAGATCTTGCTATTTTGTGTGTGTCATATTGTCTGTGTGTGTGTGTGTATCCTTACATTATGTGTTTCAAAGCATTTGTGTGTGTGTGTGAAAAGTTGTGTGCAGTGTACATTATATTGGTCATTTTGTGTGTTGCACGTGTGTGCTGTTGCAAGCACGTGCGTGCAAAATGACCCTGTGTGTGTGTGCAACTCAACATAACATGCCTACTAACCCTAAAAATGTTTCACCTAAGTCGGATGTACAGTTTACAAGATCACTCGTGGACAAAATTTTCCCAGGAATAATAATAATAATAATAATAATAATAATAAGAAACAGAGTAAAAACAATATGTTCCCCAACTTCGTTTGGGGAACATAATAACAGTGCTGAAAGCTCTGTAATCTGAGGAATTATAAAACAATCTTTACGGACTTGATGCAGCATATGCTCAAAATCATATTTAGAGCAATGAATCTCAATCCGAGATGTACAGGACATAAAATTTGTTGTTGTTTTTTTTCAATCTTTCACCCACCTGATATACTTCCAAATATGTGAAAAAAGTTAAGAACTATGATCAAATAAAGATTAAATATTTCATAAATGTACTCGTATCTTTCAAAGTCTGAAGTAATTAATTTAAAAACTTTACACAACTCACTTTGTAATATTTACAATAGCCAATGTCTTTCCTTATATGGCAATATTAGCAAAACTGACATTCAATTTTCTATGATATGATGTTAATAGTAATCTAACAACCAAGCTCTATGATAAACATGATAATTTTAACTTTTCTATCGTCTACTTCCCTTACTTATGCAACAATATACCTTCATCACCTGCTTACGGAGTTTACACATTTCAATTGATTAGATACACAAGAGCATGCTCTACGTATGAACTATTTCTACAGCGAGGTAAATTACAAACAAGTTGATGAAACAAGAATTTCAGCAGGCTCATTTAAAGCCATCATTTCGTAAGTTCTATTGTCGATACAATGACCTTGTCAGCAAATACAATTTATCATTGAGTCAAATGCTGACTGACGTTTTTCATACTAATTGTTAGTCCATTATTTATACACTGAATTGACTAAGGATTTTCCCGTTATTTTCCGATCATGACAAGGAGCACACGGCGGATGTGACCGGTCAGCAGGGGATGTTCACTCCTCCATGGCACCTGATCCCACCTCTGATGTTTTCGAGTTCCGTGTTTGCTCTGCTCCTATTTTGTATTGTTTTATGGACTTTTGATCTGGAATACTGTTCGTTATCTCCATATGTTTCATAAAGCTAGTCATATGGTCAGAATTTTCTTTGAATAGCAAACCACATCAGACAAAACTGTGACGTCAAATGACGTCATACACGTATATAATAAAACAGAAAAGACTACTGTAAGTCATTTTAATTCCACGGCGTTCAAATTTCACAATTTCTTAAAAAGTACCAATCGCGATGGTTTAAATTTAATGCTGCAAAAACTTTGATTTTAATTTCTATACGCATTTAAAACATTCTTTAAAAAAAAAAAAAAACAATGAAAGCATTCACGATTGGATTAATTTCGCGGGAAAATGACAAATCACGAACATAAAGAAATTATCATCAATCTGCGAAAAAATAGTCCCACCTGTTTTGTTGTGTGTGTGTGTGTGTGTGTGTTTTTTTTTTCTCAACAATAAGTGGAGATACGTAATCCAATATTGTTTGATATTTATGTAAATTATTTATGGTCATGTGGATATTTATACATTTCTGAAAAAAAAGTAAACTGTAGATTGAAACGGTCATGCGGCGGGCTTCTTGACCTTTAAAAAATACAGCCGATGACAGAAATTTGATTTGCTCCGAGATCAAAATTTGAAGCATTTCCAAAAGCATACATCAATTATGCAAGTTTAACCAAACCATTTTAACAACATGTATAATGGATCTACGACCTAACTTTATTACACATTTGAAAAATACATAAATTCACAAAAGTTTGCAATTTCAAAGTACATGTATTCTTTAAATACTGCTTAGGCTTTTAGTTGTTGTTAAGTTGGAGACTGACAACTTACATGATATAATAAGACAAGATAAAAAGAAAGGAAAACTTCTGAAAAATCTCAAACCTATTTCATGGGAGGGGGTGTTCATCTGTCTCTAACGAAGTTGGACGTCATCACCCACTGCATTTTAGAAATTTACTCTTTAAAGGACACCTTAAGTTAAAAATTATTGTTCAATTAAAATATGTATTTGGTTATTAAAAACCCAGTCTTGAAAAAAAATCATGTTTCTAAGATGTGTGGTTTAGCTGAAATTAATTAAAATGCCAAATGCTCGGTGAAAGTAATCTGAGCTCGGCAGTTTCCGCTGTTATCGGCTGCGTGACTTAAAGAATGTGAACAGATGCAGGGACAGCTTCAATGCGGTTATACTACATAGCATGTAAATAAACATGTCCTCTGATACTCACAGTGAAACAAAAAGGGGTAGAAGATGTGTAGCGGGTGGGTGTTCAAGTACACATTTAGATGGAGTGTCCCTGCACTATTTTCCATTTAAAAAGGAACCACATCTTGTACCAAAGTGGACTGCCTTTGTTAGACTTAAGAGGAAATGGCCTGAGGGCCCTACTAGATATTCCAGCCTTTGTGAATTACATTTCGATGACTCTTGTTATCCATTTGAGTATCAATTCAAAAAATCACAAGGAATTCCAGTGAAGCTCAAATTTCTAAATCCTGGGTCAGTACCAACAAAACATCACCCTAGTGTTTTAGGAAAACGTGATTTGAGCTCTATTGAGGCGGATGAGAAATCCAATGAGAGAGAGAAAAAAGAAAGGAAACGGATAAGAGGGGCATTTGTAAAACGAGAAAATTTTAGAGTAAGTAGATTTTACATTTTACAACTTAAACAAAGATGTTATTAGTAAATATTTTTAGAATGTCTGGAAAAGGTTTATACTGGTAGTTTATAACAAAATATTTGAAGATGATATCTTATTGTAGATCATTGCAGAGAAAACAGAAGTACAGAATAAATCTATGCAAGAAGCTGAAGCTAGAAAATCATCAGAAGATTTAAATTGCACAATGACTGACAATGAAAACAATGTAAGCTTGAAAATGAATAGAAATATACCATACCCTTTAAAAAATAATTAATATCTGGACTGAGTATGCATACATGTATATCCTGTTCTACAGTCTTGTATATTGATTTAATTGGGATTTTTAGAAAAGTACAGAAGAATTATCAAAATCAAAAGAAGCCTTCAGTCAGACAAAAAGGTCATGGAATAGAATAGGTAAATCTATCCAAACCAAATCTGAAACATCTACCAAAGGTAAATTTTAAGATGTACATTTCAAGAAATTCAAGAGTTTAAATTAATCTAAATTTTTTTTTTTTTGAAAAAGTTTAAATTGTGTAATGGATGTTTTTTTTTTAATCAGGGACTCAAATAAACATGTATCCTGCCAGAAGAAGTGTTGGTATACAGTGCAATATAAAAGAGAATGCACAACCTATGAATGATCAATTCCTAAGGTACGAGGATGACATGCCACCAGAATCCTCCAACCTTGAAATTTCTTCCGATTTTGAATAGCAAGAACAACCTGAGTGATGATTCCATGGAGTATTCCTCTGAGGAAAATGAGTGAGTTTATAGGTTGTTTTTCATATTTATTTATGCTGGGAAACTCTGCATGATCAACTTTCTTTAAAAACACTTTTTTATTTGCTTGTCAGAAAACCGAATGCAAGAGAAGAAAGAAAATTCACTGTGTTTCAATCCCAGTTGACGAAGTTATTTCATATCTGTTCCAAATGCAAGTCTCCAGTTGTTGGGAAGATAACACAAATAAAAGGATCCCTCATTTCAGTTGAAGTGGAATGGCAAATGGCAAATACTTAATCCGATCATAAAAATTACAAAATTTATGTCCATAGTTTTAGGGATCAGGCCCTTGTTGATAATATATTAAATTGTGTTTATACTATTTATGTACCATAACTTCTTTATTTCCAAACTTATAAGCTTCAAGAATATAATGATAGAGTTCTCACCAAACTATTTTTAAAAAAAATCTTATACTGGGCCAGAGTTCCAGTTCCTGTTGGGGCTTTTAAAATTAGTCAAAGCCTAAGAAATTCCTAATACTACATGTATGCTTAGATCATCAAATGCATGGTCTTATCCTATATGACCAAACTCTCAATTCCAGCTTTTTGTCTATACACAGTGGCATCTATTAATCAATGTTATCACTGATATCACAAAACAAACGAAAAACATTTTCTGAATAAAAATTTTATTGTAACATGTTAAAACATTGTGTATAACAATAGAAAAAAAATTAATCAAAGAATACAAGTTTATAACCTTCACAATAATCTCATCTATAAATATAAAACCCATAAGCTAAGTTCATTGTAACAGTTTCTTTATTTGAATCATTGATTGGTTGTCATAGTGTATGTCCCTTGCCATATTATTTCATGCATTTGAAATGTCAGCATATCTTGGGACTTGGCACTCAGGGACACTGAGAAAAGGTTCTTTTTTAGTATGAATTGCTCTTCTAAATGAGCTCCCTTTCCGGAAAAAAACCCTTCAATACAAGACCAGTACAAGGCCATAATTAAGCTTAAATTTTCAGAGATCTGGAGGCTACCAAGCTCGTCCAGGGTAGTTCTCAGAAAGGGGACAGGTGTCCATGAAACCTGAGTTTTAGACAACCAAAGACAATCCTTAAAGGTTTTCACGTCTTGAATTATTTTTTACATCCTTTCTAGATGATAATGAAGCACACGGTGAGACGATCAGTTTTCGAAAGTTGAAAGTCTAAATTTTGTACAAAGACACAATTAATTTAGGTTCACTTTTTCAGAAATCTCTAAAATTTTAGTGAGGCATTTACCTAACTTGCCTCAATGGTAGTTACGGCCTTGCGGTAGATGAATCATCCATTAATTTTGGCATAGGAAGGAAATGTAGTCATGGGAATGAATCTACTACAAAGAGTTCCACTAGGAAACTAATAAATGGCATTTCAGATGCAGCATCCAAAGTAAGGACATAAGTTTGATATAATTAAAACTTTTAATCAAACAATGAACCTGTCCTACAAACTTGAACCTTTAATACTGATGCAGATTGTGGGGCCTATACATAAACCCATCACTATGTTGTTGAGGTGAGCTTGCAACAGGAAATAATTTTCATAACAAAGCATCAACAATAACAAACTTATAGTTGCTGATAACAAACTTAGCTGATAACTTAACAACCATTTGCAACAAAATCTGCTTTTAAATGGTAAATTGACATTTTCTCAGACTTCAAATCTATGATCATCATCTATAGTTTAAATATTATAAATATGTATCCTCTAAAGTCTGAAGTAATTACTTAAATACTTCAGACTATCTTTAGGATATCTACATTAATAGCCAAATGTTTTTCTTTATATAACAATATAACAAAGCTGACATTTAGTTTGCATTGATATGATGCTAGTAGTTATATGGTCAAACTTACTTGTTCATAGCATCTAGAGGGACTAGACTGTGACATTACAAGATATCATACATGTATATTAACAGAAAAGACAGGTTATTTAATAGGAAATCTTCAAAATTGAGGACATAATGGACTGAATTAAAAATTACAAAAATCATGAAAAAGTGAGTTTAAAAACTATAAAAGTACAAAATGGTAAATTATTCTAAAACTGAGATGATAGGACATGAAAATTACAAGAAGTGCAATGGAATGTACAGTGTAAGTGAAAAAAAAAAACCTTGATTAATTGGGACATTTCATTATTCCTATTTTGATCTACAAATTAGGTACAATAGGATAAAGTAAATTATGATTTGGATGCTTACATTACATCATTTCAGAAAAATAACAGAAAACATGGAATACTTGCATTTTCTCTCTCATCAGTTGGAACTATACTTTCACCTAGTATTGTACACATATACATTCCCAGATTGACTGACTTTTGATTTAAAATTATCTCCATTTCTAGGAGCTGAAATAATCACTTGAACCTGAAATTTTAAAATTGCTGCTATTATAATTCATGTCAAGATTAAAATTTGTGTATTAAAAGATTGATTTTACTTTAATACGTAAAATACCATACCTGTTGCTTGGTTCTAAGAACTGTGATAGTCCGCCCAAAATCTGTTTTTAAATCTAATCCATAACCTAAAGTTTGATTTGCCTGAAATACAGCATTCACATTTCTAATACACTGTAACATGTACAAAATAGCAGAACAAACAATATTAAGATGTTTTAAACATTTTTAAATGCAAGAAAATGTTTAATATCAACATGTGACAGTAATAGGCAATAATTGTCTGATATTCATGAAAATTTCCCCTCTCAAATAAACTGAGTTGCAATATGTAAATACAACAAGTATTTATCGATGTTTCATATCATATGCTGTAGATTCCTTATTTTTCACGAGTACTTATTTTTGCGAACTGACTCTTAAATGTCAAATCGTGGGAATATATATTCACGAATGCGTGATTAATAAACAGAATTTACATGGATTTCAGTACTACAAAAATAAAAGCGATCAATTTCATTTTGCGAGTGATGCTCTTCACGAAATTAGGAGATAATAAAATTCCTCGTGTTTAATTAGGAATAATCTTAAAAAAGATACAATCTTGCATGTAAATAATTTTGGTAAATTCAAATGCACAAACCTCAGTAAACTTTTATACTTACTACTTTTTCCGGACAGGGAGACACATTCCCACAATCTGCTGTAGCACTGTTCTTAGGAAAGCCCCTACCTCCATAGAATACATATACTTTTCCATTTATCCCTGAGTAGAAATGTGTATATCCAATGTAAAACACAATCCTTTAGGCGCATACCAAATAAATTAGGTGACAATATATGCAGAATATAGAAAATCATGCATAAACACCCAATTTTCTTACTTGAGTTGATGAGAATGTCTGGGTTATCATTTCTTATTGGAGCTGATATTAGCAGGTCATCTATTCCATCACCATTGATGTCACTAAACTGAAATCATGTAGAAGTTATTGTTATTTATGTATGAAAGGTAATGTAAATATGTAGAACAACTATCTTGAACAAACAGTGATTCACATACAGTGTATAACTAAAAACTTGAAAAACCAACCTTAACAACACTTCCAAATCTACTAAACATCCTATCCCCTGTAAATTGGGCAACCTCCTGCATGTTGGAGCTTATCAAAAAAACACCTCCACCTTGTGTAAAGCTCTCCGTGGAAGAATAAACCCTCCCCTTCACATTCATTCCAGGTGCCCCTATAGCGAAGATTGAGGATCCATTACCAAATGGATCACCAAGATCACTGCTGTAACCAATCATATCAAATCTACTCTGGCCCGTGAAAGTTAAACTAGGGGTCGTGGATAGACTTGTTATGAAGGAGAAAACATCTAATTTTCCAACACTCTGAATATCAGTTGGCAAGTATTTATCACAACTGAAATGATAAAGATGAAAAGCTGTAAGATGGTATGTTTTAAATGTTTTTTAAATGTTGAAAAGGGAGCAGGGCACTGAGAAAGGAATTACATGTATGTAACACTTGACAGTTAAAACAAATAATGAACAAACCTTGTGCATTTTCTGAAGTAAGGTTGACTGACCATTAACATATTGTTCTTGACGCTTAATCTATGTCCATACCAACTGTAAGACTGTTAAAAATGTTTAAAAATTGAAAGAAGTAACACCTCTAGTATTAAATGCAAAATGCATATTATATAACACAAGTAATCTTCAGTACACTTTTTATTGTAACACACAATTCAGCTGCAGAGATATTTAAAGAAAAATTAAAACAATTAAAGTTTGACTTAATTTAAAATCTGAAATTTATTCAAATAAGCTTTTCATAGAAGATATCCTGACCAATTAAGAGAAATATTGATGACATTTTTTTTTAATTCGAAATGTGATTAAACTTTAATCATTTGATATATCACATATTTATTGTCATCAGATATTGCATCTCTTATCTGATGACTGTCTGTAGAAAGTCCTACTTACAGAGATCTGGCTACTAGTATTTTTTAAAATGCAAGACCCAAAATAATGTTATCTGCAGTGGTCTTCATTGCAGCAAATGTTAGGAACATAAAGTCAATCATATTTACCTGATTACCAAATAAGATCCAGTTCTCTGTTAATTTTTCTGCTGGAATAACCATTCCTGAAACTATTAAAGATTGAATGTAACAGAATCTAGCCTTACAAATAAAGTCTTGAAATGCAGAGACTAGAGAAAAGAAAATATGTTTTTCCCATAAATTTATAAAGTGGAGATATTGACAAAAACACTAGTGACCCACAAGTGCTCTTACTGAGACTTTTAGATGAGAGTAAAGCTGTCACCATTCCATTCTGAGTCAGATTTTTAACACTGGCAAATGGTGACCCTATCAAGAGGTCATTTTTTCCATCATTGTTAATGTCTACTGAGGTCAAGGAGGCTCCAAGGTTACAAAATTGAAGCTGAAATTGGAAACTCATTGGTGTTATATTTAAATCAGTTAATAATTACATTGCATTGATGCATGCACCTGCATTATGCTTATCTAATCTGTACCTGACAGGTTATGACCAGATCTGGCTTGACCTTCCATGACCTTTGACCTCCTGATCCAAAGTACACATATACAGCACCCTTAAACATAATTAAGTATTTCTCAGTTAGTGGATTCACTTATTTTTCATAATTCTTGCATTTTTATCACAGATTTTTTATTTCAAAATTATTTCCACATACGACTAATACTCACATTATAATCCAGCAGACCCTTGTAGCTTAGGGAGCTAGCAGAAATAGCTACATCTACATTACCATCTAGATTTACATCTAGGGCAGCTACAGCATAACCAAATCTGGAGTATTCCTTATAAATAAAAAATGCACTACTAATTTTCAAGAAAGTTAAGTTGTTTTTTTTTTTTTGAATTTGAATTTCAAAGAATTTCAAAGAAAATGAAACAGGCATGGTTTGGGTTTTATTCAGTTTTATTGCATAAATTACCTTTGTTTTGCTCACCATCAAATGGGTAATATTTGAAATGTACAGAAAAGCAATAAAAAGAATTATCTTTCAAGTTTGAAAGGTGTTCTGGAGAGATGTCCATGATTTGAATTCTTGAGCTAAACTTATTAAGACATGTAATTCAAAATTCTGAATTGTAGTATGCAAGTATAAATGTACATATCTTTTTTCAAACAGTTCTCCAAAATCTAAAGGATCTTAGAATCAATATATGATGTTACGTTTCTTACCCCTGGATTTCCTTTCAATACTGAGGTGTTCTTGTTCAATGAGGTGAAATTATCTAGGTCAACAAAAGAGCTTCCACTCACTTGCAATCCTGCATCTCCACCTAAATGATAGTAAGCACATATGTGTACATTTTACATTCAATGATTTATATGCAATCTTTGTTTTTTTAAAATAATAACCAAACAAACTTAGAGGTACTGTGAGCAATGAGCTCACTAAATGATACCCCCCGCCTCCCATAATGTCCATGTTTTGCTATATATTGTTTTACGGTAATGTGTAAAGAGGAATAACTCGTCGTATCAAATGTTATTCAGAAGCTGGCATATGTGATGTCATAGGTAAGAATATAATGGCAATGTCCATGTTTTGCTATGGAAAACCTAAAATATGTGTCGAATAAAAAAGTAAAATAGGAGGTGCACAATGGCAATATGTAATAAAGATTCTGTGAAAGTTTCATTAAATTTCACTCAGTAGTATAAGAGGAGTTGCAGTTAAGAGATGGGTACCCCAAAGCGTAACAGACGGACGGACATAATGATTACTATATACCCTCCCACTTTTCAAGGGACGTTGGTAATACTGGGGGGGGAATCGCAAGAAAATCATAGCAGACTCATATCCGAGAAACAAACCACATTAGGATCACACTTCCTTAGTTGCCATATCTATGAGTTTTATATAATCCATTTAATAGATCATGTCTAAATCATACTTCAAAATTAGGAATATAAGTGTTTGATATGATTTTTATGTGATTTTGGCATGATTTGTTAAAAAAGATTAGAGGAAAAATCGTTTATATCATTGTGAATCCGGGATCCCAGTCTTTCTAGCTTGTTGCCATGTTGATAACTAGCTGTGACGTCAACAACCCACACCTAGACTGTCTCAGAAAAATATACCACTGGCAAAAAACATTGGTACCAGTGGCATGCCAAAAAAAACAAAAACAAATAGAATGTGTAATGTATAGAATGTGAACGCACCCAATGATTACTATATACCCTCCCACTACCCCAACTCCCTCCAAAAAAAAAAATAGAATGTGTAATGTGTACCGGTATGTATGCATCACGATACATTGTATTCATCATGATTTGACAATCAGCAAACTGTTTTTCATACTCTTTCTAAACCTGTATGCAAAACAAGAATCTTTATATTTCCATTTCCATTAATACATGTAGCATCATTTAAAAAATATATTTCAGCATTTGAGGAAAATGACAATCTTTCACCAATTAGAAGCTTCATAGAAGATACTGCAAAAAAGAAGGCTGAGTGGAACGAAGGAAATAACTCTAATACATTGTAATTATCTTATTTGATGTAATCTTGAAGCATGTATTAGATCTATACTATAAAAGCAAAACTTTTGCATATGTCTATTAAAATGTTGTTCCCATTACTCACTGTATAGAATGTAGACCCTGCCCCTCTGGGGTTCATTACTGGTGCTGTGTCCAGGGGAGCCTATCACTAAATCTTCATTGCCATCATCGTCCAAGTCCTTAGACACCACTGACCTGTCAATCAATAACCATGCCCCAGGATCATGAAACAGACTTCGACTTAAGTCAAATTATTAATCGCCTGTAAAATGTTTATTAATTATTGAATGAATCTCTAATTTTGCAGATAACAAATATTAAAAAAAATGTTTTAATTTTTGTCTACTTGACTTAATCAAAATTCTAGTACAACATGAATATTTTGACTTAAGTTTAAGATGTTTCATGATCCTGGGGCCATGTCTCGAATTCTACACCGACAAAAATTATTTACTTTGAGACATTATCTCATGTTGTTTCCTAAGACTGTTACCTTATTAAATGGATATGTATGGAACTGCATGATTTTGTCATATTATCTAAAAAAGAAATTTTTTTAAACATTCGTGCTATTGACAAATTTCTATTTATGCTCACCATCCTAACTGTGAGTAACTTCTAGAACTTCTAAAATCAATGGTAAAATTTGGCTGACTTCTGTGCATTGGCTCTGCTTCCTTGGAATACTTGCTTTGTAAGTACATTCTTTTCTTCTGTTTTTCAATCAATCTTAACTAAGAAATATTTATAATCATGGATATAAAAATATTGGCAATTAAAATGAAAATATGGACAGTACTTTCAAACATTATCATTTATTGAAATTAAAGTCTACAGAATATGTTTTTTATGCTGAGGAAACATTAAAGCATATGAACTAGAGTTTTACTATTGACCTTCAGTTTTTCTGTCATCTGAACTTTGACCCCCCTGAGGTAGGGTGTTATAAGTAGATCATCCAGAGTAAGACCAAACAGTTTGGGTTTCTGATAGTATGGCTTCCTTAGCTTTGGTAATCTGTGTGGACGACGGTCTGCTCCTTTGGTACAGTTGATGAACACAGTGCTGTGTGGCACAGAACAAGCCCTGTTAAGTAAATATAATCATAAACCATACAATATAGCCACATGTTATTAGTTATAAAGATAAAAAAAGAAATAGGAAAAGCATATTGCATACACAGTCCAGAGTACTATTTCAATCTCCTGAACATCTTCTGCCATATACAACTGTACCGGTACATGGTTTCATGATTGAGCAATAAAAATATATATGAAATTGAATGAAATGTAATGTTTTATTTAACATGATGTAGCACATTATTTGTTACAAATTATTTTTATAGTATTTTTAATTATTGCATTCTCAATTAGAGACTCACTGCTACACGTGATATTTTAATGAGGTTCCATTGAAGATATCAAACGTATAACATTCTTGTGTGAATTTGACATTTCAATAAACAGTTTACTGACCCTAGATGTGTATTACATGTACAATGTACCCTGGTCTGATTTTCACATTTCATCATCCCTATTTCAGAAAGAAACAAGATGTGTTTGTGAAACACTATGCGCCCGGCGTCAACAAAGTTCGAAAAAGCTATTTTTAGTATATAGGTCACAGTCAAGGTCACAAGGTCATTGACCTTGGTGTTGTTTGTAAGAACTTAATTAGTGGGGTATGCATACTAAATATGAAGTCCCTATCTCCTATGGTTCAAAAGTTATGGCAAAAAGTGGAAAAAGCTATTTTTAGCATATAGGTCACAGTCAAGGTCACATGGTCATTGACCTTGGTGTTGTTTGAAAGAACTTTATTAGTGGAGTATGCATACTAAATATGAAGTCCCTATCTCCTATGGTTCAAAAGTTATGGCAAAAAGTGGAAAAAGCTATTTTTAGCATATAGGTCACAGTCAAGGTCACATGGTCATTGACCTTGGTGTTGTTTGAAAGAACTTTATTAGTGGAGTATGCATACTAAATATGAAGTCCCTATCTCCTATGGTTCAAAAGTTATGGCAAAAAGTGGAAAAAGCTATTTTTAGCATATAGGTCACAGTCAAGGTCACATGGTCATTGACCTTGGTGTTGTTTGAAAGAACTTTATTAGTGGAGTATGCATACTAAATATGAAGTCCCTATCTCCTATGGTTCAAAAGTTATGGCAAAAAGTGGAAAAAGCTATTTTTAGCATAAACCGTAGGTCACAGTCAAGGTCACAAGGTCATTGACCTTGATGTCATTTGAAGGAACTTTATTAGTGGAGTACGCATACTAAATATGAAGTCTCTATCTCTTACGGTTCAAAAGTTTTGGCGAAGGTTAAAGTTGACAACAGACAAACAAATAAACAGACAAACAGACAAACAGATAAACAGACAAACAGACAAACAGACAGGACAAAAACAATATGCGCCCCAAAAAAATTCGGGCGCATAAAAACTTACTGTGTTCCATTTTCAATCATAGTAATTGCATCATTCCACTTTCTTGTGGTTAAGCTGGCCATATCAGTTAGTCCTCCTTCAAAATACTCCATTTCATTATCTATTAGAAAGTTGCTGTCATTGGCTATAGTGAGAAAAGCCTAGAATTAGAAGCAGGAAAAAGAACAAAATATTTAAGTATTGGAGACTCAGAGAGCACTGTCACTAACACTATTTCACACAGATAACCTTTACAATAACTTATTGTAATAAAAGAAAATCTCCTCACCTCTGCTCCAAGCAAGAGTTCAGCTACCCTGTAAAATTGAACAAGATAACACTTAATTAGCAATGTCCATTGTCTGTCATGAGAAACAGGTCCGATGTTGTAGGGTTAAAACACTCACTGCTCTGTTTTTAAAAATCTTCTTACAGTAAAAAAAACTTACCCAGCAAGCAACATCTGTGAAGAGCAAAGTTCTATGGTGTTTTTGTCAATTCTTGTTTTTCCATAGAAATCCTGATATATGTGATACAGGTCATCCACAGGAACATACCTAAAATACAAAGGTAATACTCAGATCATAGAGCAAAGTTGGCATCATAGAGTAAAACAAGATCTCGAGCACAAAACTGTAGTTGAATTTGTACATGAAAAATTATGAAATTACCAGTGCTTTCCAGGATAAATGTTGTCATCCTTAGACAGCATGCCATATACATTCCAAACATCACCACCTACAAATCAGTAAAATTCTAAAGGAAAATCATGCTTAGTACATCTATATGGTTATATGTACGAGGGTTGTCCCGTAAAATCGTAGACAAAGCGTTTTTCTCGAAAAGTAATGGGCGCACTAAGCTGAAAATTTCAGTAAATGTTTATTTATCATATTTAAGTGCATGATAATTTTTTTGATAAAATATAGGCAAAAATAAAGATTTTATTATGCTTGAATGTGCACGAGGTATTGTCCTACTGTGCACGGTCAAAAAACCAAGGTTTTATTAAAGAATACACAAGTTGAATTCAAAATAAAAGTTTTAAATGCGTAAGATTTGGATTAAAATTATACTAATTCAATTCCACAATCAATTTTGTAGTCTTTGTAAAAATTTTATGGCATTTGCTTAATTTTTGGCAGTTTCTCAAGTATTTGAAATAGGAAAGTGGTAAACACAACACACAAAAATGGCGACGTTTTATGACGTTACGGCGCACCGGAGAACAGTTCAGTTTTATTTCGATGTTGAAATGACACCTTTAGAGACTTGAAATGACCATAGAAGAAAAAAGATTATGAAAATATCGCCATACCTTAAGTATACAAATGAAATAGGAGTTTTCTTAGCGAAGTTTTTTTTTATCGAGTCCTTGGGGAGTACAACACTTACGGACAAACTCCTAATGCAATAGCAAAAGACGCTGTCTCAGTAGACCGCCGATATGAGATTTTCTATTAGTTGAATGATGGTGAGAATGTTGTCCGTAACTTACTAATAAATCTTCAGAAGATCGCATGAGGGTGCCAATTGGTTCTTCGGCTGTTTATGGAATGTGTATCAATGAAATTCCTAAATTAAAGTCGGACTCATCAAACTTCCTTTTCAGAAAAGATAAAACGTGACGCTGTTTTAGACATTTTGACGTTATAATCCATGCGCCGTAAGGTGATACAATACATGGCATAAAATCTCATAATTTGTTTATTTATGCATATATTTATCTGAAATTTGCTGTGTATATTACTAAAATATGTATAATGTACTAAATAATAGTGAAAATTTCAGAACGCAGTGATGTTTATTTTTCACACTAGACAACTTGTCCACGATTTTACGGGACAACCCTCGTATATCTCACTTGGATTACTTTTGTATTGATAATATTAAAAGTAAAATCACAAAATCATGCTTAGTACATCTATATCTCACTTGGATTACTTTTGTATTGATAATATTAAAAGTAAGATCACATAATCAGAAGAGTTCCAAATTGCTAAGTACATGTACTGTGAAATGAATAATTTTCGGGGGGGGGTTAATTTTTGCTGTTTTCAAGGAATGAAGAGCCCCAAAAAATTATGACCACCAATAAATGTATCGACTTTCATATGCATTACTGCTACACTTTTTCCATGAAATCAAATCCCCACAAACCAACATTTTTTCATAATCTGACTCAACAAAAATATGTGATTTAACAGTATGTATAAGCATGGTTAAAATACTACTATGCCAGCAGAATTTTTACTGTGTATGGTTGAGTTTCTATGAGAGAACATATATCCTAGAATGAAAGTAGCATATGGTTGCATCAATAAATCTAGAAACAGCATCAAAGATATCTGCAAAATAAAATTATAACATTGCCTCATAATAATAGAATTGTTTAATAGCATCTTTCCTCTTACCAAAGTCACCAACTGGATGAGCCTTTGGGTATGAACCATGAAAATTCATCTACAAATAAAAATTTGTCAATGTTTACATGTAGCTTTCTCATGTATAGATATATACATGAAAATCAGAAAAAAAAACATTTATTACTTCAGAAGCAATGGTTATCTAAAATGAACCATTTTAATAGCCCCATCCAGTCTCTATGCTGACAGTTAACAAATGAACCCTACATCTTCCATCTGTTTTAGCTACATGTAGCAATACAGTATTTCATTTACTTTTCATATCACTATTGCCTAATTAGATTTTAATAATTAGCAAGCTTTATTCTGAAGACCCATGGTGCCCAAGTAATACAGGGCATGGTTAATTGTGAGCCATATTGCACATGCAACAAATGACCCAACTAACCTATGAAAAATTGAAAGATGGGTCATTTGTTCCTAAGCATGGAGCAGGTTTAAGCGGCTTAATTTGACTGGACTAAATCAAGTACACTTGTCTAAATGTCTTGTGAAATGCATCAGGAAAGTCCTAATGGATTTGAAATAATTATATACTCATAAGTGCATGTACATCCAGGTGAATTTATTTTACAATACTTACATATCCCATGGTATGAAGAAAACCTTGCTCAATATACATGCTGTGCCAAGTGATATCAGCTACTTGGTGAGACATGAAAGCCATCATAAAGACAAATAACTTTTCTGTTGCCTGAAAAACACCATATCACATTATTCTCTACTATACAAGTTCTGTGATTTTTATTTTGTGTGTGTAAAAGGGGGGGGGCCAATTTATACTTACCACATCCCATGGTTTGGGCTGCTTATTGATGTAGTTAATAGTTGTATTCAGGAATTCCCCCCAGTGGGTGTCTTCTGACACATCATGATATGAACCTGATGTAAATCAATATATATTGACAGAGTATTAGAGTGTAATTTATGAAAAATGTTAGAAAATAAGACAAAATACCATGTTGGCTACCTCTGAAACAAATGTCGTCATAAAAAGAATCTGGATAAGGGGCACCTGCATAAAATGCATCTTGGTGAATATCCAAAAGCTGTGGAGGAAAAAAAAACCAAGTATATAATGTTTCGTAATTGTGAATAATACTCTTTTAATCTCTAAAGATGAAAAAGTCCATTATTTCATTTTATATATCAGACATTTTTACAATGAAGCAGAAATCTTATAACTGACTTGTGTTACCAAAGATAACATAAACAAAAGTGTATGTAATAAATTATGATTTGTCAAACCTTTCTGTACTGAGAACCTTCTTGAAAGCTGTATTTTGCTCTTTCCGCTGAAATTGAAACCAAGATCACATTTAATATAGTAAAAATGTGTGTTAAATTAAAGACATAAATTAAACATATTTGTGAACTGAAGAAATAATCTACAATATTTTTGTTAAAATCTGCTTTTATAAATGGCTAAATCATTCTATTTTGAATAGCTTCATAAAGCTACAGAGCTAAATCTAGTGCAAAAATCTAACGTTTTCCAGGCTTCTTCCACGATTTTGATATTTAACACGCCAGGAAAACGTCATTTATTTCGCATTAAGCTAAAGCTATCTGTAAACATGTAGCTAAATCAAAAGGATGTGCTGGGCCTGTTCAAATTCAAGTGATCATGTGACCAGATGTTTGCTCTATGACATATAGTTTTGCATATATCAACGCTGTATGTTTCCCAAGGGACCTATATATACTAACATACAGGTCCCTGGTTTCCCTTAGGGGTTTACTGTGGAATGTAAGAATAAATAAAAGCCTGTATAACTTTTCACTTAATTATTTACATTCCCGGATTAGGGGAGCAGGCCCCTGTCACATGATCACAAGGATTTTAGAGAGCTGTTTGCAAAATAAAAAAGAAACTTTATGAGAAATGGAATACCTATAATAGTGTGTGTTACTCCTCCACATCCAAAAGAAACTTTGGTTTTCACAGACAATAAAACGGCAAAACATAAAACAAAATACATTTGAGATGAAGGAACCAAAACAAACCAATCTGACAAAATGAAACTAAATGTTTGATTCACGAACCCGATCATAATTTTTAAAAGAGACTTGCTGCAATCGCATCATCTCGGGTCTTTCCGTCAGAGGTCGGAAATATTAACATCACCGGATGTTAAAAATTTATACGTTTCCTGTTTATTCAAATATAGGATAGACGGAGTTAGAAGTCCCTTCTATGGTATATTTTAGGTAATGTCATTACATTGAATAAAGCTAAACTCCATATTCCACAGATAAAAGGTCTCCATGCATTTATTTCAAAGATCGTGAAAAAGGAGGGTTGTCATGGCGGTTACCATATACATTCAAGGTCGTTTTTCCGCTAGTCGGAAAGGCCCGAGAAGTTGCGATTGAGACTTGCTGGTGTTCCATTTTCAGTGGCGGATTCAGAAATTTGGTTGAGTTGTCATAAATAAAAATTTTCTATTCAAACTTGTTTGCTCGTCATTGAGCTTTGATTTGATTCCAAATGAACTTTAAAAAAAAAAAGAACATTTTCAACCAGGGTGAAACACTATAACTATTTTCTCTGGTACATCAATTAGAAGCTGATCTAGCTGTAAAAAGAATTTAAAAATCTCTTCCAAAATCTTGAAATTAATGGCCCCAGAATTAGGTGTTCCCAATGAAAGGAATCTCTGTTAACCTAAATTTCGTTGTTGGTATACTTTTATCATGAATCCTCAATCCTGTAATACATAATTCATTCTTTATTGGCTGATTTTATAAAGTGCATGGTGGTTTTGTTAAGTTGAGAAACAGCTATTCAAATTGATGAATTATAATAGTTATATAAACAAAATATAACCAAAATTAAAATACTTTTCAATTTTTTTTTACTATTCTATAAACAACTCTATAGTTTCAACTGAAAAAAGACAATTTTCCTTGATGTTCATTTATTTCTGTTTTTATCAACTGGAAAAATTACTCAATTTAAAAATGATTTCTGTTGTTTAAAAAATCTTATAGAGTATACTTAATGTGTTCTATTGTTTCCTCTGAATGCTTGTCAAATAGATTCCATTCCAATTGTAAATGAAATACATGTATATTTAAGGAATAACTGTCTTATTTTTCGATTTCATGATGTGATGAATCGATTGGCTTGCGTGATAATTTGCATAAACGCTGAAGGCGTTTATGCAATATGCATAAAATTATCACGCAAGCCAATCGATTGATCATCTTCATGAAACGAAAAATAAGACAGTTATTCCTTGGGCCCACTCGATTGGGACCCTTCTTATTCCAGAATAACCATTCTGTCTGCTCGATTGGTTTAGTAGGGTAGACTTAGAAGGCCATCTCAACCTTCCACATCAAAGATGGTAGGACAGCATTCTAATATGGCGTCAAGCGGGTGGGTGAAAACTTTGGGGACTTTTATTATTGTAAATAAACCAAACTTTAAACAAAATACAGTTGCAGAAACTTTGAGGACTTTTATTATTGTAAATAAACCAAACTTTAAACAAAATACTGTTGCAGAAAATATTTATATCATGTATCAATGGTAATTCTATCTGTTAAGAAGCATTTTTTTCTGCTTTGTAACATGCAGTGAATTCAACCATCGAGCACAGATTTATAATTTTCCATGTAATATGGGTTGAATATTTGAGTCATAAATAGGTCACTGATTTGACCACAATTTTTTATTTTTGTACATGTAGTTTATTCTTCTGTCTCATGCACTTGATGTTTTAAACCTTTCTTTACATATATAAAAAGAATTCCAAAACTATTATATTAAATAAAATTTTCCTATCCTTAATTATCTCTTCAAGTTTCCCTTTTGAACTAACATTTAATGCTGTAAATTAAAGGATTCAAAATCTTGAAAAACAAATACTGCAGTAATTCAAAACATTGCAGATAATATTCCATAATATCCAATACCCTTCTAAACACTTGATTTAGACATACAAATTCAAACTCTTCCGACATTCCCCTCTGCTTCTAGAAGGATCCGAATCGAGTGGGCCCCTTGTATTTACATGCTCTTGATTCCGCCAATCCGCGTGTATGGCACGCCAAATTCACTAAAATGAGCTAAAACACAGTTTCACAGTCGATAAACTATGTTTATCGACTGTAAACTATAGTTTACAAACCGTGAACAAAAATGAGGTAAACCTAGTTTCACATTTGATAAACTAGGTTTATCGACTGTAAACTATAGTTTACAAACCGTAAACTATAGTTAACGATTCGTTAAGTATAGTTTTCATCTGTAAAACTATATTTAACGGTTGTTAACTATAGTTTACGAATAATAATCTAAGTTTATCTGTCTGTAATAAGCGTTAACAATAGATTTTGTTGATAAACATAGATTCACGTTTGTAATCTATAGTTTACAATCGTAAACTATAGTTAAGAGTTGTTAATCATAGTTTCACAAATCGTGAAACTGTATTTATCAGATCGTTAACTATAGTTAACGGTTTGTAAACTATAGTTTACAAATCGTGAAACTGTATTTATCAGATAATCTATGTTTTGCAATCGCAAATGATTGTTTTCAGTGTTAAGTATAGTTTACCGTTGTGAAACATAGATTATCGCGATGGTTTACGGATGTAAAATATAGATTAACGTTGTTAACTATAGTTTACAGTCCGTAAACTATAGTTTACAACCGATAAACCTAGTTTATCGACTGTGAAATTATGTTTAGCTCATTTTTGTGAATTTGGCGTGCTATACTGTCTGTAATAAAACGTTAACAATAGATTTTGTTGAAAACATAGATTCACGTCTGTAAACCATATTTTACAATCGTGGACTATAGTTAAGAGTTGTTCATCATAGTTTCACAAATCGTGAAACTATATTTATCAGATCGTTAACTATAGTTAAGAGTTGTAAACCATAGTTTACAAATTGTAAAACTGAGATAATCTATGTTTTGCAATCGCAAATGATTGTTGTCCCCCGCTTTCGCGAAAGCGAGGGGACATTAAATCTCATTCGTCTGTCCGTCACAAACACTTTAACCTTGTCCATAACTTTTGATTCAGTGAAGCTATGACTTTCATATTTCACATGTCTATTCCTTGTGATAAGACCTTTCTTTGGGTACCACCAAATATGACCTTTTGACCTTGATCTTGGAGTTTGACCCACTTTTACACAAATATTCCAAACGTTTACTTTGGCCATAACTTTTGAATGGCAGGTACTAGGACTTTCATATTTCACATATGTATTTTTTGTAGCAATACTTTTCACAGGTACTTGTGGACAGGACCCCCCCCCCCCCCCGATATTCAACCCCGGGGCTTATTTGACATTTTTTTCACAATTTATATTTAGTACACTTATTCAACATGTTTGCAATAGGAACAAATCGTCAAAACCCCAAAACAATCGCTCCTCAAAAAATACCCCACTATACAGGATCGTGAAAACAGTTCCTAGGAAAGTGAGATAACTTTTATTTTAACATTTTCTTTTTGGTAACAGGAATGACATAAACTGGTAGGACATGTCACCTCCTGAATGTTAAATGCACAATACTAGTATTTAGTGGGAGGCATAAGTAAAACACCCATATTAAATTAATCTGTGAATGAATTCAATTAATATGAGGTGCAAAATTTGTACATATCTACACAGGGTAATATTTTCCCTATCATTTAACTAAGCGCGTTATAAAATTTCTGTTAAAGTGACATGGTTAACTGTTAAATTTTACTTGTAATGCATAGAATATTTTTTATAGAACACCTGGGAGATGATCGTAAAATAACTTATAAGCTGTAAGACCATGTATATTAGCCAACGGGAAAAAAAAATTTTACATAAAGAATATTTTTCCTATTATTCTGATCAAAAGACAAAAAAGTGAACTTTTTTTGAAAATGACCCAGCTATGGTCGCAAAAAGTGTCCTGTAGGATCAATAAGTAGTGCCCTTCATATTTAAGTTGTCTCCTTGGGAATGCTCCGAATCTATGATATGAACACGCTCAGGCCCCATTACCGTTTAGCTCTTGATGACTTTCTTCTACTTTTCTCTGTTTTTAATTCAAGCAAGCAACATATAAGTTAATATTACAGGAATTTCAATAAACTCGCTGAAAGTAAACATTCGTAGGTATACTTCTTGGCACCTGATCCCACCATGAATTTCTAGGGGTTTGTGTTTATTTCCTATTCACATACATGTATTTGTATTGTTCAAAGATTTTTGAGATTGATCACAGTTGGTTTTCTTCATCCTTTTCATTCTCTTGGAAAATACATATTCGTCATAATTATACTCAAGGAGATATTTTATAATGGCCTCGCACACTTGATGTACTGTATATTTCTCAACATCAAAAAGATTCCAATAGTCCTATATATTTCTGCTGAAGACGTCAACCAGTATATGGCAACAGTCACCCTTTTCTTTAGAGTCAACGGCTCGTTTACAGTCTCTAGGACCAAAGCCAAAACATTTTTTAACATTAAACAAAATATTTAATTAATTTCCCTTCTTCGTGTGTAAATTCTTATACCATTCTTGGTCCTTAAAGTCGTTAAGTTTGTTTGTTTTTTGTTTTTTTGGTACCAATAAATCAGTGGATCCCCCCGTTTCTTTGAGGAACATTCAAAAGTTAGTCTTCCACCCAAACAGTAAGGAAATACCCTTTTCTTTCAAAAATTACAATTATGAATCTGTCCATCTCCTTATTTTATATGAAAATATGACGATTTACTCAATCTCGTCTGAACGCATAGCAAATTAACTTTTACTTACGTGTGGAGATTTACTTGTATGTAAATTTGCACAGATAAGCAACTTTTCGTCGTATGAATGGGGTAATACATGGACATTGGAAATGTAAATATTACACAATCAATACACCAGTATTCTATTAGACACCCGCATAAGAAAATTTATGACACCGAAACTCGCTCAATGTATGCTCAAACTTTGTGTGTATCTGAGTAATTTAGGAGATTTTCTAGACCTACACTCGCCCAACAGTCTACTCATCTAATATATTTTATTACCCAAGACAACCAAGGTACCTTAACAAATTCCATCCATGATGATTGTGGTGCATTTTTTTTACTATACGTGTCATTTATTAATTTTCAATCTGAAGTTGAACATGATTACATGAAGAAAATGATAACATTTCATGTAACCATGTTCAACTTCAGATTAATAAAATTAATAAAAGGCATATGTTTTGGTAAATAGTCCATAATAAAATAAACAAAAGATTTTAGAATATTTATATATATGGCTAGTCTATACATCATTACAGACACCATAATCTTCCAGTCAATGAGTGATAATTTAGGAGACTTTTCATTAAGTGGGCGTGTACTGAGAGCACGTGTTTGCCCAAATTCGACATTTTTTAAACACGTCCATCGGTCTTTTGTTCAGTTCCACTAACGATTCACCAAAAGAACAAATTTTCTTCTTGACCTTAGCATGGTGCAGATTTTTGTGGTACATAGGATATACAGGGTTTTCTGTTGACATGTTGCTTGGAAACGACACTGATTTTTGGGTTCCCCTAGCTTTATTTGTAATTCTCTGGTATTCCGAGGGGACGTCATCAGAAACGTCCGAGACACAGGGTGATCTGGAGGGCGGTAGATCCTCCTCGCTAGATCCTAAACCAGACTTTTCTTTCTTATCTGGATTCAGAAAATGGTCCAGGCGACGCATGAGAACGAACGTTTTCTCGTTGTTCACCTCTTTTTGGGGAGATATGGAATCTAAGGTGTGTTTTCTAGCTGAGTCTGGAAAAATTTCCGGCGGATGAATTACGCTCAGAATACCGTTTCTGGTAGATCTAAAATTTGTGTCGTATCTCAAATGTCGATCCTTTTCCTCATTTCCGACCCGACTCATTGGAACATATTTCTTTGGCAGGGGTTTCACGACTCTAGCATTGGTTTCACGGAATCGAACAGGTTCATATCTAGGTTCCATGTCTTTAGGCGTCAGTTCCGTTTTTTCGTCCAGTGGACTATAACTTGACCCGTATTTATTGTAGGGATTTCTATGTATAGGCTCCAAGAATTTTTTCCGACCTCCAGGAGAAACCATATAATCCGGGAGACTTAATTTTGATCTTGGACTTGAGCGAAAAAATTGACTGTCTTCAAAATTGCTCTGCATTGAGGAGTCCCTGATAGATGGTACCCGTTCTGACTGAACCCGTTGATTGGGTGTAGATGTGTAAAACTCATCTTTTAAGCTGTCCTCCATTAATCTTTCGTTCAAAGCTTTGGAATGCAAAGAATCCGTAACAGGTCTTATTGTAACATAGTTTGCACGTCGGATATGTCCAAACCTGGGTTCGTTTGACTTCCATTGCGTCTCTGCTAAGTTGTCAATACGGCGTAAATATTGTTGCCCTCGGCGTATATCCGAAAGTCTTCTGTCGCGAACTTTCGATTCAAAATTAAACTTTCCTTCTGTATTTGGCACATTTTCTGATATCATTCTTCTGCTTCGAACTGTGAACAGATTTGAATATTAGTAGATTTTTTTTATCAAAGCATACCAAGCTTTTAAAATCAATCGTCAATTCCTAAAGGTGACTTCGCACTATCTCTCTCACCTTTTAAATATCAAAAATTCTCCATAAAATCCTTAAAGGTTAATCTATCCTTGTTGGTAACAGACATATGTCGGTCATTGAAATCAATAAGTAATTTAACACATGAATATCGATATCCAATCTGAACCCCCTCTTCTTATCTAGCATTCCTTATTTACATACTACTTAGTTATTGTTTATTTCACGTATTAAAGCCAGTGGCTCTCAAGCAATAATCAACAGTAACTTTGATCTCAATTCACTGGTCGTTGCTATTCTTCGGGCAAACATTACTTTAAAAATGTCTAACAAGTCAACACCAAACCAAGAGAGTCAATCAATCTCTCAAAATGAAAGTTAATAATTCATAGCATTTGTACACAAGTTTGAAAAGACGGTATATGCTACTTAACGCAACACCGCCTGATTATATTGAAGTTATCGTGATCTATTCACTTTAAAAGTCATATTTGATTACCTGGCGAAATCCTATATGAAAACAAATTATTTAAGAATCGGATAAGGGCAGTAAAGAAAAAGAACTTTATTCATACTACCGGGTTTGTTGTTAGTGAAATTTGGCATAAATTTAAAGATATTGGAGGCATCCTTTTAAAAAATAATCCACAGTAAAACAAATTTTGCACGCAAATTTCAGCTAACGTTGAGAAAAGAATTCCATTTAAAAACAATTTACAGTTCAAAAGTATTATCGACAAGGGAAAGAAACTTGAAGTAAATCAATAGTTACACTGCGATTTGTATATATTCATGTATATTCCCTTCCAAAATCTATACATGTATTTGGTTTCGTTGGAAAGGGAGACATGGGATATATTAGCTAGACGCTGTCCTGTCAAAAACTATGAAGATGTGGAAAATAAAACCTCAATATCACATAAAATCTATTTAAAAAAAAGGGGGGGGGGTGAACCAATAAAATAAAAATACATGTATTTAATCGACAACAAAACAGGAAAAACTTTGACAGGAGGAAAAAATTCATGTAGCCATGTAGCTAATCCGTGTTCCCAGTGCCATGATTTGACACAAGTGGAGTCTGGAATGTACACTATCTGTGGATGCTTCGTAAAAGTGTTCCCTGGAAAAAGATTTTTGTAAATCTTTGATCACCCATAGTGCTCCATCCTACCCCATTTGTCATGATTTGAACAAATTAAATTTGAATCAACAATATGTCAGGTAGCGTTCAGACAAGATTCGTCTTTTCAGGCCAAGAGGTTCTTGAGAAGAAGATTTTTTTTACTTTTATATCCCTTCATCTGAATAACGTTGAATTCCCTTTAATACCCAAGGATACCCTAAGCCAAGTTTGGATGAAAATGGTCCATTTGGTTTTAAAGACGATGTCAAAACGTTTATGACGATAAGACAGACAGAGGACAGATTTTAATCAGAAAAGCCCATATGAGTCTTTGGCTCGGGTGAGCGTAAAGGAAATACATGTATCATCGAAACTCTAAAATTCTTATTTCAGTAGTGGTGGGTAAGGATCTTTTTTAAAAAAAAAAAACAAAACATTTTAAATACATTGCCTATTCGCAGTGATCTGATTGTACTGAATCAAAAAGAAGGAGCAGACTTTCAATGAACATTGTAAAAATGAAAAGCCAAGCAATATTTAAATCGGTACAAAATGACCATCCCTTGCCCGATTCCTACTCAGAGATTGTACCATTGCTTGTTGGGAGTTGGCATATAAATGTGTATCAGAAAATTGATAAATAAATTGAAGATTTCTCTTTAAAGGGACAGGGAGGCAAGTTAACATATATTGAAAAGGGCGTCGCAATATAAGTCCCTGTTCCAATTAAATTTCAGGGAATCTAACGTACTTCTGTAATGGGAAGAAAACAATAGGTTAATGCAGTTGATCGTAGCCAATAATAAATGTACATGTACCTGTCTTGACTAAGACATAAAAATCAACAATCACAAAACAGGCAACGATTCCAAAATGGATATTAAATATTAATATAACTTGCAATGGACCGTGATGGTCAACTTTGATTATCTTTTTTGGGGGTGAGGTGTCATTTATCTCAGAATTTTTAAATACGAAATTTCAGACATATAACAAAAGACTGTGATGGGGGGGGGGGGGGTCCCACTTCTTTGAAATATAATATTTTGCTATTGAAAGGTAAATTCAAACAATATACTTTATAAATTTTTCTCGCTCCCCTCAGAGTTTGAGAAAATGAGTTTTCACTGTACATGATTTTAAGCTACAACTCAGAAATTAAAAATTAAAAAATGTTCCTTGCTAAAACCAGACCAGAAGAAAAAAATCAAGGGAGGTATATCATATTATATAAAACAATTAGCCCATTAGCCACAAATGCTCACCTGAGTAACATTGGCCCTGCTGTTCTTCACCATACCCCCCCCCCCTTATACTCACTGTGGCCTAGCATTATACCAGGGGGCCCTAATTTGAACAATTAAGAATCTACCCCTTTTCTGACCCTAGAATTCTTGTGAAGATTTTTACGCATTAATTTTTCTGTATGTTTTAATGAATAACTTGGATTCCCTCTTGGTCCCCATCCTATCCCCAGGGGGTCATAATTTGAGTAATTCAGAATCTACACAAACCCAGGATGCTTTTGCATAACTTTCAGCTTTTATGGCACTACCCCAGGATGCTTCCACATAAGTGTCAACATTTCTGGTCCAATGATTCTTGAGAAGTATTTTTATGACCTCACCTTATTTTTGTCTTTTCTTGATTATCTCCCCTTGGAAGGGGGCTAGGCCCTTCAAATTTAGAGTTCATATTTCTCTCAGGGTTGTCCTTAAGAATTGAAAGAGAAGGAGACATTTAAAAAGTAAAAGGAGATCTAAGGTTCCTCCCTGAGGGAGTTAAGGAGGAATACCAAAATAACAGTGAATTACATCAGTAAAGACAGGGAAATTCCCCAGCCCCTGGGTCTTAGGGACAATTTCCATACATCCAAGGATGCTTTGTACATGTACCACCTTTAATTAAAATTGGCCCAGTGGTTCTTCAAAAGAAGAAGATGGAAATGTGGAAAGTTTACAGATGGATGGATGATGGACATCCATCTTTAATAGGACAGCAGATGATCAGTAAAGCCCACTTGAGCTTTCAGTGCAGGTAAGCTAAAACATTCATGATTCTTTTGTTACAATACTAAAACAGAATTTTTAAAAAATTAATTCAAGGTTTGCCCTCTTTTGTATACTGCATATCCCTAACTTGTACAGTTTGCTATATACACCAGTAACATTTAGTTTTACTATTTATTTATGGACTGGCTTCAATAAATACAAGCTACACTGTACCATCGACATAAACTACTTGGTAAATTAAGAATAATATATCTTACAACAGCACTAAGTATAATAAGACAACATAAAAAAAAATCTGATACAATAGTAATGAGACTAAAGTGCTAAAAAAGATATGTGTATATGTACTGAAGTTGCATGATTGCAATTTTTTTATGACCAATCACATATTATTGTGCATATACAATAAAACATTCAACCTTAGGGTGAGAGAAATGGGGGTCTATGTATCACTTTACAAAAACAAGAAACTGGAATGTATTCTGAGAAATTACATACATACATTATCATACAAGAAATATTACCAACCAAAACAAAGAATGCTTTAAAATACCAGTATATTCTTGAATAAAAATATACATGTACTGTATTATGCACTGAATATATCATTTTTTTAATTAAAGCCTTAAAAATATTTTAAATTTATATCAATTAAATAATCATCTGATTAAATTTCATCCCTCCCTTCATCTTGTGATGTTAAAAAGACAAAAGCTCAAAGCTTCTTCCCCCTCAATCTAATTAGTTTCCCCCAACCCTATGACATTTTCTCAGAGAAATTTCTGAACTCTGTGTAATATGACTTTTCTAACCATTTTTCTTTGTATGAATTTTTAAATCATTTCAGAAATATTTTTCATAAGATAAATTAAAACTTGTCAACAATGGCAAATGAGGTCGAGATGAATCAATCAAATGCCAAATAGAGATATATTCCATCATTAAACATTACAGTAAGAAACTATGACTACTAGAATGTAAAGTAGGATTATTAATATGGCACAAAAAATTAATAAAATGTGGCAAAAATTTCAACATTATTAAATAATTTACATGTAAACCATTGTAGTATTATGCTACAGTAGAAGACAAGCCAGTAAAATGGTAATATATCCTGATTTCTATTATTCTGCAGTCAATATTTTTCCTATAAAGGCCAATAAGCATTAGTGAGAATAGCAATGTTTTGATGGTTACATGTTTTCTGTAGTTACCTGTCAGTGTACATTAGCTCATACTTCTCATATCAACCAACAAATAACATTAAAGATAAAAAGCAGTTTCTCTAATGGTCTAGTGAACAAAGTGATTTCTCATTTACAAAATTAACATCTTTCAAAACTGTTTTAAGTAAACATCAAGAAAAAATCAAACCTGAACATAAAATGTAATAATACAGGTACGTGTAAATTTACCATGCTTCTATGCCATTTTTCTAAATCAAAATATAATTCATACATCATAGTAATAATAATGCCATAATTCAATTTAATAAACTGAAATGATTGAAAATTAATCCTTAGTTTTGGTCACCCAAGCTTTTAAAAAGATGGTCTTTTAGTTAAAATTTATTTTTACATGATTCAACAATTTCATAGATAATCTTCTAATTCAAGAATTTGGTTTCAACATTGTAAAAAGTATTTCCCTTCCCCCTTCTACCCTTAAAATATGACCATTTAAAAACAATAACAAATTCCAAATAAAATTGCAATTTTTGTCTTTGATTGTTATTGGTATAGTGATTCTTATCAAATACCAATGTTGTGTTTTCTGAAATATTGCACAATATACAATATTAGCTGTAATTAGTTCCCCTTCAGAAAAATAAATCATTTGAAATGTTGTTTAATTCTGAATGATGTCTAAACCAGCCTATTTCTTTTCTTTTGAACCTGGGGTGTCCAGATTTTACAAGTTTTATTATAAATTCAATAAATAGAGAAAAACTTCACATCTAAAAACAATACAAATATCAACAAAGCTTCATTTTCAAGGGCATAAATTACAAAAGCACAATAATCATTATAATAGTTCAATGTATGAAAGACTAAGGAAAGTACATATTAACAAAAAATATATAAACAAAGCATGGCTCCACTTGTATTGGACGATGCAAGCACATTTTTGGTGGATATAATAATAAATGTGATAATAAACCAGAAGTCTCTGAAGAGACTGCAGCTCTACTGGTATTTATAACAATTAAAGGAAAAGTAGCACTTTCACTTGAAACTACGTAGCAGCAATAAATGAATAATATTCCTTGGTTAAGTCTCTTTGTGGCAAGATTTATTGCAGATTAAAACTGTTGCAGGGGTAGCCATCTGAATTAATTTTACAGTAATAAAAAATTTTCAGTAAATTATTGTCTTAGCAAAGTCTACTTGTGTACCAAGTTATATTGAAATCAAACAAAACTGTCTCGTTGCGTTTTAAAGGAATTTCACAGAAATTTCTATTTTTAGTAGCCATGGCAACCCGATTCATAAAAAAAAAACAACATGCATGCACTAAGTTGTCAATCTTAGAGTAGTCTACTTGTGTGCAAAGTAATATTAAAATTGGACAAAAACTAGGAGGAGTAGCATTTTGAAATACTACATGTAGTATTGTTTACAAACAGATGGACAGACTGACAGATGACAGACACCTGACTATCCCATAAGCTCTTCTGGTCTCTGACCAGTACAGCTGGAAAGAAAACTGGGACTGCATATACATCATGTGGATCACTCAGTCACTGTTTGATAGAAACTTGTCACTGTGTGATAGAAATGGTGGTGTCACTGCTTGATAAAACGGTGAACTATTATGGACCATTTACTCTTCCATATGATCCTGTAGTCTTTCAAATGGATCTGTATGTGGGGTACTAAAATTGAAAATTTCATAAGTGAGTTTAAATATAAATTAAACTGTACATCATCAAATACCAAAATAAAACTGTTACTGTAAGTCAGTGATGACATTAGCTGCAATAATGTAGCCCCGTCCCTTTTTTTTTGGGGGGGGGGGGGGGGGGGAGGCCTCTCCAGAAAATATCAGAAAAAAACCCAGAGAGGGCTACATTATTGCAGCTATGATGACATAAAACCAGGAAAATTGCTAAGAAGGGATATATATACGCATGAGAATTGAGGATGAATAAAACACATGACTTAATTAGGAAATAAAAGTCACTTGCTGTATATGAAATTTTTTAACATTTATTCTGAAATAAATTAGAGAAGGGAAGACATACAGATGGATGCACACTAACTTTCCATAAACAGTAGCTGCATGATAAGATAAATGTTTTTAATGAGACTTAGGTGGTACCTGAGATATTGCTGCATTCTGCGTTGTCGTCGATACCTTCTGTACTGATAATACACCGTCACAAACACAATCAGTAAAGCCAGGACACTGAACACAATCCCCAGAACAATATCCTGAACAGAGGACGAAAAAATGGCATGTTCCTTATAGATCACCTCCGATTCAGTGGTAGTGATAACTTCTTGATCTCTGTGGCATGTAGCTGTAATATAATGGTAGATATCTTCATTAAAAAATCTACAAATGAAATTATAAAGTGAGTGCGTGTACAACAAGCTTATTACGAAGTGACAGGGACTGGGGATTTTGTTTTGTTATATTAGTGTTATTTGTTATATCAAAGTTTAAAATATACATGTACATGTATTTTGAAGTCAAGGGGAATGAAAATCACTTTGTTGTATTCATCAATTTGCTATAACTGTGTTTTACTGTATAGGACTTTTACAATTAACTGTAAGAAAAAGCAAATCTATGCAAATCAAATCTATCGAAATCTGAAACTGATCAACTACAGGTTGTTCATAAATCATTTACTAAACTGTAATTATACAACTGCTGATATAGAAAACAACAAATGCATCTCCTAAATGTTAAATTAATATACATACCTGTAATTTTATCTATAGAATTGGAAAATTGTGATGTTCTTTCTAAATCTTTCACACAATTCAATACAACATTGTATAAGATATGTTCCCCATTTAATGGAATTCTAAAAATGTTACTGCTGGCATTAAATTTGTAAGTTATTTTGCCATTGTTCACCTCATTTGAAATAGGTCTATTATTAATGTATGATAATGCACAAGAACTGTTTATTATGCTGTACTTGGGCAATGCTTCAAAGATTGCCTCATCGTTGCAAAGACTCGTTAAATTTAAATTCAGGTGAGGATAAAAGCTGCTTCCATCTGTCATAAAGAGGAAAAAATCTGAAAAAAAGAAAAAAAATTATATTTAACAAACAAAAATACTATTCAAGACAATTAACAAGAGGCCCATGTGCAACATCATTCACCTGGGCACACTGGTTAAAATACTCTTGACATAGTTTGCTATAATACTCTTGATGTACAGCAAAACTCATTTAGTACCAACACAGATATTGTCAATTCACAGATATAGCGAAGTTTTCTTGGATTCCCAGCTTTATACATTTTAACGAATTCCTTATATGGATATAACAAATTACAGATCTAACAAAGTTATTACAGAGGTCTCAGTGACTTCATTATAACTGAGTTTTGTTGTCATTACATCATTATCATTTTAAATTGCTAAATAAATATTTTTGGCTAAATGAAGGTTCTTCTGTTTTCTTTGACTAATCATGGCTGGAAGAGATTCTATTTTAGTTTTTATTGAATAAATAATTTAACTTATTTATTAGATTATTTTGTGGACATTGACTTATTTATCGATTTCAATTCTTTCATAGTAGTACGTATACGTGATTTGGATAAATGACATGGAATACAATATTGCCATAAGAATAATTTCCTAAATTTATTCATTGTCTCCTTGATTTAAATTCTATGTCGTTTCTATAATAAAGACATCTATATTGCATTTATTTCAATCAGAAAATATCATTACTCATCCATACTATTGCTGAGATTCGGCCATTTCTGACAAATGGACTGTTTTTATTGTAAAATTAAAAATAACTTGCTTTGTAAGAAATATAAAAGTCATAAAAATCCTTCAGCATCTGTGACAGAACAAAGGAGCATGTCACTTGACTGCCTACATCATGTGATCCCCACATGGGCAGATCAGTTGCAGATGTGCATAAAAATTGGAGAAGACTTCTTTGAAAAAAATCCCAATACTGAAACCCTGTATCATTTCTTTTTTTGGAAGTTATTCAATTAGTTCACAAACTTTTTGATCAACCCTCATATTCATCTTTGAATAATGTTAGGAAAAAAGTTTAAGCTCAGTGCAGTGATAGTAGCGAGTGCAGCAAGCTCTAGCGACAATGCTTGGGTGAAGAAAAAATCAGACCACTGCACATTCATTGTATAGAATTTTTTTCCACAGTAACTTTGGACCCACAATGCATCGCTTCATACACAAAAGCTAAAGCAACATTCTCGCGAGAATAACATCAAAAGTTAAATGAATAATAAACTTGCCTTGATTTAATGAATTTATTGCCGAAAAAAAAGTAAAAAAAACGGTTCTTAATTAAAATCAGCCTTGTTCAGTCTTAGGTTTCACTTTGGTAATGCAGCATGCATACGACGTCATGTGACGTCAGTCTTAAACGAATATCACGTGCGGTTTGACGTGCCTGATTCAAATGAAAACTGAATAAATATCTGCGCTCGCCCCAACGGTCGCAAAGCGCAACGTTAACATATTATTCAAGCTTGAACGCCTCTAACAACAAGTCACTTTATTTAAAAAAAAATGCAAGAAACTGAGTAAGATAGTATTCTCTTTTCTTTTTGTGTCTCACCTAGAAAAATTATACCAACTAATGCAAGTCGGTTCCATGAAAACACTTCTTTCATTGTGAAGAATACCCACAAATAATAAGTCCAAACTATTCAGTGGACAAAATTACGCATCAAACCATCGCACCATCATACCATATACATCCGGTTTGTGGATTTCAACAACTCGCTCCTAAACTATTTCGTACAGTATGTAAAAAGGAACCAGTTGAAATACGCGAGTTGAGTAAATAGATCGTTGCGAAACTTTGTCCTGACAAGAAGGGAGAGAAGGTCACAGTGAACGGTAATAATGTCAAGTTTGCAGTAAATAGGTCTATTTGTAATATTTTTGGATACATTTTTCATTTTCAATTCACGTAGGCGTATTTTGCATCCATGCACAGGGACTTGCTCCCGGCGTGTAATAATTATTTATTAATCAAAGTACTCAGAAGTACTGAAAGCCGGGCTCATTTACAGGGTAATGAACAAAGACCGTGGTGACATTTTAAAATCAAGTTCAGAGGTTTAGAGGATATGTTACACCAAACATATCTCAATGGCATGTATAGTATTAAAAAGTTTTAAAAATTAAATAAAATATAGCTAGAAATTATGCGTAAAATATTTATCACATGTATCGTTTCGGGGTTTTATATACAAACAGAAGTAAATACCGATAGATTATAAGGTCAAACGACTATGCACTGATGTGTCCTCAGCGGAGAGTTTTGCATCAAGTCATTAATGATGTTCCCTGCATTTGTGATGGTACAACCTTTATTTATAGAATATGACGCAGACAGGATACCTGATGAAAACCTTTCGCACCTTTTGAATCGCTTTGTAAAATATTAGTCAAAGGAGCCAGGAAAATGTTAAACAATTTAGTATTTTGATAAAAATATTCGATTTACTATTTCTTAAGGTGTTTGAACGGATTTTGTTTTCTCAACAGCAGCTGGGCGTACGTACTATATTTTTACTCGTAAACTCAATTTGGCGGTGAAGAAGCAGCATTTTCTGTTGCTCACCGTCGCAATAGCCGGGCATTGCTCTATGAGCAATGAGCCCGGCTAAAAAACCATATACCGTAATAATAAAACTAACCATTTTATTATTACGGTATATGGTTTTTTTAATAAATAATTATTACACGCCGGGAGCAAGTCCCTGTGATCCATGCGAGAATTGAAATGCTTTACAGTTTACCTAGTTATGTGTATTTCAAAAATTTATTTCACAACAATAACATGAGCATACTCCAGGGGTGGATCTAGGGATCTTTAAGCAAGGATTTAGACTGACTGGGGTCTCGGGGCGGCCAGAGAGCCCCCATGCACCTATTGTGTCAGGCAACTTAAAATTATGCAAAATATATGGTATAATTCATGCAGACAGACAGACGGTCGGATACCTTTTAATAAGATCCCTATATGACAGCTTGTTAAGAAGCACTTACAGTTATCTATAGATCCTTCAAGATAATTGCGGTACTACTCTTTTGCAGGGCAAAATGATATAATTTGGTGATCAAAATATATGACGTAAAAGCATGTTTATTATTATCGACCTCATTATAATTATTATATGTACAACACATTACCTGATTGGTTTTAGATTATCAAGTGGCAGGGTCATAAAACTTCATATTTCCCGTCCCTTGACATGCTTTTCATCATATTCAACCACCAAGGCAGGCAATAGTTAGAATACTCTAACTGTGTCTCAGGACAAGCCTTCACCACATCCGCAGGACAATATCATTATTATACCCCCCGCTTGAAAAGCGGGAGGGTATATAGTAATCGTTAATTCCGTCCGTCTGTATGTCCGTCCGTCCGTCTGTTACGCTTTGGGGTACCCATCTCTTATCCGCAACTCCTCTCATACCACTGAATGAAATTTGATGAAACTTTCACAGAATCTTTATTACATATTGCCATTGTGCAGCTCCTATTTTATCCGACACATATTTTTTTCACGACCACAGCAAAACAACTTTGCCATTATAACTATATGGAACTATATATAGAACTATATAATCAAGCAAGTGCAAATTCCTGAAATATAGTAAAACTCCTGAGAGCAGTAGGAGGGACCACTAAAGGAATAAGAGATTCCCATGGAATTATTTAGATTTTTTTTTTTTTCAAATTCATCTATATAAAGAACACAAAATTATCATTATAATTTGCAAATTATTCCCATATTCCGTAAATTTTAGTTTTGTTAAATTATGGACACTGGGTAAGAGTAAATTATAGCTAAAGTCAGGATCAAAGTTTGCATGATATAAAAAGTAATGCATGTTTTCCAGGGGGGAGGGGTCTTCAAATTGTTAATCAAATTGATACTAAGGCATCCTCATGGTATATGGATTGAGAGTCCCCTTAAAATTAGGATGGGGACATAATAGGGGTTAACAATTTTTTTAAAGGGAATATAGAATTCTTTTATAAAATCAGATTAAAAATGACATGGCTAAAGTTACTCAAGTGAGTATTATGTCCCATAATCCCATTAAAAAAATTTTCTCCGAAAATATTTTATTCTTCTGACAGGAAATTTGTCTTACTAGTGTTTTCAGAAAGTGAAATCAGATGCATCTTGATGCAGCATTAACACCAACAAAACTTTAATCAGGGACATTGTTTCCCTATTAACATACACTTTTATATCAAATCCACTTCAAAAGCTTATGATCTCCCCAAAGTCTATAGATAGGCATATACATGTACTAACTTCCTGATACAGCTGTGCACTAGATACTTTTGTAAAATTATTTCAATACAATATATTACAGGTGAAATTATGGTCTAACAAAATCTGAAAGCAAAAAAATGGTTTTTATGCCATTTTAAACAGATTCCCACCAAATCCACCACTGGAGGTAAACTATATCAAACTACAGGTACTGTGAGCATTGAGCTGAAACCCAAAATATGTGTCGGATCAGAAAGTAAAATAGAAGGTGCACAATGGCATTATGTGATAAAGATTCTCGGAAAGTCTCATCAAATTTCATTCACATGGTATATAAAAGGAGTTGCAGATAAGAGAGGGTACCTCAAAGTGTAGCAGGCGGACGGATGGAGAGACGGAAGTACAGACAGACGGAGGGATGGACATTCCAATTACTATATACTCTCCCACTTTTCGAAGGGGGGGGTATAATAAAATCTTTGTATCAAATCATTGAATGCCATCTCAAAATGAAGATTCAACACTGCCATTCAAGGGTTCTGAGAGGCATAAAACAACTATTATGACATATGTTATAATTTATGAATTGTAAAGAGTTTAGTTGTTTAAGGTTTTGCAAAAAATGTTGCATCATGATGAAAGATCATTGAAATGATAATGTCTTAATGACCCAGTGAGGGGCAGAAACTATGCATGTATTTAGAAAATTCCAAACTCATAAAAAGTATATATATATTTTTAACATTTTATTTTCTTCAATTTACAGCATTAACCATGGGGTCTATAATGGGAAAAGCTATGGACGAGAACTTAAAGAAAAACCAGGAATTCATGCTGAAAGTGAACCAGCTAACAGTAAGGTTCTACAATCGATTTTACCAGTTAATCTTATCTTCTGTAAGCAAAAGTAGAAACTTCAAACATTTCATGTTGCAACAGCAAGATTTCTCTAAATGGTACACTAGAACTTGCAGAAGGCCTCGGGCATTTCAAGGGGATGATGATCGATTGATTATTACTGTAAATCACTAAATATTCCTGAACATCTTTTTTAGTGAAATTCTATTGAATCAATTTTTTTAAAATAGTTTTCTTGAATTTTGGTTATTACTTATCTAATCCGTAACAAAATAATTATTCACTAGAATAAATATTTTGCAAGCAAATGATTTTGTGTACAGCAAAACTCGTTTATCTTGGATCCCCAGCTGTATAAATTTAATGATTTTCTTACACAGTTATAACGAATTATGGATATAGTGAAGTAATTTCACAGGTCCCAGTGACTTCGTTATAACCGAGTTTTACTGTAATTACCCGGTATGCACAAATGAAGATCGATTTACAGTATTCAATTTAGATAGAAAGTGATCTATAGAAAATTCTTTTGCATTTTTAATATAGTATACTGTAAAAGCACAAATGTTCGTGGGGAATTAAATTTCGTTTAATTCGTTGTAAACAATTATCTACGAAATTAAATCCCACACGAAATTTTATATCAGTACATATTGAAAAGGCTTACTCGCAAAACAACGAAAATAAATGCCAACGAAACTATTTTTGATGAAAAATCAACGAAATTTTATCCCCTCGAAAATTTGTGCTTCTACAGTATACTTGTAAGGCCACACTAATTTAATTTCTTGTTCGTCGGACATTTGATGGAAAAAAGTACGAGTGGGCAAGCGGTTAAATAATAATATAATTCTTTTTTGAAGGTAAAATTTTTAGGCGGAGCATGAAAAGATTTGAGCGGACAATTATATTTTATCTGATTTGCAGAGTTAGCAGATTAAACAAACAATTAATAGAGCGGAAATGGAACAGAAAATAGCCCATAATATTTATGGTGCGGGAAATTTAAATTAATATTTGTATAGTTTTGTTTAAATACGAGCGGGCGGGTCCAACGAACAAGAAAATTTATTGGTGTGGCCTAACAGGAAAATTTTAAAAGCAATGAAATGTAAATACACTATGAACATGCATGTACTAGAATTCCCAGTACGTAGAATGTTGCTCTAATTATAGTTGGAGAGACAGATACAAATGCAGAACCAGATGAGAGAGAGGCAGATGGCTATGATGGTAGCCCGGGGAAGAGACATATTCCAGTGGTTTGGGGCATTTTATGCTACATATGCATCTATAGCGGTTCTAGCGTAAGTTGCATCAACTTATTGATTCATATACTTACTGAGATGTTGTATAAGGAAGTTTTTAGCTCACCTGAGCCGAAGGCTCAAGTGAGCTTTTCTGATCACATTTTGTCCGGCGTCCGTCTGTCTGTCTGTCTGTCTGTAAACTTTTCACATTTTCGACTTCTTCTCAAGAACCGCTGGGCCAATTTCAACCAAACTTGCCACAAAGTATCCTTGGGTGAAGGGGATTCAAGTTTGTTCAAATGAAGGGCCACGCCCTCATTCAAGGGGAGATAATTGGGAATTAATGAAAATTTAGTGGCATATTTTAAAAATCATCTTCTCAAGAACCACTGTGCCAGGAAAGATGAAACTTATGGGGAAACATCCTCAGGTAGTGTAGATTCAAGTTTGTTCAAATCATGACCCCCGGGGGTAGGGCGGGGCCAAAATGGCCGACCAAAGTTTTACATAGAAATATATAGGAAAATTCTTTAAAAATCTTCTTCTCAAGAATGACAAAGCCATAATTCATCATATTTATATGGAAGCATGTTCAGGTAGTGTAGATTCAAGTTTGTTCAAATCATGACCCCCGGGGGTAAAGCGGGCCCAAAATGGCCGACCAAAGTTTTACATAGAAATATATAGGAAAATTCTTTAAAAATCTTCTTCTCAAGAATGACAAAGCCATAATTCATCATATTTATATGGAAGCATGTTCAGGTAGTGTAGATTCAAGTTTGTTCAAATCATGACCCCCGGGGGTAGCGCAGTGCCCAAAATGGCCGACCAAAGTTTTACATAGAAATATATAGGAAAATTCTTTAAAAATCTTCTTCTCAAGAATGACAAAGCCATAATTCATCATATTTATATGGAAGCATGTTCAGGTAGTGTAGATTCAAGTTTGTTCAAATCATGACCCTCGGGGGTAGGGCGGGGCCAAAATGGCCGACCAAAGTTTTACATAGAAATATATAGGAAAATTCTTTAAAAATCTTCTTCTCAAGAATGACAAAGCCATAATTCATCATATTTATATGGAAGCATGCTCAGGTAGTGTGATTCAAGTTTGTTCAAGTCATGTCCCCCGGGGTAGGGCGGGGCCAAAATGGCCGACCAAAGTTTTACATAGAAATATATAAGAAAATTCTTTGAAAATCTTCTTCTCAAGAATGACAAAGCCATAATTCATCATATTTATATGGAAGCATGTTCAGGTAGTGTACATTCAAGTTTGTTCAAATCATGACCCCCGGGGGCAGGGCGGGGCCAAAATGGCCGACCAAAGTTTTACATAGAAATATATAGGAAAATTCTTTAAAAATCTTCTTCTCAAGAATGACAAAGCCATAATTCATCATATTTATATGGAAGCATGTTCAGGTAGTGTACATTCAAGTTTGTTCAAATCATGACCCCCGGGGGCAGGGCGGGGCCAAAATGGCCAACCAAAGTTTTACATAGAAATACATAGGAAAATTCTTTAAACATCTTCTTCTCAAGAATGACAAAGCCATAATTCATCATATTTATATGGAAGCATGCTCAAGGAGTGTAGATTCAAATTTGTTCAAATCATGACCCCCAGGGGTAGGGCGGGGCCAAAATGGCCGACCACAGTTTTTAAAGATATATATAGGAAAATTCTTTAAAAATCATTTTCTAAAAAATAGCAAATCCATGATTGGTCATGGGACTACTTTTGGATTTAAATTTTACAATAAAAAGCCATTTTCTACTTTTTCCTACCCTTAGTGCTCAGGTGAGCGATGTGGCCCATGGGCCTCTTGTTATAAGGAACTATTGCAATTTGGTAATTTTTTTTATATAATATATATATATATTTCCCATGAATTCAGAAATACTTTCTAGAGGAATTTAATAAATGTTTATCTTTGTTGATACATGTATTTCTATTTTTTAAAATGATATGCAGAGGAAAGACTGTGTAATTTTTTAAATATATACTTTTAGGACTATGAAAACAAAAGGGAAAAGTAAAGGTTTGGTTGCCCCATTGCTTCCTCTGACCTTCATATTAGGATACCAATATGACCTTGCCTATGGATCAAAAATGGAGAGGATGAGACGTAAGTAAAGTCTTTAAGCACTTGAACTAAAGGCTCAAGTTATAAATTGATTTTTTTTATTTCACTGTACACACCAATAGCTTGCTGTTGTAAGTGTTATTTTCTGACTTTGACAGAGGAAGCTGACAGAGTAATGGACACAGAATCCTATCTACTGGACCTCCCACACGGACTCCCAACATTTAACAGCATAGAGGCAGGCAGACAGAAGGCGAAAGATGCTAGCCGGGTCAATCAAGGCCATGACATATTCCTGTAGACATGTCCTTAGAGTCTTAGTGTACTGGTTTATTAGTTTTGTAATCTTTCACAGTGTGCCATTGTATTTATAAGTGAAAGAGGCAGCATAGTGAACTCTTGACTCGATATTGTTCTCAGATGCATATACATGTATACAAAGGACATTACATGTATCAGGAGAGAGAGAGAGATGGAGAGAGAGAGAGAGAGAGAGAATGTTTCGATGTAAAAGTAAACAAACAAATATCAAACTGATATAGTAATTTAGTGGCTTAATCTTTCTATTGTCTATGGTTATTTATGCTGAAAATAAGATGTTTTTCCTTGATGGAAAAATTTATACTTTTTAGCTCACCTGAGCCGAAGGCTCAAGTGAGCTTTTCTGATCACATTTTGTCCGTCGTCCGTCCGTTGTCTGATGTCCGTCTGTAAACTTTTCACATTTTCGAACTTCTCAAGAACCACTGGGCCAATTTTGACCAAACTTGGTACAAAGCATCCTTGGGTAAAGGGGAATTTAAATTGTTAAAATAAAGGGCCAAGTCCCTCATAGGGGAGATAATCAAGAAAAGACAAAAATGGGGTCATTAAAAAATCTTCTTCTCAAGAACCACTGGGCCAGAAAAGCTGAAACTTATGTGGAAATAAGGTATTGTAGATTCTAAATTGTTCAAATCATAAGAGGGGGGAAGGGCGGGGCCACAATGGGGAATCAAAGTTTTACATAGAAATATATAGGAAAAATCTTTGAAAATCTTCTTCTCAAGAACCACTGGGCCAGAAAAGCTGAAACTTATGTGGAAGCATCCTGGGGTAGTGTAGATTTTAAATTTTTCAAATTATGACCCCTGGGGGAAGGGCGGGGCCACAATGGGGAATCAAAGTTTTACATAGAAATATATCGGAAAAATCTTTGAAAATCTTCTTCTCAAGAACCACTGGGCCAGAAAAGCTGAAACATATGTGGAAGCATGCTGGTATAGTGTTTATTCTAAATTGTTCAAATCATGACCCCCGGGGGAAGGGCGGGGCCACAATGGGGAATAAAAGTTTAATAAAGAAATATAAAGGAAAAATCTTTGAAAATCTTCTTCTCGAGAACCACTGAGCCAGAAAAGCTGAAACATATGTGGAAGCATCCTTGGGTAGTGTAAATTCTAAATTGTAAAAATCATGACCCTTGGGGGAAGGGCGGGGCCACAATTGGGAATCAAAGTTTTACATAGAAATATAAAGGAAAAATCTTATGCATTATGTATTACAAGGGGGAAATCTGGTAAAGAACAGAATGGTCAAAGCTTCTCAGGTGAGCGATGTGGCCCATGGGCCTCTTGTTTTGTAAATAAATATTTTTTTAATTGATAGTATCATAGTATTTATTATTTAATAAGAAGAATTTGTTTTCAATTACTGGTTATGGATATTTTCACTTTTAAAATCGTCTTTGTGTATTCCAGTTATAGTGTGGAAGAGGAAAATCCACTATTTACGAAGGGCTTTAGGAAATGATCATTGAAAGCCTCCCCCCTTCTTTTTGTTGAAGTATAATAAAAGTTAATGTAGTATGGATCAGGAAACAAAAACAGTACTGAAAGAGGTTCAAACCTCTATTTACGAGTATGATTGATGGAGCATCCTCTTACATTTGTTGCAGTAACCTGACTATGATCGGCATATTCTCTTTTGAGAAGTTGATGGGTCATTTTAATACCTCTCTCTGGAGGGGAAGCATTAAAACAAGCCATGAACTTCTCAGAAGAGAATATAATTGGAAATGCCCTATATAAATGATATAAGGTTTTGGTATTTTGATTTTCACCCAAGGCGATGAAGGAGGGGGGGGGAAATTGGTATAAAAAAAGTGTTTTTTTTTTCCTACAAAAAAAAAAAAAAAAAAAAATGGCTCTTTGAACACTTTTTACATTCTATAAAATCGCTGAAATTGTTTTTTTTTCACATTAACTTTTTTTTTTTTGTTAAATCACATTTTTTCTGTTTCTATAAAATACTAATTTTAACGCTTTGTTTATTTGTTTCTTTTTTTTTTAAATGACTGTATTAAGACGGACATACAAAATAAAGAATATGCTATCCGAAATCCGAGCGCCTAGGTTACGTGGTTAGCTCTATTCAAACCGAATGAGTTTAAGTTCGTATTATCTAAGGAATGAATAAACTGGTTCCCTCGATCGAAAGTGAAAGAAGATTGAATGTGTACAATAGGCATATTTATATGTAGAAAGAAAATATTTTGATTAGCTAGATCTCACAAATACTAATTTATATATAGATTTATATCGATGAAAATGATAATAACAATGTAAAAAAGAATAGGAAGAAAAGCAGTAACCTCTGCTGTTAGTGTTATGTAATGGCACGGAGTTGACCAATCGCCCAATGGTTATTCCAAGCATCAGCACCGCGATACGCACCACTGCACACACGTTTCGAGTGAGAGCAAGGATGCCTTTTTATGCTGTTAGACAAGGACGTAGCGCTGGAATTTATAATGATTGGTAAGTAGTGTTTCTCTGATGACATAATATTTAATGCCTCTATTGTGCATTGTAACGATGCATTGCAGCATCTTGCAAAACAGAAAATAAATTTTTGATGTTTACATCATTTTCGCGCCAAAAAAATAGACCGTGCTGAAGATGTAAAACAAGGGATTAACATTACAGCAGAGTGTAGATAAATAATAAAGCACTTGCTTCTTTTTAAAAATAAGTTTGCTAGAATTTTGGTGCATTGCATGTAAAATTTTGATAGGTAATTAATGAATGCTGTGACAGTGTGTACTTAGTGAAAAGGTGTATATGGAGCTGAGGAAGTATATTACATGCAATCAGTACCGAAACATGCAGAAAGCACTTGCAATGAATGATAATAATTAGTGCAAAATTACCCAAAAGAATTTTTTGTAGAGCAATTTTTCTGTAACATGGGAAAAGCCTATCCATGATTAAGTATAAACAGGTTGGGCACACACCGCCAAATGGTCATTTAACCCCCGTTTGGTGGTCATTCGCCCATATCGGCGTCTTTATTAACCACCAAATGGGAGAGAAAAATCGTTCTGTTCAGTTCTCTGGAATGACATGAAATGGCGCATAATTTCAACTCACGGGGAATAAAATATAGATATTTATCTGTACTTTGAACGAAAAAAATTTAAATTTCAACGCGGACTTTTTTGCGCAGTGTCGTTCAAATAATTGACAAAATCGTCACCTATGTAAACAAATGTAACGTTTTTCTGTTTTGACTTTAAAAGAAAAAATCCCTCCGTCTCGCGCGTAGTTGAGCCTATCAATCGTGTTGATCACTTCATATTTCTGTCCTCCGGGCAACCGATCAATTATCTAAACCAATCAAAAATGACGATCTTTTCCAAACTTTGGTCAAAAGACTGAATTAACTACGGAGGCCCATAAGTGTAAATTTTCAAAAAGTAAAATAAGAGTAATGGTAAGAATTCGCTTTTATTTAGTTTATTCCGTAAGCAATGGCTTTATTCTTTATAAAAATGCGATATGCAGGGAATTCATGTTAAAATAATCACTCGAAAACCATAATCTTTGAATAAAAACAGGAATAATTGCAAATGCCACTTTGTAAATCTTTTATTCATAAATATTTAATAAATATAGTAGATACAACATAGATATGCATACTAAACCACAAAGGGTGGCACAGAAATCGTAACTTCATCCTAAAAGAAAATATATATAAATGTTATCAAATGTAATAATAGCACTAATGCCCACCAAAAGAATAAGAAGAAAAGCAGTAACCTCTGTGTTACGGGATTTTATAAAGTATGACCAATCGCAATGGTTTTGAAAAGTTACTTCGATAGACTGCACACACCTTTGCTGAGAAATGTATGCCTTTTTATGCATAAACAAAATAATTTTTTGAATTGTTTGACAAATGTTTTCTGATGACATAATAATTAATGGGCCATAAAAACGAAGCATTTAGCAAATTCCACATGGAAAATGATTCTAAATTGTATTCGCGCCAAAAAATGTGCGAGAACTGTGGACTAACATTATAGCAGAGTGTAGATAAATAATAAAGTACTTGTTTCTTTTTAAATAAGTTTGCTGGTTATGGTGCATTGCATGTAAATATTTGATCGCTGAATGTTGTGAAAGTGTGTAGATATATAGTAAATGGAGCTGTTGATGAAATTGTGTACAGGCCAAGAATGGAGCTGTTGATGAAATTGTGTACAGGCCAAATATATGATTGAGAAAATTCACTAGTATTGTTTCACAAACTACCTTCAATTTTTGCAAAAACCCAGACAGGGTCTTTTTCAGAAATAAAAGTAGCCATATTTTAAAAACTAAATTAAAAACATGCTGTTTTACATTTCCTACTCATATATTGTCTCTCACACTTAAAAAGAAATGATTCATTAGAAAATGTTAATTTTGTTTACTAAATCCCAGACCAGAACCAAACAGATGACTTAATTCAATGTTGTGGCTATGAGTAATTAACAGGTCACATCGGCAATTGAGTAACAATGGGTCAACCTAGGGGGCGTCTGCATGAGAGGAACCTCCATGAAACCTAAAACTTAGACAATTTTGAAGTGGGAGAGAATCCTCACTTGTCTTACATTTTTATTTATTCACTTATCCTGAAACCATCTTGATAAGCTGGTGAATTCATTAGAGGGTAAATGCAATAATTATTCTTCTAAAGCCAGGTTCACAGCAGTAGTTCTCAAAATCACAGCAGTAGTTCTCAAAATCTTAGCAGGAATCAACATGGGGTCATTCCTTCAAAGAAATAATGCAGCACATCTAATTGTTATGAACTGGATACAGTGATGCAGTAATGTTGTTAAATACTTTTATGTCATTTAAAACACCTTATTAATGCTATTATTAATCATAAAAATAATATATTTTTTATTAAAACTAAAATTTTATCTCTCATGAAAATGGATTTTTTAAAGCTGATAAAAAGTGGGTTGATGTCTTAATCTAATTTTTTTGAAAATTTTCCCTGATCTGCATTTTGAAATTCTTTAGAACTTTTGAATAAATAATTTCTCAATTTTACTCCCTTATCATGAAGTTTCATTACTTTACCAAATGGTAATACTGTAACCCATTCACAATAGTTTATAGTTTAACTATTAGAAAGAACACAGTACATGTACATCTATAAACCAGATCAGCTTTTTGGCAACTTAGATTTATAATTTGTCATCAAGATGAATTTATAATGGATAGTGTCATCTGTAAAGATTTTTTGTCTTTTACTAAAATTGGGGGGGGGGGGAAGTTTCAACATTTGTTTAAAAATACTTATCTTAAAATTTTTTGTTGTCAACTCTTGTAATTGATATAAATTTTCGTAATTTACCCGATAATTAAAATAAATTCTTTCATTTTAGTGATAAACATTCTATTATTTGATTGAAATTTTCAGGGATTCCTGTAAGGAACAAGTGCATGGGTACAGTGGTGCCAGGTACAAGAAGTTCAACACAGCGGAGGAAGCTCAGGCCTTTGTAGAGGGGAGTGACAGTTACAGTGGGGGGAGTTCCAGTTACAGTGGCGGTTACTCAAGTTACAGTGGGGGATACTCAAGTTACGGCAGCTCAGGTAACTCTGGCTACTCAAGGCAAAGTTACAGCTCATCATCCGGGTATGGTGGATCACAAAGTTACAGCTCATCGTCAAGTTATGGCGGAGGACAAAGTTACGACCCAGAACCAAGTTACGGAGGTGGATCCAACAGTTACTACTCACATTCCCATCAGAAGAAGTACACCTCAGGACACAGGAGCGCTCCTTATTCCTGCAGTAGTAGGCAATATTCCACCTGTTCATCAGCAGCAGGTACTTTTCTATAAAGTTACCTCTTATAAGAAATAAGATAAATGCACAAATATTCATTCATAGATAAGAATGAAGTATTATCCATTAGAAAAGACAGTACCTTTTTACCAGTTGTATATAGAATCTTTCTTGGAAACTTTTTAATTCTGAATAGAATTATATATTTATGCCCCCCTTCGAAGAAAGGAGGGCATATTGCTTTGCTGCTGTCTGTCACTCGGTCGGTCTGTCGGTCCACTTAGTTTCCGTTCATTTTCTTCGCAACCGTTGCACATACTGAAATGAAATTTGGTATACAGATATAGCACATGAATATCTTGGCAAGTTCTGTTTTGGGTACGATTGCACCATTTTTGACAGAGTTGTGCCCCTTGGACTTAGAAAAATTTCAATTATTTGCAGTTTCCGTTCATTTTCTGTGCAACCGTTGCACATACTGAAATGAAATTTGGTATACTGATATATTACATGAATATCTAAGTCCAGTGCTGTTTTGGGTGCAATCGCGCCAATTTTGACAGAGTTATGCCCCTTGGATTTAGAAAAATTTCAATTATTTGCAGTTTCTGTTCACTTTCTTCGCAACCATTGCACATACTGAAATGAAATTCAGCGTACAGATTTATCAGAGGTATATCTAGGTCAAGTTTCATTTTGGGTACGATCGCACCATTTTTGACAGAATTATGTCCCTTGGACTTTGAAAAATTCCAATTATTTGCAGTTTCCGTTCATTTTCTTTGCAGAGGTTGCATATACTGAGATGAAATTTGGTATACAGATTTATCAGATAAATATCTTGGTCAAGTTCTGTTTTGGGTACAATCGCACCATTTTTGACAGAGTTATGCCCTTTTGGATTTAGAAAAATTCCAATTTGGGGGGAGGGGGACATAAGTAAAGTGTTTTACAAACATCTCTTGTTCCAACATAAATTTTATTTTCAAAAATCTTTATGCATGATAACCAGTTCAGAGGAAATGAGCAGATTGTAACTGTTTAATATCTACCTGATCAAGTAAAAAAATCACTGTCATTTCCAGGATCCAGTTCTACGGAGACGGAGGATGATCACGTATACACAGACGGATGTTGTCGTAATAATGGCCAGAAGGGCTCTGTGGCTGGTATAGGAGTGTACTGGGGACCAGATCATCCATGGTTAGTCTCTTAGTGTTTGGATGCAGGGCTACAGTGAAATGTTTGAAAGCCTTATAGTAATCAGTACAATTTCTTTCAATGAACATGCACTTGATCTATTTTGCCACCCACATTGATTCTGTTTGTTTCTTGGATGTGGGCTTGGGAAGACTAGTAAGACAGATTTCTAGTTGTACAAAATATTTGTTTTTCTCTTTAATAGTTGGAAAATTTAATAAATTTTCCTATTTATGGAATATTATTGATTGGATTTTAATTTTTGACAATTTGAATATACATGTACAGAGAGAAATCCCAGCCTTTGAACTTTTTCTATTAAAAAAAAATATGCAAAAGGTTCCCATTTTGTCTGGATAACTCCCTCTACAGCAGTTTTCAAGAAAAAAATTTTATACCCCCCCCCCCACTTTACACACACAGTTTAGGGAGGTATGTGGGAATCAACATCGACAACATGTTTATCCATCCATCTGTTCATCTGTCCATGCATAGGTTATTGAGAAACACTGAAAGCTCTTACTTGGTACAGAAATTGCTTATGATGCTTATGACCCCACAGTATACCCTGGCCTTGACCCAGTCATTCTTGGAAGTTCAAAGTCATTGACTGATAAAGTATAAAACCCTTCTCCATGCTTAAATTTTAAGGTATTAGATGTATAACAGGCATTGTTAAAAAATGAAATTTTACTTTATATTTCCACATCTTTAGTGTTTGGAGGCTTTAATTCCAAAGTTACATAAAGTTTTGTCCAGACATATTTGAAAAAAGTAGGATTTTCAAATCATACCCCCGCTGTCGGAAACAGTGAAGGGTGTGTTATACCAGAAGAGGAATTCTGTGAAATTAATTCACTTTCAGACTGTAATTTTACTTCAGATGAACAAAAATAACATAGACGCTTTATAATAAAAGACTTTTTTTTTCAAAAGTTACAACTATTAACTAGTAAAATTTCCAGATTAAAATACGTTACTCAATGTTAAGTGTGTATTTCTTATAAAAAACAATTAATTCTAATATTTTTAATTAGAAAAAGAAAGGAGTGGGCTAAAAATTACTTTGATACAAAATGACTTTAATCAATGTTGTACAAAAATAAAATACATAAAATATTTTTTACCAGGATATTTTGGAGTAATTAAGCATTTACTACCCCTACCCCCAATTTTAGTATCAGTTTGCTCACTTTGCTGACACACAGATATAACTTTTTCTTCTCAACACCATTAGTATTGTTACGAAATTCGTTTCGTCACTTTTATATATTTCATTGATCACTCGCAGCGTGTGCAGTTGTTATCAGCATATTGATATGTACATGATTGTTGGTTATTAAATAATTGATGAAAAGTTGTAAAAGAAATAAGTTATATGCTGTCAATCATATAATATTGTTTTGGAATCGGGTTCACTGCATTTCGACCCGGTCTCGATCTCGATAGCATGTTTGAAGTCAATTATCACATTTCGTCTTTGAACATTGTAATGTCATTGTTTAAATCAACTTAATAACGTAATAGCTACTTGTACTTATCGTATTTTGGTAGATAAAATCCCATTTTGTATGGTTAGTAATGATTTTCTATTAGAAAACTTCTCTGCGTGCACTTTCCCTGATTTGTTTATACCGGAAGTGGCGTAGGGTCATTCCGGGTCAGCGATTGGCTAATTGAGGTTACCAGTGGGTACAGTAAAGGTATATAAAGAAGCGAAAATTTCGTCTGCTAGAGGAGAAGGGGGGAGAAGTTGGGAGGATACGGAAGCCTCCAGATTATTATCTTACAAGTGCTCCCATCATTGGCAGTCATTTAAAGGGATGGCAGACCCTATGCAGACCAGATGGGTAATTATATTAGTCAAATTATATTAAATAGAGACGCTGAGATATCCCTGTGGGAGACCCATAACTAAGTAGAGTGGGAGACCCATCGACGGGAAAACTTATGGGAGAATTTATGGGAGTTACAATTTATTATTAAAACTATATAGGTCTTACAGAATAGGCACAAATAAATTATATTAAACCAAGGAAAGTATATTTTAGTACAAGTAGCTAATTTTTATAATTATTTTGGGAGATTTAGATTTTACCTACGGGTGGTGGGAGTGACTTCACTTTATAAGAGACTGATATATATTGTATTGTGATTTTTATTATAACAATACTTACATTTAATTGTACATAGTGTAAATAAATTTTATTTGTTGAACTTTTATCCTGACTTAATTATTAATTTATAAGTTAACATACGAGAGTGGAAAGCCCACACAGTTGCCCCACTCTCTCCCGAGGTGGGAGGCGCAACAGTATGATTATGCTTTACTTATATATTGATAAGAGTATAAAACAACATAAACTAGTGCTAATTGTAACGGGGACAGTTACAGATGTTCCCCAAACGCTCCCCAAATCCCTTTTTGTGCTTAATTCCTGTAAGACATTGTAAAAAATATGACCAGTATCGAAGGATTTCATCAAAGAACAGTAAAAGCTAAAATGATATCAACTATATGTCATTTAACGCATTGTACGTGAATGCACGTGCATGTACATGCAAGATGATCATGGCATGTTGTCTAAACAATTAACATATCTATATATGGTGAGAATAAATAAAAAAAATTCTTCACAATATACATTTTTAGGGCTGAAACGATACGCCCCCTCCACGATACGATACGTATTGCAATACTTGTGTCACAATTCAATTTTTTCAATACGATACAATTTAAGAACGAAACTATTCATAAGATTAAAGAAAATGTATTCAGATTTAAAAAACAAAGAGTAAAAGGTGGTGATACAATAGAAATATACTAGCAGGGGTATGCAATTTAAAAACTCAAATACTAGCCCACGGGCTAGTGGCAGCAATAAAGTTACTAGCCCCAAGTAAAAAGTTATTAGCCCAAATATAGGGACAAAAATTAAAATAAAACAAATGTTGAAAAAAAAATTAATCATTGAAAAAGTCAGGGTACTAAGGTCAATCTTTTGAAAATTAAAATTTTATTCTTACTATTAAAATTAAATCATATAAAATTAATGATTATGACAGAAAATAAGAATGAATTTAAAAAAAATATCTGAAGATCTTTCCTTTTCTGATTATTTTGCACTAGCTCATTTAGAATGAAAATAAATTCATTTTGTTTTCATATAAAATCCTTAAATACACTAGAAATATATTTCATGTGAATCACACTGATCTTTCAGTTGATTGAGTGATCGTAAATAATTTAATGAGATATCTGCATGTATATTTACAATAAACAGAGGAAATTCGGATTAGGAAAAAAAAGATCGTATTTGGAAGTAAATAAGTCAGGAAGTACTGCAAAATGGAGAAAATTATGGAGATTTATTGACAGTAGGAGCATGTTGCCTGGAAAATATTCACTGGTTGGGAATTTGATAGCAAAAAATGAGTAAAATACCGTTTGTACTTTATGTATTAACTTACATGCGTAGTTATAATTTTTACTAGCCCGAATTTACTAATTTGTTAATTGCACATCTCTGATACTTGTGGTTCTGTTGATTAAGAACACTTTATTCGTATAAATAATAGCAGAGGCAACCTACTCTGAAACTTTACCGTCCCAATTTTCTTCCTCGTGTGTCAAACTGTTAAAATAAGGTCGAACCCGATCTATTTCAAAGAGTTAACCAAACCCGATTATAAAAAAACGTATCGAACCGAAAATCGAGATGGTGAATCGAAAATTGAACCGAGCACTTATATCGAACAATATCGATATTTCGGTGAATCGTTTCAGCCCTATACATTTTAATGTTTTTTTTAAAAATTGGCCGTTTTGCGTATTTTGCGTGTGCACGTGCATGAATGTATGTTCATGCATTCAATTTTGATAGTACCATTACGTAGGAATCCATTATAGCTATTCATACTCTAAATTTTATCCCGTTTCGTTGAAAACTAAGAAAGTTATAGACATTTAATTTTTCAGCCAATCAGATTGCAGCAATCGTGCATGCACATGCTTTTCATGATAATTCTTATAAACCATGCTGTAGATCTTCATAAAGTATAACAATGTTCAAAATTTCAAAGGATTTTGTCGAAAAACAAGAAAGATATTGAGACTTTAGTTTCAGCCAATCAGAGCGAAGTGCACGTGCATGCGCGTGAGATCTTGCTATTTTGACCATGTCCTCTAGTCTATGCTTCTAATATATCCTTATATTATAAGTTTCAAAACATTCCATCAAAAATTTAAATAGTTACGTCTATATCAATTATATTGGACATTTCTGGCGTTGCACGTGCGCGCTCTTGCAAGCACATGTGCATGCACATGCTTTCATGATAATTCTTTTATATCAGGCTGTAGATCTTCCTAATGTATGACTATGTTCAAAATTTCAAAAGATTTTGTCAAAAAACAAGAAAGATATTGAGACTTTAGTTTCAACCAATCAGAGCAAAGTGCACGTGCATGCGCGTGAGGTCTTGCTATTTTGACCATGTCTTCACGTCTATACTACTAATATATACTTATATTATGAGTTTCAAAGCATTTAATCAAAAAATAGAAAAGTTACGGCTATATCTATTATATTGGTCATTTGACGTGTTGCACGTGCGTGCTCTTGCAAGCACGTGCACGCAAAATGACCTTCGTTCCGCAAATCTACATAACATGCCTACTGACTCTAAAAAGGTTTTACCTTAGTCGGATGTGTAGTTTACAAGATCACTTGCGGAAAAGATTTTCCCAGGAAGAAGAAAAATAATAATAACTAGATACGATCTCGTTGCGAGCAACGAGAGGTCTTCCGTCCGTTTTAAGAAAAGAAACCCACGTAAAATCGAGCTCAAAAGAGATTCAAAATTTTGGTCACAAGGAGGATTGAACCCATGTCGCCAACGTGAATGCGCTTTTTTTTTTAACTATTTTTATCCTCAACGCGCTAACTATTCAGCTATTGGGAGTACTGCTCTAAACATACTTGTGTATACTTTTGCAACAG